TTTATTTTGTTTCATTGTTTATTTTCCTTTTTTTCTTCTCTTCCCTTTCTTACTCTATTATATTTTCCTAATCAAAATATTAACTTAAAATTTTATAAAATAAATATTTATTATTTATCAAAATTAAAAATATTTAAATTATCCAAAAATATTATAATTTAATACACTGAATTTAAAAAAATATTACACAATAATTTTGAGTTGTTACAAATATTATTATGACATAATAATTATTAAAAAATTAATATTTATTTAAATTCATTTTTAATAAATATTTTTTTAAAATTAATTAACTTATCAAATCAACTTAATTACAATTAAATCAAATTACTAAATAAAAAATTAAACTAAAAAATATTTGATTTTTTTATTTGAATAAATAATATATTTATTATTTATTTATTATAATCATAAATAAAATTATTTATTATCATCATAATTTTAAATAATTAATTAATATGTTTAATTTTAATATTAATTTAAGAACATTAATTTAATATGTTTTTATTAAATTTTAATTTATAATTTATAATTAAAAAAATAGTTATAAGTAAATAAATTAATAGATATTATATTTTTAATATATCATTTATAAAATTGATTCAAAGATGGTAAAGTGTGAAATAAAAATAAAAATACATTATTTAAGTAATTTAATTAATTATTATTTTTAATTCAAATTAAATAAAAAATATAATAGTTCATATGTATAATTTAAAATTTAAAACAACACTAAATAAGTATTTTTAAATATATTTTAAAGTTTTAATATTTAATTATACATCATATGTAATTTTTTATTAATTATAATGTTTAAATTAAAATACTAATAATATATTTTAAATTAACATATAATTTAATCCTGAAAAAATGCAAAAATTATTTACATAGTATTATAACTTTTAAAAACTATTATAATTATTATCATATATATATATATATATATAAGTTAAAAAATAATTTAAATAATTTAGGAAATATTAAAAATAAAATAATTTAAATTATTTATTAATATTAAAAAAAGAGTAAAAAACAACATAAAATATATCGTGAAATAATCGATTACGAAGTTGCATTTTGAATTAATCTTGAAACTACATCTTGAATTGAAAAAGTAAAAGGAAAATATTGAAACATGAGTTTATTTTCTTTTCATCTTATAAAAAGTTAATTTTTTCATCTTTTTAAATCAATTCAAATATACTTATTAATATATATATATATATATATATATATATATATATTATTTTTTCAAATAATTGAAAATCTTTATTTCTGAACAGTATTTTAACTTATCCGAACAAAGATTAAAAAAGACGTATTGATTAAATATCCCGTTGAGATTTAAGAAGGAAAAAGTAAAACTTTTGATGGAACAAATTGTTGAATGAATTCATAATATTTTCTTAATTTTAGGATTGTAAACTAGTATCGGATCAGTGTTAAGATATTTTTAAAATATAAGAAAAAAAAATTAAAAAGGCTAAAGTAAAAAAAAAAAAAAAAGAAGATCGAAGAGGTTATAATTTGTTTACACTTACATTAATGATAAAAAGAAAAAATCTGGTTGGGAACAAATTAAAGGTGTTGTTAACTTACATGTATAAAATAGAGGTACAATCATACGTAATAATGTATGTGATTTAAAACTATAAGACATGATTCCATCTTTTACTTTTGAAATATAAATTTAATGATACAAAACCTATAGAGACAATAGAATAATATTATTTATAATGTGATGAACTTTTGTAAAAAGCACAAATTAATGGGCGGTTGTAAAGTTGAAGAAGACAAATACATGACGGAAGTGTCGGCTAATAAGGTGCGGTGAGCATAACTCAATCACAAATTTGTTTTCAATTTATTCACACTGTTTATAATTTATTATTAGGAAATTGGAATATATAATTTTGTTTTTAAGCTATTTATATTTATAGAAAATTAAGAATGATAAAATTTATTAGATCTACCTATTTATTAATCTAATTTAAATTAATAAGTCTGTGAATTTGTTTTAATATAATAAATTAATTTCGTTTTAAAAAATATTTATATATTAAAATTTAAATTAAATACTATAATTAAAGACATCATATTTTTATATTATTATAATATTATAATTATAATTATAAATATAAATTAATTAAATTTACATTATAAATTAATTTATATGTTTTAATATATAAATATAATAATTTTTTTAATTTATTTAATAAAAATATTAGTTTACAATAAAAAATTTAATTTTAAAAAAATTATATAATTAAAAATATTTTTTTTAAAATTGTATTTTAAAAATCTATATAAAATAATTTTAATTAATTGTTTCATTAATTTATTCATTATTCTTAATCTCTAATTCACCTTAATTATGCTAATTAAGTTTATTCTGTTTTTTATGAGATGGATCGACCTATTAAAAAAATCTTATACATTTTTTTAAATTTATTTACGTTATTCTAAAATAATTATAAATTTAATAAATAATAAGTTGTAAAATAAGTGGATTCTATTTGTTCTGCGTGCGTAATAAAAAAGTTAGTCGTTATCACAAAAACTTTAATATAAAGCAACACGTGGGAATTTGCCTTTTACATCTAAGAATTTAATTTAAGTCATAAAATTCTGTCTAAAAATATAATTATAAAAGGGTGAAAACATAGATTTAAATTTAAAATTTTACTTAATTTTAATTTAATTTATTTAATAATATATTTATTATATAATAATATTTTAATATAATATTTTTTATAAAAAAATTAATAAAAATTATTATTTATAATAAAAATTACAAATACAAAATATATAAAAAATAATTATTAAAAAAATATATAATAAATAATTATTATTTAAAATTTATATAATTATTATAAGATAAAAAATATACAATATATTTTTTTTTAAATATTAAAAATTTTATTTTTCTATTAAGTTCGCTTTCAAACATTTAATTTATTTAATTTTATGTCAGTTTAATTAAATTTAATTATTTAGAATCCATCCACCCATTTTTAATCTAGATTTTGATTTAACATTTTGAACTGTCATATATTTTCAAAATAATAATAAAAATTACAGAAAAAAATAATATATTTGACATTTTTTAAGTAAATTTTACGTTATATAATTTATAGTAATAATAAATATATCGAGTGGAAACATGAATTATCCTTTTAATAAAATTGTTTTTTTTAATTCAACGAAAATATTTTTAGAGTTTTTAAACATTTAGTCTCTTAACTTCATTTAATTGAAATTTATTTTGAATCAAAATTCTATATAAAAAAAGAGTTAATGATTATAATATAATAAAATTGATGAAACAAAATTTTGCATGGGTGAAAAAGAATAAACGTGAGAATTATAAACTAGTTTTTAGAAAATATTATTTAAAATAGAGTATAAAAAAACACTATTAAGTATTAAAAAATTATATATTCAACAAGGTTAATCGAAATTTTTAATCAAGAAAACTAACATAAAAATCAAATCTTATTATATCTTTTATAACCGTTTTTATGTCTTAAAAAAATAGAACATAATGAGTAAAAAAAATATTTATATATTTAAACAAAGAAAAAAATGAAAATCATAAAAAATAACGTATAACATGTATAATAAATAAAATTAATATATTAAAAAATTAACAATATAAAAATATAAAATGCAAATCTCTAATATTTGTATTAGTTTGTTTCATACTTAAACTTAGATAAATATAATTTTTTAATTAAAATATTTCTCTCTTGCGCACTTATATATTAACTATTAATTCAATTATTAACTGTAGTTTTGAATTGCAAGTTACATAAGTAGTCAATTAAAATATATTATGAGTGTAAAACGATGTGAAACGGTCCTTGTTTAGAAATTTAAATCACATATCATCTTAAAAACCATAAATATGTATTAAAATTAATTAAATAAATTTTTAACTCTTTTAAAATGTTTCTTTTTTTACAAATAAAAGCGAAAATTTTAAATAATTTTGAAAGAAGACAGAAAGAGAAAGTCCAGCTGCAACTACACTCATCTTTGTGACGTCCTTTGTCTGGTAAATTTAAGTTTAGTGCGTGTTAGTTCAACACAATAAAATATTGCATAATCATTTGTTTTATTAATACTTAAAAAAAATATAAAAATAAATTATTTATTTCCTTAATTTTTTTAATTTTATTTCATATTTCAACCTTTTTGTATTTGTCGGTTTCTTATCTTTTTCTTTTCTTTTCCGCGAAAAAAAAGGTGAAAACTGCGTGGATTTCCGTTGGAAAGTTCAACCTTTGTGTTAGTTGGTTTACTTTGTTTGGATCGATCTCTCACCTTCTAAATTTCTAATATTCTCTTCATCTCATTTCACTCTCCTTTCTCTCTCTCAAAATTCTATTCATATACTGTAATATAATCTTCTTAAGGTATTTCATTTCATTCTCTTCATCTCAATTTATTTCTATTATTGCTCTCAGTTCCTCTAATAACTGGTTACTAATAATTTCTCCCTTAGTGTCTTCCTTAATTCACCATCTTTTACTTCAAATTTTTTTATTACGTTTCATATGCTTAAATTACTTGTTGATGATGATTTTGGTATCAATAAGATTTACGTTTCATTTTATTTCTTTCTTTTAAGTTTTACCTGAAAGCTTTTTAGTACATGTCTATTCATTAGTTTAAGTTTATCATCTCAATCAAAATAAACTAATAGTTGTTCTAACTTCTTCCTTCAGTTTTCATTGTTTGATCTTGTTTTAGGCAACGTTTTTATGCTCCCCAGTTTGTCAATATTGTTTTTTTATTAAATTTCAGATTATTGGATGAGGATGTTGATAGATAAACAATATTTCTTCTGATTTTGTTTTTCTTTCCTTCCTGAATGTATTCAGTTTGAACCTTCTGCATTGAGTTATTTGCCATTTTGGGAAGAAGGTCAAGGTTTGATCTGTTGAACTTCCAAGCAAAAATCGGTTTCTGATTTTGAAGTCACTTGAGTTGGGTGGATGATGGCTGCCGCGGGAATCTCGTCTTCTCAGTGGCGTAAGCTCTCCCCGAGTGTAACCATGGCCTTGGCATCGGCTTTTCTTGAATGGTTGCTGATCTTTTTCCTATTTGTTGATGCTGCTTTTTCTTATGTGATTACGAAGTTTGCTGGTTACTGCAAATTGCAAACACCGTGTTTGTTCTGTTCAAGGCTTGATCACGTGTTTGGCAAGGAGAGAAAGGGATATTATTGGGACTTGATTTGTAGTGGTCATAAGACGGAGATTTCTTCTTTAGTTCTTTGTCGTGCGCATGATAAGCTTGTGAATGTTCAAGGAATGTGTGAAAGTTGCCTTTTTTCTTTCGCTACCATCAACAAATCTAATGCTGAAACCTACAGGTTATTGGTGGGTAAATTAGGGAAGGGATCTGAGTCCAGATTTGATCAGGATCCATTACTTGGTGATAATGCGAGTGCAAAATGCTGTTCTTGTTGCAATGAGCAATGGGCTTTAAAAGGTAATGATCGAAGGTTGGTGATTACCAAGTCAATTGGGTCTGGCGGTGCTGATTTTGATGTATCAAATGTTGTTGGTAACAATTTTCACAAGAAAAGACCAGCAAAATCATTTGTATCGACCAGAGGTCCACGCCTTAGAAATAAACAGGCAGATCCTTTGTCTCATGTCGGTTACACTGAGTTAAAGGTTACTTCTGATACTGAGTCTGAACAGGAAGCTCCCTCATCTGATGATGATGGAACAAGCATACCAGTTAGAGGTACATATGACACTAAGAAAGATATGGAAGTTCCATGTGAACATATGGAGTCTCCCATCCTTGATTTAAATGAGAATTTGGCTTCGGAGGAACTCAGGACTTCATCTTCTGGACTTCAACCATCATTATCAGAGTCGGGAGTGCAATCAGAAAACACAGATACTCATGGTAGTAAATCTACAGCAGCAACTCTGGAAAGTACGAATGATTTGACCGAACTTGATTCTCCGCAGCAGCTTGAGAGAAATGTTGTTTGTCCTTCCGCAATTGAGCCGATTTCCTGTAATGAAGTCCCTGCATTATCAAATAAAACAGGAGTTCCTGTTGAACTATCAAAGGAAAACTGTAAGTTATTTCTTTGCAGTTCTTTTATATATATACCTTGTAACACTTGATGGAGGAGTGTGTTGTAGTAATTACGGAAAGTTGATGAGAGGAAATAATAAGCTTGCTCTTAATAGCCAAATCATCTTTAAAAATGTGTAAAAAAGTCATACCATTTTCATAGCTGAAAAATTATAGGCCTATTTGACTTGAGAAAACGTTTTCTGCATTCATTTTCTATTTTATTTACAAATCATTACAAAGATGTCTTCTTATTTTCACTTTGCTTCTTGTTGTCAAAGATTTGTATGGAAAATAGTGAAAACTAGATTTTGTTGTCGTCAAACTAAGATGATATTTTAGTAACTATTTATGTAAGCAGGAAACATTTTATCAAACCTAACAGGCTCCTAAATATTTGCTATTTTAAGTCCATGATTTCCATGAGTATTTATACTGACAAAAAACCTTTTGTCCATTTTGTTGTAGATGATTTGACAACGGATGAAGTGGGGATAAAATCACAGCAAAGAATAACCACGGACTGTGAGCAAATAATTGAGTCAGTTGATAAGCCAACAACATCTGAAGCAGGTTTAGAATCAACTCCCTTTTCTAGTGATATTGGTCAGCAAAATCCCAATTTACTAGATCTTGGTGATGCCTATAAGCTAGCTGTCGGTAACCGAGGAAGACCTGGCATACTTGTAGAACATTGGCTAGGAAAGGATTCTACTAGAATTAGTGAAGACTTGAAGATATTGCTGTCACAATTTTCAGCTACTCGAGGGACCGATCTGTCTGTTAATGACATCATCAGTCCTAGATTGTCTATGAACAGTGATGAAATGAAGAATTCTGATGCTTCTAACTCTGCTGGAATGCAGATACTTCAAAGGATGATTTCACTTGAGCGAAATGAATCTGGTTTGTCTCTGGATGGAAGCATTGTCAGTGAAATTGAAGGTGAAAGTGCAATTGACAGGCTAAAAAGACAAGTTGATCATGATAGGAAACTTATGAATGCTCTGTATAAAGAGCTGGAAGAAGAAAGAAATGCATCTGCAGTTGCTGCAAATCAAGCATTAGCCATGATAACAAGGCTGCAGGAAGAAAAGGCCACATTACACATGGAAGCCTTGCAGTACTTAAGAATGACGGATGAGCAGTCAGAGTATGAAACAGAAGCTTTGCAGAAAGCTAATGACCTTCTGCTTGAGAAAGAAAAAGAGATTGAAGAGTTGGAAGGTAAGCTTGAGTTTTATAGGAAGAAGTTTCCTGATGAATTAGTGCTGGAAAACATGGTGGAGACAAACTCTGAAATGAAGGTGAAAGATATTGGATTGGATCATTGTATTGAAAAGGATGAAATCATCCGTGGGAAGTCAGTTACTGAAAATACTACTATATCTGACAAAGCTGAAGTTCTACCTACATCTCTGGAGAAACAGAACGTTCAATCTGTAAAAAATTCACCATTGGAGTTTCAAGATGAAAGATTATATATTTCCAAACGTTTGAAGAAATTGGAGAAGCAAGTTTACTTATTCCTGAATATTCATCAATCCCAGGAGAATTGGTTTAATTCTGAAAATGATGAAAAAGAATCCCTGGAAAACTTTGAGAAGTTGGATTATAATATTCTAATGCAAGAATCTATTTCTTCGCTTAAATTAAATTCAGATGACATGGACGATAATTCCTCTTCCAAGGAACCTCTAGTTTTCAAGAAAAATGGTGAACTTGGGTACAATGGACAAAGCTCACCTGTGCTCTGTGGGAATAATGATCTATCTTATACTCGAAGTTTGGTTTCGGATTTTATTGGAAGGTTGCAAGTTCTTGAGTCAGATTTGAGTTTTCTTCAGCATAGTATCAACTTGTCGAACAATGGAGAAGAAGGACTTAAATTATTGCAGGAAATAGCCGATCACCTACAACGATTACGTCAGATTGGAATAAGAGATTTAGATCAACCTGTTGCTTGAGGCTGTATATAAGGTCAGTAATTATTGCTGAACCATTAGGCAATAAATCAAAGCATCTTTCTGTCTTCTTTTTTTAAATTGTATTGATCCATTTCACTTTATCTTTTTTGTTTTTTTTTTTCCACGATAAATATGTGCCCATTTAATTTAGTATATTAATTATGGAGGAAAATGTTTGACTAAGTGATATATGTTTAGTGACTGAAGCTTCAAATAGGCAAATTTCGTTTACTTAAATAGGTATAAAATAAAATAAAGATTAATTTCCAATTGGGTGTAAATTGGGGGATTTTTTGATGTTGTCGTATTTATAAAATCACTAAATATTTATGTAAATCAACAAATAATAAATAGCTGATGATAAATTGGTGAGGAAGTGGGATTGATGTCAAGATGACTTGATGTTGTATCATATAGCGAATAAAGTAAAGTTGGTAGTTGGATCTGGAAATGTCGCTGCTGTTCTGTTCAAGAATGGAAAAGATTGAGATGAAAGTACGACTCAATGCTGCTGCAAGTGTTGAGTATTAATTAATATGCAGCTGTAGATTTAGAAAAAGTAATGTCTTGTTCAAGGAATAGTTTGTTACTTTAGTTGGTAGGATTTTGTATTTGTTTATGGATAAGCCGTGCAATCACATATATGGATAGAATATAACTATAATTTAACAATTGTGAAATGAAAGGATCATATGGAAAAAGTTAATTTATAGATTCTAATCAATTTAGAAAGAAAATAAGATATATATAAGCCATAAAAAGTTTTTCTTCTAGCAGTATGAGAGGCAATAAATGAATGGGAAGATCAATAATCATATATCAGAGGTCATATTAATGCTGATGCCTGCAGAACATCACAAGTATGCACCGTAGTTCTTTACCTATGTTCCACATCTTTATTTGCAAACTTATAGAAATGATATATATACAAAGAAATGAAGTTTGATTTTGTAGAAGAACCAAAACTCAAATCGTTAATGATTGTGGCCGTCTTATTCTAAGTTAAATCTTCACTCCACTTGTGTAGCAGAGTTTTAGGAACATATCATGTTGGCACATGGCAATGCCAAATGGATGGGGCGGTGTTCAAACATATATTCACGATACAGAATAAAGAAGCATAGTCTAGGTATCATTTTAAGATTATTTGCTTCATATGTCGGACATACGTCGTGAATATTAACGATTAGTCTGTCTTATGCATATAGTTGCAAAATACAACATTGACATCTCAAGGAAGATTACGCAATCCTATGTTGTTTACTATTTTGCATCAGATTTTACTATTTTAGTATACTGTATACAGTTTCTTCACCTTTTGGATACTAATCATTTTACAGATTCATACACCAATGATTGGATCGGCAACCAGGAGGAAGTGACATTGTACACTAGTGAACCAGGTTACCAAGGCTGGTTGCAACTGTACAGTAACATAGCTTGCTTTCATCCAGGATACAAGAAAATAGGATTTGAAATAATGTTGAGTTTATTTTACCGTTTTCTCCCCTGCCTTTTATTCGGGGTTTCTTTCTTTGAAGGTTTTGCTGCACTGAGTTACAAGGTTTTCGTCTGCCTATTCATATTGTATGTTTACAACAAAATTTTCCTGTGCCATTTTTGCATTGTAAATGAGTGACTTCTTGTTTGTTTAATTGGTGTAATCTTCTTGTATTGGATTGTGTAGTTTGGAAACAGAGTGAATTGACATCTGTGAGAATTTAATACATGGGCTATATTTGCTCCGGTGTTTGTTAATAAATTTCTGTTTGCTCCAGTGTGATGAGTATGTTTGAGTGGATATTAGAAAAAAATACGCACAAACTTGGTGATGTAGCTTGGACAAAATAAAAAGCTTGGTACAAGCCCAAAAAAATAAAGGGAAACCATACTTTTTGTACTTGATTTTCATTTATCTTAATGACAATTATGTTAAATTAAACATGAGTGTTCTTGACCTAACTGTTTCTTTCCACAGATTTGAGAGAACATTTTGGGGTGTTTGATTTTGACTATCAACACCGTTCAACTCGATTTCGGTCAACGCATTATAACATAATATATCAAACTTCATATTTTTTTTGTAGGCTCATGTTTATGATATTCATTATGATATTTAATAAATAAAATTGCTGTGTGTGATAAATACATACATTAATCATAATATTTCTAATATCAACTACAATTATTATCATAATTATCATTATACGTAATGTATTTTCTGTCATATCTGTAATCAATAAATAGGTCAAGACTCACCGGTATAATTTTGAATGCCCACGATATCATTTTTAGGAGAACCAGAGACTTATTATTTTGTGAATTTTGTTACTTAAATTTTTCTTACAAATTTTGTATACTTAACGTATTTATAAAATGAGTGACAAAGTATTATTGTGTCCTAATGTCATTTCATTACAATCTTCTGTAAAAGAAGGTTGTTTTGTTACCAACAAAATATGATAAAATGTATAGAAATAAAAATTTAAATGAACTTAAACAGATTTATATAGTAACGGTGTTAGACTGGTGTAACACTTCAAATAAAACTAAGAACGTAACATGGAAAGACTAAGAAAATGCTTGGTAATGTACATCACTATAGTTGACCATTAAAAAAAAAATGGAAAAAGCATAGCATGGCTACAAAAACAATAAAAAGGAGGGAAAGTGGAAATGTGTAGCAATCAAAATAAAGTTAATTAGAAACTCTATTTGAACGTGGACTTAATTAAAATAACATAAAACTATGTGAATGCTTAGCATATGATAGGAAAATTGGGGTGTTTGATTTAGACTATCTCCACCGCTCTTGACAATTTCAATCCGCGGATTTTGGTCAACTCGTTAGATTAGGGTTACACATCAAACCTTGCCTTATATTATCTATATATACATGTGCAACCATGCATCTCTTTAGATTTCATCACCGTACAATATCTTCCCTAATCTTCATACTTTCTTTCTTTTTAGTCTTCGATATATTTTTTTTTTCCTGGGTTTTTTTCTCCCCGAGATATACATCACATAATCAGAAGTTGTTAAAATTAATTTCCCTATCACAAAATGGGTCGACATTGGTACATGACGATGTGTGTGCTCCTCACAGCATTGATTCTGGTGTTGAGTTTGCAGAAATCAAGTGGAGCAAGAACACTAGAGGGAGAGCAATGGTTGCACAAGAATGTGTTACTACTCAATTCATTGCAGAGAGGCCCCGTACAGTCCTCTCAAAGAAACCCATGTTCGACCGTACCTGGTCGCAGTCGAGGGCGTTGCACTTTAGGTGAAGTTAATGTGGCTGGTCATGTTCATGTTCATGTTCGGGCTCAGGCAGCACCACTCTTTCCCAAGTCTGAAGCAGCACGATGATGTGATACCCCAGAAAGATCTTCCACTGGACTTCAAAAACACCATCTCTGTTAAAAGTTACTCTAATTAATATCCTTGTTTGTATGTGTATGTATCATCTGTGTCAGATCTTATACTTGTTCATGACAGATACAACTTATCATTATTGCTTCATGTATTATTTTTTTTTTTTATATTCATACATTTTTTTTGTAATCTTGTGTAGTCATTCTTTCATTTATATATAATTGGGTGTAAGTTATTCCAAATCTTCTTCTTATACAAGTTTATGCATCATTTATTTTTTTTCTATCGCGGGTTTGGCGTTACATGTTTCCTCTACATGCATCACCTTGTTTTTTATCGTTATCTTGGTGTCAAGATTTTGAGCTGATGAGGTATGCATGCATGGCGTGTGTGTTTATTATAAGAGCACTGATGTGGCACGTGTTGCAGAGTAGGTTTGGATTTGACATTTGATCACTCATGAACGCGTTGGTTGACTTTCTCACCTGATGAACATGAAGTCAACTTTGCAATACTTGTAGAAGATTAACCACGCATGCATGGGACCATTTGCACGTAATTTCATGTCAACATTTTCCCCTACTCCTAACACCGACATTAAATACTTGGCTTCAAAGCAGTGTATCTATTCAGAGTGTAAAGAAAACATTTTATTACTTATACACAGTCTTCAAATAAACTATGTGGATGAAAAAAACTTGCTAAGTATTCCTCTCTGCTATCAATATCTAATTGAAAATCACAAACAAAACTCTCCCTGATAATACCCGAAAACCGAAAACTTTTGTCCCTTTTGCGACAATCGTTGGAGCAAGAATGAAAGTATGTGATATATAGAAACATTAAAAAAGATTATAGTAACAATTATATAGTCATTTTGTGTGGGGAATGAGAGTATTGATTAGGTGGTAGTACTAACCTGAGAAGTGAATTAATGTTTGTCGGGCATGGAAATTGAATTGGTGAAGGTGGCAAAAGAATGGTGGGGGCATAAGCCCCAACAACGTCACATGGTGAAGCTCAGAAGTGTGCCAAAAAACTATAGTACCGCATATAATTGCAAACTCATTTAAGGCAAGGCAAAGACCTGTTGCTTCAGACACACCTGTTCTTCTTCTGTGTCTCTGTGCTCTCTTCTCTTCCAACTTAATTCAAAAGCCAATGTCCTGTTGACATTTGCATTTCCAATTTCCAACAACACCCCTTAGCTGTCACCTTGTTAGTATTCTTACATTAGACTCTACTCAACCTCTTCTTATTGCTACTTCATTCCCATTTCACGAATAAACTCTCTTTCTTTGTGCTTGTTCAAATGGTCCACAACTAATTATTATACATTAGAATCAATAAAAAGGAACTATTCACACTTCAGAGATTGGTCATACAGACTTAGGTAGAGCATCAGCAGGAGCAGGATGAGGTACACCTGATTGAAGACTATTATTGATTGCATAGCATTAGCATCGGAAGAAATGGACTGAATTGTTGGTACCAAGGACTAGCCCACTGTGTGCTTCTAAATTTTGTACCAAGATATCTAACTTGTTGACCTTGTATTCCTGTTCCACATTTCTGCTTCTAATTCTCTCTCTCTTGGCCCCTCTCAAATCAATGCTCTTCAAACATGGACTTTCTCTCTTTCTCCTCTGTCACTCCCTTCATTCATTCATCAACTATTGTTTTCTACATTGGCTTAGTAAATTTGAAGGTAAAATATCAACATCGTACATGAAAAGTTCATATTTTTAATGTGGATTAAAAAGAAAAAAGAAGCTTAAAGCGCGTGATTGAAGGAAGAGATGAAAGGATGAGTGAGAGGACCTACAAGGCATGGGGGTATGAGAAAAGCAAAGCAAAGTAAAGGATTGGAATTTAAGCACGCATACCAATTTTGACACCCTAACCACCCATCATGTTTGAGGAAGTGAGACACAAACACATTAATTTCTTTTGTATTTCACTCTATTCATTTATCAATCAAATACTCAACATTTACAGTCCATATATATGCATTTTTTTAGGGTTGCAAAGATATTATGAGGATGGGGGCAACACCTTAAAAGGAAAAACAAAAGAGGGTGAGTGAGGTTATTGGTGTGTAATAGAGGAAGGAGACAGAGGCAAATGTGACCCACACAGAGGTTACTAGCATTTGAAAGTACGTAGGAAAAGAGATAATAATGAAGTTTGAGGTTGTTTTTGTTGATGAAATGATGATGAGGGTTGGGTGGTCATCTTGTGATATTACAGTTGGGAATGGACTGGACAACACTTTGAAATGGAAAGAAAGGAAAGGGCATGCATGTGAACCTTTGGGCCCATGCTTCCTTCTATTGAATTCAATAAGAAAATGTAATTTTGGAAATGCTTATTCTGTGTCTTTTCTTGCTACAAATCAAGATTCACCTGATTAAGAAGATGAACAATAGTGACGCAAGAGAAAATCCAACACTGGGAATGTTCACACAAGTGCCACCACCACCACCATAGATACGTTTCATCACAAGAGAAAGCATTTGTTGACTACGCTTTGTGAGAGTGGATGACTCAGTTGGGTTTTATAGGTAAAAACAGAAAGTTAAAAAACATTATTAAGTGATGTTAGATTTGATGATTCATTACTAACTCAATCCAGTATGATTAAAATATATGATAAATCATATATTGTAAACTCTTGTATTGATAATATTTTTTATAAGAATTTAAGAAAACAAGTCTTGTTGTTGAAACACGATACAATAGGTCATTATTGAGTATTTAGATAAAAAAATGTTTTCACTCTAGTAGAGATGTAACATGGAAAATTAGTATGAGATACTCGTAGTTAACAAATATTTTTGCTTTAGAGAAAGCTGAATGAGAATTACAACTATCTCAGTATTAACTCATTGAAAATACTTACATATTTAATCAAAAATTAAAATCCATCAAATCTTATTTAAGTATTAATCTAATTTACAATTTTACCTATGACTTTTATATAAGTTGTTATTAATTGCATGTAAATTTAATTGAAGAATTATTTTATTTAAAGGCGTTTAAATAAATATGGATAATTTTTTGAAAGAAAAAAACAAATTAGTTTCGTCATAATTTAAAATTAATTTATTCATAAATATTCCTATATAATTTGTTTAATTTTTTACTTTAAGTTGTAGAAATTTTATTTTTCAAAAATTTATGGAAGCATTCTAAAAAAGACTTTAACTACCTTAAGGATTAATAAATTTATGAACTGATTCTATTATACAAAAATCTTAGGCATATTTTATTATATTTCACATTGTTTTTTTTATTTTAATATTTTAATCTTAATTTAACGTGTTTATTTTAGATTGGAATGATAAAACAGATTAATTTATATTTCTATACACCCAAAAACATACAGGATGTGTTGATTTATCATAATCATTATAGATTACGTATCCTAATCCATATATGATAGATTTATGGGTTAATGATCCATCAATAATATTTTTATATTATTTTTTAAAATATATCTTTAATTATATGAATAATTTTTAAAATTTTATTTATTAATTAATATTTTTATTAGATAAATTAAAAAAATATTATATTTATGTATTAAAATAATTAACTATAATTAATAATTTAAATTTAGTTCATTAGTATTTTATAGTTATATATTTCTAATAAATAAAAAGAATACTTTTAATTATTATTTTTTATTTTAATTTAATATATAAATATTTTTTTAAATCAGTAAGTCAATTGTGTCCTATCTTTAACTTGTTGGGTTGATGGATCAAAATGATTTCAGATATTAAAATTATCAACCTTCTAATCTAATTGGTAAATGGATTCGTGAGTTTAACCCATTTTATCATTTTAATTTAAATATCATCCAAAAATAGGTGTATTAATTTAAATATAAAAATATAAACAGAATGAAATTGCAAATATGATAAAGGAAAAAAAATCTTAATATAATTTAGTAAAATTAATTTATTCGTTTATTTCTAACCTATGCAATTATATATATAATTATAATTATGATTTAAATTTGCCTATAGAGAGTTGTAAAAGAGATAATCTTATTTTTTTTTTAAAAAGGAGATAAATTATGTATTGGTTAATTTCTGTTTCAGGGACCTAAAAGAATTGGATATAAAAATTTAAGTATTATTATTAAATAAAATCAAGTCAATGATTTTTTTTTCTCCCCTCTAACTCTTAATTTACGCAAGTTTGGATCATAATTTCATATAGATATACGAAAAAATAAGAAGCATAAAAAATTAATTTTTTTAGTAAATAAGAATTAATGTTTCAAAACAATACTATAGTCCCTTAATTCTTTTAGAGAAGAAGAAGAGTTAATTTTTTTTTCTACAAGCATATAAATAAGAAAGAAGATTATTGAGGAAAAGCTATTTAAAAAAACAAAAGGAAAATTAAAGAAACAAATCATATTTATTACTTTGTATTTAGTAATTGATATTTTATCCTGACAGCTAATACATAAGTTTTTGTTAAAAGTCAAATAAAACGGGACGCAGAATAATAATTATTTGTATTGATTATAAAACAAAAAATAATCTATTATTGAGTTATATTAAAAAATTTAATGAATTATTAAATGCTCAGTTACCAAGTGAACTGTCTTATCAATAAAACTATTTAATTTAAATAGAACAGTATTAACGGAAGTACAATAATAAAAAAATAAAAACAGTGGCACTGTTAAATACAAATAATATATTTATTATCATAATTAATATAAAAGTTCATCAACTGAAGTACAGTACAGTATGTTTAAAAAAAATTAATGAACAATTAAACTTTATCTTCGAAGAGTGATAATAATATTAATTAAAGCATTTAATATTAATGAAATACAGAACAGTAAGAATATTAATTATTAAAAAAGAAACATTGAATGGAGAGAGAGATTTATTGAGATGTGAAATATGTAAAAAGAATGGAATAAAAATAAAACTGAAAAAGAGGAGGACAATGATTTGCGCAAAGATCAAGGTTAATAAGGGAAGGTTAGGAAGCGCGTGAAGGGAAAAGCGCGTGGTGAAGTGAGTGGAAGGAAGCATCGGAATCTCTTACACAACTCCTACGTCAGCAACGTTTGTAAGGGACAAGGACAACACCCTCTGGACAATCCCATGTTTTATGTGTGACTCTCACATTCTCTCTCATGATTTTCTTTTTCTATAAAAAAAAAAAAATCCCACCCCTTTTATCAAACATTATTTCTTACTTAAAACCTATTATTTTGTAAAATTATTAATTGAGAGAAAATGGTGAAATCGATGATAAGTAAAAGGATTTGGACATAAATATTGTGTGAGATTTGGTCAAATTTGTTCTCCTTGTCTCTCATGTCATCTGTCACGTGATCGAGAGAGAGAGAGAGAGAGAGAGGAACAAGAACACGCAGTTCAAGAGAGAGCGACCCCATAGTGGAAGAAAGAGTCAAAACCAATAAAATAGTAATAGCCCCAACCCCAATGTCTCCTTTTCTCTTCTCTCTCTTTCACTTTCTATTCACGCTTTCGTATAACTTGTTCCGTGTGGTAGCATCATTGTAATAGCCAACACCCAAGGGAAGGGAAAAGAACACACAGAAAGCCAGACCAGACCCAGAAAGAGAGAGAAACGAACCAACAACTCTTTCTCTCTTCTCTCTGCTATTGCACTCTTCCTTGCTTTGCACCACCCTTCACCTTTCAGAGAGAATAATAGAGAGAGAAATTACCCATCATATCATATCATATCATATCGTATCATCATATCATATAGTAGTATTATATAAAGAGATAATATTGCGTGAGAGATGCAGCAGCACCTGATGCAGATGCAGCCCATGATGGCAGCCTATTACCCCAACAACGTCACCACTGATCATATTCAGCAGGTCCTTCCCTCTTCTCCCTTCTCAACTTCCTCTCCTCTCTTCTCCTCTCCTCTTACTCATTCTCATCACTCATTCTCATCACACACACACATGTATATGTACCTTTATGTATGTGTACATGTGTATGCATTCATTCATCATTCATATGTCCCCTCTCGCTTTGGTCAGGGCCCTTTTGTCTCAGCATTGCTTGTGGGTCTTGTATTGTATGCCACTTTTAGGACCGTTTCCTTGTGCTGCTGCTTTTTAGTTTTCCTGTTCACACCCTTCTCTTCTTCTGCTTCTTCCTTGTCAGCTTCTGCTACCGGTTACGCTCTTTCTTTCATCCTCCATACACTGTATAAATATTCTGTGGGCATGTGCTGTATCAGAGCTTTTATGACGCCTGCTTTTCCCACCGCTTAGATCACATTTTCTGCAACCTTCTTCACAGTATCTCACTCTCAATTTGCTATGTTTGGAGATCGCATTCCTTGTCCCTATCAGACTTACCAACACTTCCTTTCCCCTCTTTTAATGCACATGCTTCTCTCAGACAGTTCCATACTTCTTTGTGCTACTTGCATCCCTCTATGCTATTAATGCTCTAAAATAACCTCAAATTACATGTATGAATCTTTTAAGTGAGATTTATCAAGGTAACAGCTTTTATCATGAGGAACATTTACCAAGCCGGTAAGTGTTATGTTGTGAGAAATGTTTGATCCAGGGGTGTGGTTTGATTAATATGGTGCAGTTCTAGTTCCTTACCCAAATGGTAGTATTATTAAGAATTTAAGGCAGACAGATTGAGATAAAACTAGAAGATATGTAATTCATATTCTATATATAGCTTGAGAATATATACTTACTATATCTGATCTACTAAAATAAACTCTTTTCATTTTTCTAACCTTCTTAAATCTACGTGCATCATGTGGTATTTTTGAAGGAAAGACAGTCCAGAAGCAGCAAGGACGTTTTGCTACTTTTGTTGCTCCCCTTCCCTTTTACTTGATTATTTTCACAACATTTATATGATATTATGATGATGTTGATCCTTCGTTTGACCTTTTACCACTCTTTTTTACGAGCAGTACCTGGATGAGAACAAGTCCTTAATCCTGAAGATTGTCGAAAGCCAGAATTCTGGCAAGCTGAGCGAGTGTGCCGAGTAAGAATTAGACTAATTATTCTGTTACATGCGATTGACTTTTGTGTTTCTCATTTCTTAAGCTTTGGTTCAACTATAATGTCTTTTAGTGAGTTTAGTTCCACATTCTAGATGTCAGTTTTTCACATCCCAAATGTGAAATAAGAAGTCAGTAGTTATAGTTTTCACACAAATTTTCAAACACGGCATCTCGATTCTACTTCCATACTGATAGCTTGGTTCAATTTAATGAACTATAATACCCTTACCAACTAGATAGGGGATTCACCACCAGAGAATTTTTCCCATTCCATCAAACTAGATTTAAAAATTAAGATTGTCAGCAAATTAACAAATGGAATTTGAAAGTGTGCCAGAAGAATGTAGCTGATTCGGTGTCATACACAATCCTGACTGACATTGAAGCTTACCAAGAAATTTACGTGATGAGCCTCTATTTGAATATTTAGGTACGGCCTCTATTAGCTATGAGAATGAAAAAAATAATACATAAGTTCAATATCTTTTTAACTTCATTAGGAGACATTTTATTCGGCAAACTAATGAAATTTGATATTATCAAGTATTAGAAATTTTGAATATACATTTTACTCTTTTTTTTTTTTGCAACACACCCTTTTGATTCGAATATAATTTATAAATTCTATATTTCTGAAGATTCCTTTCTGTCAACTTGTCAGTCCGAGGGTATGATTTTTGAAGTGAAAATAATAGGAGAGATCATTGAAAAATCTTCCTTGAAACGATTTTTATTGAAGTTTTGGTTTTGGATATAGTCGAATGATGTCATTTGTAATGTGTAGCTGACCTTATTTAATGAAATGAAGCTTGGTTGTTGGATCCAGTTGGAAGTAATAAAGTATGTCTGAATTAACTTATTTATCTTGAAAAATTTACTCGTGGAGGATTGTGGGGGGAGAAAATCCTTCTTTCAACAATGCGAAGTTTGATTTTTCCACCAGATAGATGGACAAGTGCAATTTTATTTTCTATTTTTTAAGTGTAGGTTGTGTTAGATATAAAATCACTCGAGATTATCTCGAGCTATTGAAATACTCCTTGAAGTCGAACAGTACTTCTTATGATCACTCTAAAAATTTCCCTTTCAAAACTAGCTTTTAGAGTTGAGTGGGGCCTATATTCTTCCAAATTTTTATATGATATCAAATTCTAGTCTAGTATACACTACTCTTGGTTTCATTCGGAGATGTTCAGTCCTAACTAGGCTTGAGTGGGGATATTATAAGAATCCCACATGAGCCAAAACTTTTAGAGTTCATATTAGACCAAGTCCATTCTCAAATTTTTGCAGGAATCAGGCGAGGCTACAGAGAAATCTCATGTATTTGGCTGCAATAGCTGATTCTCAGCCCCAACCACCCACCATGCCTGGTCAGGTATATACTTACCTTAATAAGTTTTGCACTGACAACACACACACACACACACACCTTGTTAAGTCTTTCACTGATAACATGCCTAGATATCAGTTGGTAGAGTTCAAAAGTACTTTTGAACACAAACTAACAAATTCTTTATTCTTTATTTGTAGCGTTAAAATTCGTAGAAAGTATTTTTTTGAACTTTTGTCTAAACATTGGCTCAATCTTCAGCCCTTCCTGGGCAACCAATGCATCTTCCACTACTAATGTATGGATTTGATGGTGCAGTACCCTCCTGGTGGGATGATGCAGCAGGGAGCACACTACATGCAGGCTCAACAAGCACAGCAGATGACACAACAACAGCTAATGGCCGCACGCTCCTCCCATTTGTACGCGCAGCAGCCATATTCAGCACTTCAACAGCAGCAAGTCATGCACAGCCAACTGGGGGCGAGTTCAGGACTGCACATGCTGCAGAGTGAAGTGAGCAATGTGAATGTGGGATCAGGCAGTGCAACACTAGGAGGTTCTGGAGGGTTTCCTGACTTTGTCCGTGGCTCCACTGGGGAGGGTTTGCATGGAAGGAGCATGATTGGTGGAAGCAGCAAGCAGGACCTTGGTGGCTCAGGTGATGGCCGAGGGGGAAGCTCCGGTGAAGGGGGTGAAAGCCTCTACCTCAAGTCTGCTGAAGATGGAAACTAGGCACCTAAAATGCCAAAATTACTGCAAACTTTTGGTTTTTGGTTAGCAACTTAGTTAGGAGAAGTAGGCAGTGACATCAAGGGTAAGTAGCTAAGTGCAAAACTTGCCTACTTATATAATGTTTGTTTATCTTGTATTAGTGCTTGAGGCAAACCCTTGTCTTGATGTTTCTACACAAATTAGCACATTTTCTTATTCCTTGCGTAGATTTGTGGTCACATAACGTGGTTGGTTCGTGTCAAGATCAAAAGTGTGTTTTTCCTACCTCTGCGCTTGGTTTTATCAGTTTAGATTCGGTTTCACATTTCTAGTACTATTTTCTGTCTCCCTGCATCACATGATAAATCTTTCTTTGTTGATAATATTCCGTAGTAAATAAACATTTTATAATAAAAATAATATTGCAGATTTTCGACAAATAATTTAAATTTGGGTGTAAAACTATTTATAAATTTAGAGTCAAAAGATTGAGAGTTTTACTTTTTCAAGTTGTTTTTTTTATTATATAGCGTATATATAAATAGATTATATTTCGAAAAACCTTGGAACAAACATGTCTTGAATTAATTTTTTTTCTTGAATAGATATGATTGAGTTCAACGTCAATAATAGTCAACGATATTTAAATCTTTAAATTATTTTAATTTAAATTAATTAAGTTTATTTTACTACAAGAAATTTTAATATTACCAACGGTCAAAATATGTCCATATTACATTTGTATAGGCTTCAATTATTATTGGATTAAGAGAATTGTCATTGGCAGGATTCGAGACTTACTCCAACCACTAAGCTACCAGATTTTTTTTATAATAATTTACAAATAAATTATATTTATATATTTATATTTGTATATATTTATATATTTATATATTTATATATTTATATATTTATATATTTATATATTTATATATTTATATATTTATATATTTATATATTTATATATTTATATATAATTAAATATTTATTTTTTAAAATTATTTAATTTAAGAAATTATTATAAATTAATCTAATTATGATTAAATTAAATTATTAAATAAAAAATATTTAGTTTTTTAATTAGTTGAATATTTACTGATTGTTAATTTACCGACCGGATATATCCGTCTGTAATTAATGTAATGGATTTATCGATGGATTTACCAGACGGATATATCCGTCAAGAAATTCATCTCAGAATTACCGACGGATTTATCGACATATATATCCGATCGATAAAATCAAATTCCACAAATATTTTATATTCGTCGGTAATTTCCGTCTGGTAATAATTATTTTCTCGATGGATACAAATCCGTCGGTAAATATTCGTCTGTAATACGCGATTTTCTTGTAGTGTTTGGAGATAATTAATTTGATTTTTATATTAATTCTTCTAATGTTAAAATTTTATTCATTTTAAATTTCTAGAATTTTATGTAGAATTTTAAAATGTAATAACTTTGAAATTTTAATATCTTTAAAATGTAATTGCTTTTGTTTCACCCTCATTTTTTCACCCCCACACTTAGAAATTTCTAGAATTTTATGTCTTCATTTGCTTTTGTTACAACAAGATTTGAGGGATACTCAAAAGTAAGATGCTTTTATTTTAATTTGAACTCTAAATAACAAAATTTGGTCAATAACTTCTAACCAGTAGAAACTGATTTTTTTGTTTTCATGTCATAATTTTTCATCTTTCTGTTTTTTTATTGGTATGTTTGTTCAAAGAATTAAAAAGAAATACATTTTTAATAAAATAACCACTTATTAGAATTTGTAATATGATTGGATAAACTTAGTTAAAAAAAAACAGAAACAGAAAAAAAAGCTTTCTACTTTATTTTAGAAGCAATTTGTAGTTAATTATCTAAAAGAAAATTACTAAAAAATAAAATATTTTTTAATAATAAAAAAAAACTATTATCTTAAGAGAGAAAAACTGCAAGTGCTTAATGGAAGCAACTTTGATTTGTTTTAGGCGTGGTTTTTGGTGTCTTGGGCTTTTAGCTCCTTTACTTTAGCCCCTCCAAAAAAAAATAGAAAAGTAGAAAACCCTAAACCCTCAATAAAAGAATAAAATTTGCAAAGTAATAGATTTGAATTCTACGTACAAGAAAGACTTATTTTTACCTAATTAGTACAAATTTCTTTTCAGTTTGTGTATGTTTCAAAAAATTTATGTGTTTACATATTAAAATTAGTTTTTTTTTCTTACTTTGTCACGATTAATAAAATATGAGAAAAAAATACCCTGTGCAATAATAATAATAATAATAATAATTATTATTATTATTATTATTATTATTATTGATGAGTGTTGTTTGATTAATTGATGACTTTTTTTATATTATGATACATTCGAGTCTCAAATTATTTAATTGAGGTGAAAGTAATTTGTATATATCATTTTTTTCTTAATCCTTTTAAAGATAATATATTAGACATAAAAATTTTATAAACAGAACAATCTTAATAACTATATTTGCAAAAGAACAATTTAATAACGTGACTTTGTGAAATATTAATTTCAACAATATACTGAACATTACTCAGTTAGAAAGAATTCAAAAATTATTTTTAACATAATAGTGTAAGAATATATTTAATGGGATTTTTGATGATAAGTGTATTTCATAAACTAGAATATGAATTTTCATTGAGTTTTTAAAATTTGTACACCTTATTCAAGATCATGTATTTAATTTTAAAATAATTATTATAAAAACTAGAAATCTTAGCATACATATCAGTTCATTAATTAATAGATAATAATTCAAATTATCAATGTATTTAAATTAGTAATTTTTTTTTTTACATTTCATCATACGAAGATATGCTTTTTATATTTCTACATTTTAAATTAATAAATATATAATAATTTCTTTTAATTATTTTAGAAATTTACAATCATTAAAATGTATAACCCATAGTATGTAACTATGCAATGTTTAAACTTCTCTCCTCTTTGACGTATCTTCACAATCAAGCTATAACACACAAATGAGATTTTGGTTAATGTAATTAAATTTCATCTGTTAAATTGATAAGTTTCTTTTTGTTTAAGAATTGAAATTAATAAAATTTATAAATATTTTTTTCCCTTTCAATTTTTTTTAAAAATAAAATCATGATACTAAAACATCAAAGCAAATAATAAGATTTTGAAAAGATTATGTGGTTTGATTGATGAGAAAAAAAAAGGAATATGGAAAATTGGATGAACTGAAACAACTATTGATGTAATAAAAGAAAGAAAAACAACTAAGTTAAAAGAGATTCTCACTTCTTTATCTCATTCAAAACCATAAAAAAAAAAAAAAAATTATTTCTAAAGGAACAAATTCAAATGAAATTTTAGAACGTTAAGGGTGAAAGTTTATTTGCTCAGCATGATATTATTCTTGAAAACCGCATCTCCAACTCGTTTTGAGAACATATATACGTACACCTTGCACACTAATCTGATAAAGGATATTCATAAACTTTACTGAATAGTATTTTGGATATATTCATCATCGGTGCAGGATAATATGTGTTGCCAAAACGAGAGAAGGGTTTCATGGACCCTATAATTAGGTCTGCCACTGGAGGCAGAAACAATCATTGTTTGATTATTACTTCTACACAGTACTCAAATATATACGTATAATATGTATATCATACAAGTACACAGGGTGATGGCAAAAGAGAACGTGCAAGTTCTTTCCACAAGTAATCTTCATCCAACTCCACAGAACTAGTCATCATTGATCTGTTGTTGCTGTAATGATACAACTCGCTACCATCTTCACTTCCACGTACATCTCCACTTTGCATGACCCTTTCATGATGCATCGAAGTAGAACCATGCCCCTTACTTCGCCTTTCAACCTTGCTGGAGTCCTTGCCCGTTAGCTGTTGAACCACTGATCGAAACTCAGAAGCATCGCAGGCCCTCACCATCACAGGGCTCGATATGTAGGTTATTTTCACCGTTTTCTTTGGGGTTTTATGCATCATCTTTATGGTATTGGACTCCTTCCTGTGGTGGCAGCAATTCGGATCATATCTCAGTTTTCCCATTTCAGATCAACTTTGTATTGTGCTTCTAAAGGTGATGTGCTATATGGTGGCTTATATAGCCTACAATTCCAACTTGGTATAAGATCAATAATAAGAGCTGAGGCTTCCTAGAAGGAGGGTTATATATTATTTAATGTTTGAGGAAAATGACAAATTTGGAAAAACTTTGAAATGGGTGAAGAAAAGTGGTAATGTAGAACACCACCCATGACCCATGGCAATGATATGTGACTTACTACTATATACTAAGCTACTACATGATATGACGTGATGAGGTGAAGGGTTTTTCTTCTTTCCTTTTCATTAGGTGGCTCACACTCTCTATTGTTCTAAAATGACTGCGTATATATCTTTTATTTTTAACGCTGTGGTCGTTTTCCAACTCTAGTCCTCACTCTATACACCACACGGTTTTTGTTTTACTGTCTATGAGTCTATGCTTCTAGATCGGAAGGAAGAACTTTAATTTGGTTTTCATTCAACTAATCTACGTGATTTCATTCATGCATCTTATACTTTTATATGATAAATCAGAGCAGGTTGGTGCTTTTTTATTGTTAATTCTCTGGGTGTTTAGAAAGTCTGTACTGTGGTTACATAAAATAATATGAGTAAGATTTCACGCATCCACAAAAAATATGTATAATTTTAAAACATTTCTTTGTATTAACTTGTGTCCACCAAAAGTAAGTTAAAACAAAAGTCAAGTGAAAATCAAACCTTTCAATGAACACATTGAATATTGCATTAAGCTATCCAGAAGAATGAGAAAAATTAAGAATGTTCAATCTTCTCTCTGGTTATGACAGAGGATAAATATAAATATATACATGGGTCAATTCTTTACCTGGTTTAGTAATGTTCTAAATTTTTAAATATTCAAATCATATTTGTGTTAGCTGTGACAAATATTCAAACTCAGTCAAAAATTTGGATAACAACGTTAAGCTAAGCTATTATGTTTTCTTGCTATTGTTGTACGTGTTTTTTATCTGTGAAAAAGGGTTAAATATTTTGTCGGTCCTAGCTATAAGTCTTTTTTAAGCCTTCATAATTTATTTTTAGTTTCCGTGTATGTGTTTAATAAGTCTAGAAGAAATATGTTTTATATATAGAAATATTATTTGTATTAGTTTATTGGAATATTAAATAATTGATTTATCATATAATAATAGTTGTGTTTTTTTTTTTCAAATATAGCTGTCATCTAATATTTTTATGTAATTGAAAATAGTTCTTCTGTAGTAATTGTTTTAAAATTTATAAATTAATTTGAAGATATTTTTAATTATCATACAAATTTTGTCAAATCTTTGATAATGCTTTTTGTGTATCAGCCAAATATATATGGTTTATAAAAAATAGTTTTTTATTATTAATGTGAAAAAAATGTATGGTCCCATTTGTGAAAATTTAAAAAGTTCAAAAATATATTAAAAAAAGCAACTATTTTTTCAGTTGAGAATGATTTTAAATTGAGTTTCAATATACTTTTATATTCAAAATGGAAGTAAAAAAAAATGTTGTTTTTAAAACTCAGCTTATAAAATGACTTCCATCTAAAATTTATAACTTTATTCAAAACATACACATAATCTTTTGTATCTTAAAATTATTCTCTAAGATTATAGATAATGATGAAGGTTATTCCAGTTTCGTTAAGTCAAGAGTAAAGGATATTGAAGTTCACGGGATGGGATAAAAGAAAATGAAATTTCAGTAATATTAAATCAGTCAATCATTCAAACAAAGAATGAATAAAAAATCAATCAATCAAACACACAACTTTCTTTCACTAAAATATAATACGATTGATACTGTCACTTGAAGACATACAGTGAGAATTATCATGTTGTTTAACTTATTATTATTAAAAAAAAAAATCCTATGTATGTGGTCATGTGTGATCAAGTTGTGTGACAACACATGAAGTATATAGAATTATATATATTTTTTTATTATTAATGGTTACATTTAATAACAAAAATTCTAATTTCTGATGACTTTTTTTGAACAAGTTTAAAATAATATGGAGATTCATATTTTAAATAAATATTTGTGACAAAATTATCAACCAAAAACTTCATCCATGAAAATATAAAAAATATATACATAACTCAATAAGAGAAGTGATATAAGAAGACATAAAATAATTAAGAATGTTAATGTGAAGATTGGAATATGAAAAATCCACATAATATAATTTCTCAATACATACTTACCCATCATAATGACACAATAGTAAATAAACATAAAATATTTTTTTCATCACTTAAACATATAATATTATTTGAGCGAGAATCTTTTCCTTTAATGACATGCTTCTTAAAAATCTTAATTTTGATTGTGTTATTTCTTACTTAAACTAAAAATTAGGACAAAAGCTCAACCATGTTTAAATCTCTTTCCAGTAGAAACTAATGTTGACTTTTTTTTTACTTGAGAGATCAAAACATTGCTTGAATAAAATGTAAAACCAAAGTTTAGCAAAATAACAGTTAAATTTTAGAATACGTTCAAGTTATATAACCTATTAATGAATTTTAGAATTAGCTTCCATTATTTTTAAACTAGTTACCAACTACAAGATTCAATAGAAAAATTTGACATAAATGTTCAAACTTATCGATAAAGAATTAATTAACAAGCTAATTATATCTAATAGAGAGTGAAAATAAATTCACTCTAAGAAAGAAGCTAATCAATAGAAAAAAAAAAAAATTCTATTCTGGTAATTCCTATATGAAGTGTTTGGATATGAAAATTCTAATTTGTTTGACAAGGAAGAATTTTTTAAGTTTAATACAAATCAAGATTAAATAGTTAAATTTTTTTATTTCCAAGTGAATCCATAGATTTTTTTTTTTCATTTCCCAAGCAACTACCTTGAAATTTAATTACATTCTAATTTATTCTTAAAATTTATCTTTTTTACAAATAATAATGTTATTATTATATCAGAATTAAAAAATTTATCATATATATTAATGAAAATAAAAAAACTAGTAAATGAGTAAGGTTTAAGCTTAAAAAATGGTGGATTTTATTCCCTAATTAATATTATTGATTTTTTACGCGTAATTTAAAAGCTATACCTATACCCAAATTATTGTTTAAATGAATTAAAAGATTTTGACATTATAGGAAGGAAACTCAGAGAAGAGAAGAGAGGAGAAGAGAAGAGAAGGGACCGAGTTGCGTTAAAAGTGGGAGAGAGGAGAGATGAACAGTGCCAGGCCACGAGTTGGCGCGAAAGCAAAGGGAAGAAGAAGAAGGTGGCGAAGTTACAGGAGCTCCTCAACAATGTCCCATCCTTTCCAAGAATCACTCCATCCACTTCCCACTTCCACTTCCACCACCCTCACACGCCCACGCCCGTACATCGTCTCCTTCCTTTTCCTCACGCATCATCGCCATTGCCAATCCCTTCTACACTCCTCTTTATGCTGCGTAAGCCTCCACCACTTGCCGCTTTACGCCTCAATAATGGTACGTTGCTCTCCTTCGCCTTAACCAACGTTGCTTCCCATTTCACGCGCCATTCTTTGCATGATGATTTATAAAATTTTCATTTAAGAACTTTATTAGATTTGTTTCACTCTATCATAGATTACATGCATTATGTGCTACTTTTTGTATTGGCTAGATGATGATTTCTTATCTCCACCTGCAGGGGACTCCAGTGAATATTAGTGTGGGTTCTCATATCTGGGTTGAAGACCCCGACGTGTCTTGGATTGATGGACTGGTATCCAAAATCAATGGAAAGGATGCTGAAATTGACACAACCAATGGAAAGAAGGTTTGTGCTCATTTGCGTACTTGAATAAGTTGCATACGCTACTGAATAGCCAAACAGTTCACTTTTTTTTATTTCTTATATTACCGTAGTTGATATAAAAGAACGAACATCAGTGATAACAATGACTAACTTATCTGTTGTGCTCAGTCTATGTTTATTGCACTGACACTCTGTAGTTGTATCTGCACTACACTTGGATGCAGAAACAAAAAAATAAAAATAAAAGTGAACGCACTGAACTTGAAGGAAGAGATCCAGCAAAGAATATTCTTCGTTTGTCCTTGACCTTCCCAGTTTTTGCTTGATCTTTATATCACCGTTAGGATCTGTGGAATTTGTTAGTTTTTAACTTCATGAAATTACTGTGAAAATTGTTGAACTTGTAAGCTCGATTATCGTCATGTCTCTGTTGTTTTCTTAACTTTTTTCTACTTTAATTAGGTTATCACCTTTGGGGATTCTGTTCTGAAGCTAGAAAAATATTTATTTTTTGTTCTACTCTGTCGAAGATTTTCTTTGTGGAGAAATTGTCTTTTCTAATGCCTGTATTGTTGATTGGAAAAGGGTGCAAAATATTGTAGTAAGGCGAAGAATTGTCGTTACCTGTGTTTTTATTTTGATTATTTCTAGGTTGTCGCAAAGTTATCAAAAATATACCCGAAAGATATGGAAGCCCCTGCGGGTGGAGTGGATGATATGACTAAGCTTTCCTATTTGCACGAGCCCGGAGTCCTCCAGAACTTAAAGACAAGATATGAATTGAATGAAATATATGTATGCCTCTCTTCCCTTTAACATGGTAAAATCCAGCATTGTTTATTTGCCCAACAAGTTGTTACATATTTATTAATTGCCATTTCAGACCTATACTGGAAATATTCTGATTGCAATAAATCCATTCCAAAGGCTACCTCATATTTATGATTCGCACATGATGGAACAATACAAGGGAGCACCATTTGGAGAGTTAAGTCCTCATGTATTTGCCATTGCTGATGTTGCATATAGGTATTCTAAAATCTTAAAATTGTCCAAATTCCGATTCTTTCATTGAACCAAATTTAGACTGATGAAAATTCATTACCAGGGCAATGGTGCACGAAGGAAAAAGCAATTCAATTTTGGTCAGTGGGGAAAGTGGAGCTGGTAAAACTGAAACTACAAAAATGCTTATGCGATACCTTGCCTTCTTAGGTGGTAGGGCCGTCACTGAAGGACGAACTGTTGAACAACAAGTTCTTGAAGTATGATTGAACAAATTACACGTTTTTTTTAACTCTAATAATTTTCTATTTTTTTATTTCAAGCTGTGATATTCCCCCTTTTTTTTTATCTTGAACTTGGACTCATTCTGTGTTAATTGATCCGAGTGCAGTCAAATCCAGTTCTGGAAGCATTTGGCAATGCTAAAACGGTCAGGAATAACAATTCCAGGCAAGTCTTACAACTGGAAGTAAATAATCCCTTGTTTGAATTCTCTGTGAAACCTTGATATATGGATTAATTTTGTTGTCAGTGTTCGTTACATATGGGCGATACAGGATTGCTTGTATTTCACTCTTCTCCATAACCTGATCTGATATGTAAATTAATCTTTGTCTTCATTTTGTCTCATTGCAATCCCCCAGCTCTATTATACTGCCAGAATATATTATGTTAATAACAGAAATTAAATTAGTTACTGTTTATCAATTTTGCTCTTCATAATGCAACATTAACTGCTACGTGATGCGTATTTATGTTCAATCTTCTACCAAATTAGTTTCAAATTCTCCTTTTCTTAATGGTGCAGTCGTTTTGGTAAATTTGTTGAGATCCAATTTGATAAGAGTGGAAGAATCTCGGGAGCAGCTATACGAACATACCTTCTAGAGAGATCTCGGGTTTGCCAGATTAATGATCCTGAACGCAACTACCACTGCTTTTATTTTCTTTGTGCTGCACCACAGGAGGTTACTTGCTGCATAATCCACTTTTTGAGGGATTTTTTTTTAATTATGTGAACTCATTGCAATGTTTGCTTACAGGAAATTGATAAATACAAATTAGGAAATCCTAAAACGTTTCATTATCTTAACCAGTCAAAATGCTATGAACTGGCTGATATAAATGATTCCCGTGAGTATCTTGCTACCAGGAGAGCTATGGATATTGTTGGAATAAGCCAAAAAGAGCAGGTATCTTTTGCTTGAGCATGGATTTAGCTTCTTTTTTGCAAGAAAATGGAAAATTTATCTTCCTAGTTCTTACCTCTCTACTTCCCCTTGCCATTTTTCTGTAAGGAAGCAATTTTCAGAGTTGTTGCTGCAATTCTTCATGTTGGGAATATTGATTTTGCCAAAGGCAAGGAAGTTGATTCATCAATTCCAAAAGATGATAAAGCCAAATTCCACTTAAAAACAACTGCTGAGCTTCTTATGTATGACTGACACTATGTATTATTACTCCCCAATACCCATATTATTTTTACTGTCTTTGAGATGATTGCCGTCATTGGATTTCTCACTTTATCAGGTGCGATGCCGGTGCCTTGGAAGATGCATTATGTAAGCGTGTCATGATCACACCTGAGGAAGTTATAAAACGGAGCCTTGATCCCCAAAGTGCAGCAGTCAGCAGAGATGGCCTGGCAAAAACAATTTATTCTAGGCTCTTTGACTGGTAAGATGGTGGAAATGGAAAATGAGTAAAGTATAGCAAGTTAAAGAATCTAGGATTCTGGTATTGATCCAGGTGCATTAATGTGGTGGTTAAACAGGTTGGTGAACAAGATTAATAATTCAATTGGACAAGACGCCAATTCTAAATCTTTGATTGGGGTGCTTGATATCTATGGTTTTGAAAGCTTTAAATCTAACAGGTAATATGTAGTTCAGAAGAAGAAACATGCCTACAAGTACTTCACATTATTGAAAAGAGAAATGCTAGCGGCACTCTATTAATAATTGAAATTTATTGGGAATCATAATTTTTGATGGGTCGTACTTTTCAATTAATGAGTCTCTCTCCAGATTGAGGAGTGGGACCATAAAAAATTTGATTTCCAATCAATTCAACCCAATAATAAAGAATGTTAGAGTGTTGCTAACACTCTTATTAAAAATATTGAAAGCAACTACCTCTGCTTGTTTTCAATCCTTTGTAACTTATTTTCAGCCTATCATGCTCTGCAGTTTTGAGCAGTTCTGCATTAATTTCACGAATGAGAAGTTGCAGCAACATTTCAATCAGGCAACATCTCAGACCATGATAAGCACTTAAATTTACTTAAGACCATCTTTTCTCTGCTTGACATGCTTTTTATGATGAACTTCAGCACGTGTTTAAGATGGAACAAGAAGAATACACGAAGGAGCAGATAAATTGGAGCTACATTGAATTTGTTGACAACCAAGATGTTTTGGACCTTATTGAAAAGGTCCCCCATTTCTATTTTTTTCCTTCTCTACATGGATGTTTAGTTCAATTTGTGTTTGAAAGTAGTCAACTTATATGCTCAGAAACTTAAGTAAATGGAAAGATAATGCTACTATGCTTTTGATATGCTTATTGTCTTACTAAATTCCATTTCACAACCTATTCTGTGGACAATGCATCCCCGTTAAATAATGAAATTCTGTTAATCCCAATCGCATAGATAAACTAAAGATTTACAAAACAACTGGCAGCATTTATAAAGGAGGAGAAGCGAGAGAAGGGATGGGAGTGAGGGTGAAGGTGAAAATGATTTTGGTTAAATGGTTTGTTGCTTCTTTTGAACTTCATCACAAGAGCCCTATTGAGTATGTTGTACAATCTTTTTTATCAGTGTTTCAAACAAGCACAACTGCACAAATTTACCGTTAGGGAACTACTGTTAATAAGTGATTTCACTCGGTTGTAATTTAGGTTATGTTACAGTCTGCCCCTCTTTCAGGCTATCGTTCCAGTTTATGTTTTTCTTTTTATACTAATCTCTTACATTGTTTATCATTTTTGCAGAAACCTGGAGGAATAATTGCACTCCTTGATGAAGCTTGGTAAAATATTGTTAACCCTTGAATTTTTTCGTTAAATGATAGAGATTTATACCTTGCTAGATGATTTTATCCTTTTCCTTGTGGTGACATGGACCAGCTTTTGTAATATTGTTTTAAATCTAAACCCTTTTGTTACAAAGATATTGGTTAACTCCTTCGTTCTGACTTCCCCCTCCTCTTTTCTTGCAGTATGTTTCCAAAGTCCACACATGAAACATTTTCAAACAAACTTTATCAAACATTTAAGAATAACAAGCGCTTTATTAAGCCAAAATTGTCTCGAACAGATTTCACTATTTCTCATTATGCTGGCGAGGTATTACTTGATCGCATACCACCAGCTTGAGCCAAAAATAAGAAATATTCGTTTGATCATTTCTACTGTCATAATGCGCAGGTGACCTACCAATCTGACCAATTTTTAGACAAAAACAAAGATTATGTGGTTGCTGAACATCAAGATTTATTGAGTGTTTCCAAATGTCCATTTGTAGCTGGCCTTTTCCCTCCACTTCCAGAAGAGACATCCAAATCTTCTAAATTTTCTTCAATTGGTGCTCGATTTAAGGTATCATTTTTGTCTGGTCTTCATTGTTAAACGTATGGATTTATTCAACAAAAATAAAAAAGCATCATGCATCAACATGTACCCAAGACATGGCCTACAAAATTGAACTGTAATCTTATAACCAGGAAGCTAACAAACCATGTTTTCATATCCTGAATGGTGCAGCTGCAACTACAGCAATTAATGGAAACACTAAGTTCTACAGAGCCTCATTACGTTAGATGTGTGAAACCAAACAATCTCCTCAAGCCTTCAATTTTTGAGAATTCAAATATTATGCAGCAACTTCGCTGTGGTGTGAGTATAGTTTGAAAATATAACTTGATATTCCTCCTTTACTTCACTCTATGTGATGGTTAGTACAAAGTATGGCCCTGGTATCTTCACATTTTCAACCTTTCTTTGGTGGTCTCTAATGTTTGCTGATACAGGGTGTTTTAGAGGCAATCAGAATCAGTTGTGCTGGCTACCCTACTCGCCGTGCTTTCTTTGAATTTATAAACCGATTTTCCCTTCTTGCTCCAGAGGTCACAGAAGCACAGTAAGAACTCTTCTTGCATATCCTTCATGCAAAAGGGAAGGAAGTTTTGGCTTTATGTTTTCAAACAGTTTGGTACCAAATTTCCTGAATGCTAAACTGCTGTGTTTATTCACCTATGGGCAGTCATGATGAGAAGACTGTTTGCCAAGATATTCTGGAAAAAGTGGGGCTTAAAGGATATCAGGTACTTCAAAATGTTTTACCGGAGTTAATACTTCACTCTTGTTTTCTTTTTTAAATATCATTGAAGCTTGTATGGCCTTTGCAAAAACTAAAATTCATGGATATTGTATCATCAATATATATTACCTCTTTCGGCCATAATTAAATAATGTCAACAAGGTATTGTGCATTCACATAACATCTATCTATCTATCTATCTATCTATATATATATATATATATATATATATATATATATATATATATATATATATATATATATATATATATATATGTTGTGCTCCCCTCACATTCGATGTCACAAAGTTCATTTAATTGGCTGTCAATTGTGTAGATTGGAAAAACAAAGGTATTCCTAAGAGCAGGTCAGATGGCTGAACTAGATGCACGGAGAGCTCAAATGCTCAGTAATGCCGCAAAAACTATCCAACGGCGTATCCGAACTCATCAAGCTCGTAAACATTATGTTGCACTACGGAAGACGACTACAGTGGTTCAGTCTATTTGGAGAGGTGTGAAATATTATAAAAGAGATAACCTAAATCATTGTTTTGGATAGGTCAATACTGTATGGACTTCCCCAAACGGAATGTCGTATCTCAGTTCTGTAGGACATCTTACTGCATAATCAGTCTCCTGTCTCTACAGATTTCTCACATTCATAATTTTTTTTATAGCAAGACTTGCATTCAAATTTTATCAGAACTTGAGAAAGGATGCAGCTGCCGTGAAAATTCAGAAGAATATACGCAGATATGCATCTAGGAAAGCCTATACTAAACTCAAAGCATCAGTACTTGCTTTGCAAACAGCTTTAAGGGGAATTGCTTCCCTCAAGGAGTTCAGATTTAGGAAACAGACTAAAGCTTCCATCATTATTCAGGTCACAGTTGACTACTATAAGATTAGGAACATTGACAAAGGTTGTCAGTATTCAATATTTAAACTCTTGAAAAATTGCAGGCTCAGTGGCGGTGCCACAAAACTGCTTCATATTATAAGAAGCTCAAGAAAGGTTCAATTGTCACACAATGCCGATGGAGGGGGATCATGGGCAGGAGAGAACTTAGGAAACTGAAAATGGTAATTTCTATATTTTCCATGGTTCCTAAAATATTTTTTAACCATCCCGTCTTTTAACACAATCCTGAGAAACAGGACAATGAAAATGCAAAATGCATCCAACCTATATAACTGATGTTTTCTGTTACTAAAGCAAGTTTCATATCAGAAAGGCTTTTAGTTTTTATACAACGTTCATATATTTGTTTATCATCATTGGGAAAACAACAAAATTGAAGTTGTCCTATCTACAAAATAGAAATTACATTTTACCTTCATTTCTTATTATAGAAGCCAAAAATTTCATTCTCATTCTATTCTCTATTTTAACTTCTTTTATTAATCATATCTTTAATGTGAAACAAGTAGCACAAATCCACAAACCTCGCTTTATTTATTCTTCCTGATTCTTTTATATCTCCCATTCTACTCAGTTGATATTCGTATCCATTTTCTAGGCTGCAAGAGAAACTGGTGCACTTAAGGAGGCAAAGGACAAGCTTGAAAAAAGAGTGGAGGAACTCACTTGGCGTCTTCAACTAGAGAAAAGTTTAAGGGTGAGATATATGCTTTGCAGGTACATAAATTTTGAAAGGTCAGCATGAGAGACAGCCCTAAAGAAAATTATTTGGAATCCTGTAGAACAACCTAGAAGAGTCCAAAGCACAAGAGATAGCAAAACTGCAGAATTCACTGCAGGAGATGCAGAACAAAGTTGATGAAACCAATGCATTACTTATAAAGGAGCGAGAGGCTGCAAAGAAAGCTACTGAGGAAGCACCTCCTATTGTTAAAGAAACTCAGGTTATTGTTGAAGACACTGAGAAGATCGAATCACTAACAGTGGAAATTGAGACTCTAAAGGTAAGAAAATTTGATTTTGCAATACTTAATCTCTGTTAGGTGACCCCAATTTCAATCATGCTTCTATTTCTGCATAAAATGCCCCTTAATAATAGGGAGATATTGTAGACAATATACTTCAACACACACAACTTGTATCAATCTTAGAGTGGTTCATCAATTCTTTTGCCTCTCTACTACTTTTCATTGGTTAATTGTCACAAAGTTTGATGAAATATAAAGAAATTGGCATTTTAATGAGGTCCACAAAAGAATTTCGATGGGAGGATTATTCAATGGGAATATGCACCGAATCTAAATTATACAAAGTATGTAGGCTACTTGGAAAGAGAAAGAACATTAAAAAGAGAGAACTGCACTTAAAACGCTCTAATTTCCTAGAATGCTCCTATTTCCAGCAGACATTATATAGTCCAACCAGTAGACAGCTAAATTAAGCATCTCATTAAAGACCTTTGCAGTACACTTCAGAGTTCAGTGTGTTCATTTGAGAATGAAAGTAGTACCAGTGTATCTTAAAGTGGTGAAACAATATTTGTTTCCCATTTGTTGATATGAGAAAAACGTAAGTTGATATCATTGTGCATTCCTTCAAATAAGTACTTGACATCCAACAAAATAGATTCATAATTGATGAAAATTAGATAGTTAATGTCAAAATCTAATCATCTTAAAGTTTACAATGTTAGGAGGATAAACATGAATGGCATTATACAAGAAAAGTATTTACCGAAATGTGTGTTTTGACCACAAATAAGTAGAATAATCCCTAATTTTCATATATACGGTATTTTGATATCTCCCTATTTACATAAGATAAAATCATATCTTTGTAACACGTTCCTTCAAGCACTATCCCTTTGAACTTCAAATGTACACAATGCAGGCCAATTTCACCAATTGCGCAGGAGGGTTTTATATTGTATTGAAGCCCAATCATCCTAAAAGCTTTAGTTGTTAGAGAGCATGATAAGGATTGTAATGGGCATATTACTATACCAAGGAATATAAGAATGATTAATTAAACGTTTATGCGTAAGGAGCTTATATCAGTGTACTAAAGTTCTTATTAATAATGGTTATCTCATCTAAGTTGGATTTATCTTCTCAGACCTCCCTTGAGTCCGAGAAACAGAAAGCTGACGACTATGAAAGGAAATATAATGAGTCCCAAGCTTCTTGTGAGGAAACGAGTAAAAAATTAGAAGACGCAGAAAAGAAGGTTCGTCAGCTCCAAGAATCTTTGACCAGGTAATATAAAAAATGAAAATAAACTTATTGTCACTGTTCTCGCGTGCTAACCAACACGGAAAATATTGGATTAGAGTGTGCCTAATTTAGTTTCTTTTTCATGAAAAGTATGATGATATTATTGGTAAACTGATCAAACATAATTCTTTCTTTCTATTCTTCCCTGGGTAAAATTAATTATTATTATTGTTACTACTATGCAGGATAAATTTATATCTAATTTTAAAATCTTATCTTGCAAAATAATATATGAATCGTATCTACACTTAATTTGGCGAGATGAATGACCAAAATGTCATTTCTTTGATTAGGCTAGAAGAGAAGATTACTAATTCAGAATCAGAGAATCAAGTTCTACGTCAACAAGCTGTGTCGATGGCACCAAATAAGTTCCTCTCAGGACGCACTAGATCAGTTATTCAGGTACTCCTCAAAATGAATCTTATAAACTTAATAATAATACGAATGTAATGATTGCTTGTGACATTTTCTCATCTCTTTTGATAGAAACTGGATGGTGGACATATTGGAATGGAAGCAAAGACAACTTTGGTAACTAAATTTATTTTAAATCTATTACTTGAATGTGTATGAAGATTAAATCTTTGTTACTTGTCTTGGATATGTATAAGAGGATTTGACTTTTTTTCATTTTTACTTGATAAACTAATCAGGATATGCATAGCTCATCAATTAACCACAGGGAATCCCCTGAAGTGGAGGATAAACCACAGAAGTCACTCAATGAGAAACAACAGGAGAACCAAGAATTACTTATTAGATGCATTGCACAAAACCTAGGCTTTGCTGGAAATAGACCAATTGCGGCTTGTATCATATACAAATGCCTCTTGCATTGGAGATCGTTTGAAGTTGACCGTACTAGCGTTTTTGATCGTCTAATCCAAACTATTGGGCACGCAATTGAGGTGTAAAATGCTAAACTTGTGCGATAGTTCTCCTTGTTTCCTTGTTTATCACTAATAAGTTTTATTTTACCTCAGACACCGGATAATAATGATGTCTTGGCTTATTGGTTATCCAACGCCTCTACACTTGTCTTGTTACTACAGCGCACACTAAAAGCAAGTGGTGCGGCTGGAATGGCTCCTCAACGTCGTCGATCTTCATCAGGGAGCCTGTTTGGGAGGGTGACACATGTAAATACAACTTCTGATTTAAACGGATTAAGTCCAGTTGAGAAACTTTCCGTCTTTGGATAAGTAAAGTCTTTATTACTACTTTTCTTTCAGAGCTTCCGTGGAACTCCAGCTGGAGTCACCCTTCCCCTAATCAATGGTAGCATGAGCGGTGTAGATACATTAAAAGTTGAAGCCAAGTACCCTGCCCTCCTTTTCAAACAGCAGCTTACAGCTTATGTGGAAAAGATATATGGAATGATTCGAGATAACTTGAAGAAAGAAATTTCTCCCTTGCTTGGATTATGCATCCAGGTATAACAATTTCTTCGTTACGCTAGAGTAAGCTTCGACGTTTTGATCTACCATGTAAATTATAAAGCTTTTCCTTTTCAGCATTGCCTTTAAATCACTGATTCAATATGTACTGTTTGAACATGATGAGATAGGCACCCAGAACATCCAGAGCGAGCTTGGTTAAGGGATCATCACGTTCAGTTGCAAACACTGAAGCCCAGAAAGCTTTGATTGCTCACTGGCAGGGGATAGTTAAGAGCCTTGGGAACTTCTTAAATACTTTGAAAGCAAATCATGTTAGTCCAATCTCTTTTGACTTTATCCATTTTTCTTCCTTTTCTTAACTAGTGCTTTCTCGTAGCAAATTTTGCTAGCAATGTTAGTTCTGGCTCTTCGGGTAAATATTTGAATCGGTCATATTAAATACATTATTATAATTTATAATGAAATCATAGGCTTCTATTGAAGTTCACAAAAAATTACATGATTTCGTTTTTGTCTCCAAAATTAGTCATAAATTTTTTCTAATTTAAAATAGGCTTAAAAATGTCAATTTAATGTAAAAATTAGTAAGTTTTGATTTTGATCTCTATAAAAATATTTTCTGCATTCTGTTTTTTTCTAAAATTTAAAATCTCTTTTTTCTTTTTTATCTCTAGTGTTGATCTTAAAATAAATAAATAAATAACATTTATTTTAGAGATCTTGCAAAATTTTAAAAGTGTCAAATGTCAACACACAACACTAGGAATAAAAAACATTTTTTTAATTTTAGAATGACAAAATAGAAAGAAATTGGTTTAAGAAACCAAAATTAAAACTTTTAGTATACGGAAGATTGAAAACGTATTTATGTATTTTACATATTATATAAAATGAAGCTAATATATATGGGAAGTGCTACATGATTTAGTGACACTCGGGGAGGTTAATGTATTTTATATTCTTCCATTGTGTTCATTTTTTCTTTGGTGAGCTATTATTATGCATTTATTATTTAGCATTGTTGGAGTAAAATATGTTTGTTCTGCTTAGTCCAATCTCTGCTTCATTTTTGCAGGTTCCTCCATATTTGGTTCGTAAGGTGTTCACTCAAATTTTTTCCTTTATCAATGTCCAACTTTTCAACAGGTTAGGCTTTTCTACTTACATTGTTTTGGTGATGGTTTTTGTTCCGGAAATCTAATTCTCATTTTTATAGTCTTTGCATCTTCATTTTTCTTGTAGTCTTCTTCTAAGACGGGAGTGCTGCTCATTTAGTAATGGAGAATATGTGAAATCTGGTTTGGGTGAATTGGAGGATTGGTGCAATGGTGCCACAGAAGAGGTGCATTACTTTACAGTGCTGTTATACTTTGCGATTCTTTTAATTAGGTATAAATACTAACCTCACCCCTCTCCCTTCTCTCTCGGGAAAAAAATGCAGTACTCTGGTTCGGCTTGGGATGAGCTCAAACATATAAGACAGGCTATTGGATTTTTGGTATCTATCTTGCCTGTATCCATCTGCATGGTACTTGTTCTAAGGGTCAGATAGTAAATATTAAAAACTGATGTTCCCTGCCCGTAATTTAGGTAATACATCAGAAACCAAGGAAAGCGCTGCATGAAATAAGTCACGACCTGTGCCCAGTAAGTGAAAGCATCTTTTATTTTCTGCTTAAAATTTCACATTCCCGAATACCTACCATTCTTCACTATTCACAGGTCCTCAGCATACAGCAGCTATATCGGATTAGCACCATGTATTGGGATGACAAGTATGGCACACATAGCGTATCCCCTGATGTAAGTCTTTACACTTAACTATTACTCAAACTAGATTTAAAATCGTAAATGGTCTATGTGCCAGAAAGCCATGATAAGTTCATATTGTAGACTTGAACAAAAACTACGCTGATCTTTGCCGTATCTATGTTTTCATCTAGGTTATATCCAATATGAGAGTGTTGATGACTGAAGATTCAAATAATGCAGTTAGTAATTCTTTCCTGTTGGATGATGATTCAAGGTAAGCCGGATATTGTTCAGCCATGAAATAATACTTGTTCTGGATTTCATCTTGTTCCTCAAACGCTTATTAATATTTTATTTGACTCACATTTAATTTCTTCCTTGAGTCCAGGGCCAATAATTCTCATAATTAGTTTAAACTAAAGCTATGACTTATTACAAAATAAATGACAACTGAAATAATCTTGTGGCGCCTCCAAGGGCTTAGCTTGGTTAGAGCATTGCAGTGTGCTCCCTTCAATTCTACTCAGATATCAATTGCTAGGCTGTTATTAATTATGATCTTTGAAACTAATGAATTAAACCCTGTTCAAAATGGCCGGGTAACAGGTTACAGATGGGGTGAGTTGAATTTTATGTGACGCCCCTTTCCAGAATATAAAACTCACCCGGTAGAGATTAAAGTATAATTCCTACATTCCTGCATTTAACGACTAACTTACTTATGGGTTCTCCTTGACTGGAAAGAGCCTCAGGTGCATTTATTTATTACTGAATAAAATTTTGATTTTAGTGAATATGGTAGAATAAGAACAAAACTCTAAATTAAATGCTTGTAGTTATTATATTAAAAACTTTTGACCTTGTCATTTATATGCTTCGCAGCATTCCGTTTTCTGTCGATGACTTAGCGAAGTCGAAGGAACTGATCGATGTCTCTGATTTAGAGGCCCCACCACTATTACGTGAAAACACTGGCTTTAGTTTTCTGTTGCCACGCCCAGACGCACAGATATCATGACATCCTTACCATTGTCCACACATCAAACCATAAATCATATTCAGTTAGATTTTTTTTCTGCCTTGGTTACCACAGAAAGAATATTGTATTTAATATGATAAATTTATTTGTTTGGTAGTTTGAGAAAGGTATAACATAGATCAACTAACTCTTATGTGGGAGTCAAAGGCATACGAGTCTTTTTCCATGAAAATTTCCCCGTCCTTTTTGTCCACATGTGCACTCGTTGGTACCTTCTTTTTCTTTAGGATAAGATTTTGTACCTATAAGCATAGGAATTTCACCAATTTATTCTGTCGCCTACAGCAAAGTACATTATTTATAGACTTTGTAGATTTCTTTTATTCCTTTCGACTTCTATTTTAACCTGCTACAGTGAAACAAAATGAATTTTAATATTATTCTTTCAATAATAAACAAAGAATTATTTACTAAAGTATTTTATAAGTTAAAAATGAAATGTCGAATAATATAAACAATGAACGACCTAATACTTACAATTTCAAATAATCTAAAGAGCTAACCGCATATTATCTCACAATATCTTGTCAGTCTTGATATAAGGCCTCCCATTTTAATCCCTTTATATTTATTTTTCATTTGTGTACTTAAAAATATTGTGCATGAAATGAGAAATATAATTAATGTTTTTATCGTTTATTTTTTTAACTTTCTAATACGACATTAACCAATATTTCTCATCTATGATAAAAGTGTAAAATTTAAAAATGAGCCTAGATGAGAACATGTTTGAAAAAAATAAAGTTAATATTATCTTCAAAGTTTTAAATGAACACACAATGTTTAAAAACTGATAAAACTGAAGAAACGGGGGAACAAGATATTATTTTTATACGCATAATTTGAAGTTTCAACTAGTTCATAAATACAGGCAGATTATTATGCAATTTGGTTAACCATTGTCTTAAGCTTAAAAAATAAACAAAAAATTATGATGGAAATGTATTAATAACATTGTTAGTGTTGCTATTTAGTACGAGTAACATTTGGACACATTTCAAGAATCAAATTTTCTTTAACATCAAACAGCCATTTGCAAAGCTTTTATATCTCCCCATCCCTTACACTTTTTAATTTTTAATAATCATCCTTTTTTAGTAACGAAAAAATCGTTTCATATCTTACCTTTATAATTTTATATCTCCCCAAACAAGTAAAGGTGGAATTTCTTTCTTTTTTTTCTTTTGCATTTTTATCCATCCAAACAACATTTATATTTTACTTAGTCTCTCTACTATTATTTATATCCATATTTTCTACTTCTCTATTTCACTCGTAATTCAAACAAAGCATTACACCTCAAATAAGTCGTCTTTAAAATAAGTTTTATAAAATTATTTTTAAGAACTAAAATTAAATAAAATAAAATAAATCCAAAACACGCTTAATCTTTTAAGAGCCGAGTCTACTAGTAACAAAAAATGCCTACCCGTACTTTCATACTTAGCGTTAAAGGACCCCAAAAAAGATTGGGCTTTTACTAGTATTCATACATACTAGAAGATCCACAAGATCCCGAATCTGCGTCTGCAGCATTCCTACGCATTTATATTCATTTCTTCCAGTGAAAGACAAGAGAACATGATCAAAATAGCAATATTTTTCGTTGTTTTGATAAACCAGCAACCTACCAGCATGTACGGCACCGGATCCATAAAAGTGAAGAAGGTCCTACTACTGCTAGACTCTAAAACAGAACAAAGATGCTAAAAGCTTAAGGCCCGTTTACTTCTGTTTTCATTCTCTGTTCCATGTTTAATTTACAAAATTGTCAGTTGTTTTCACTGTTTTCTGTAGAAATCTTTCATAACAGGAAACAAATTGAAAATAAGACGACAGTTTTGTAAATTAAAGCAAAACAAAAATGAAAATATAAGTAAATAAGCCCCTAAATTTCCCTTGTTCCATGTTGTCACGAGGCACAGGATGCCTGTGGCCATGATGGTAGAAAGTAAGGAACTATTTTGCTAGATTCCCAAGAAATGGAACCTCCACGACCCTGATAATTAACAATTTCCACCGTTTTGGTCACCAAATCACACAGAAAAATGTTCCACCCTGACCTTATGAAGATAGATGTAGAATTCTGTGGAAGGAATGACAGTAGCTGGGTTTCTTTAGAATGTGTGCTTAAAGATGGCATCTGCTTCCATAGTACTTTAAAATTTAATCTCCACCTCAGAACCCACTTGTACTTCAGACGTGTACAGATGCAGTAAATGGATGAGTTGTTGTCTTCTGGTTCCTTCTCAAGCATCCATATCTCCACACCAATGTTATTGCTCTGACCATACATCAAAAGCCCATCTGATGACTCCCCAAGAACAGATTCCTCATGCTCATGTGTTAACACACCTGTTGGTAGTTTAATCGAAGCTACATACCTGTCTCCAAGACGAGGATCATAAATGGCAAGTTTCCCCCATATCGCAAACCAGTGTACAACCCCTCCAACCACCATAGCTGCTGTCCTCGGGCGCAATGCAAAAGATGTAGAGCACATCAGAGTGGATTGCTTCCATTTTCCAGTTTTTGATGAGTAAGTCTCAATTGAGACAGTGTTGCGTTCCTTAAGTTTGCATTCACATCTTGCTCTGATCACCTTGTAGCATGTGTCACCATGAAGAAAATCCTCAACAATCAATGCCATGCATAGAACTTTATAGAATTGCTGAGGTTCTGGGAGTTGATACGTTTGCTTGGTCAAGGTGTTGTACACATAATATGTCTTTGGATGGAGACCAGAAAGAATAATGCCTTTGGAACTATCAATGAAATACCCACGATGTTTGAGGATTCCAGAGTGTTTCAAATCATCACCCTCTCTACAAGTGGACAAGAACGGGAGGGGAGGCTCCCAACGAGGGCGGCGGTAACCATCCCGAGGTCTTCCAAGATATAAAAAGTTGCATACAAAAAATCCCAGAAGTCGAAAACTTAGCCCCCATTGTCTCAAGTAGCCTTGACGAAAAGAAGGACTGCATATTACTCGTAGCCATATTTTTGATACAACAATTAATTTGGAGATAACTGATGGTGGTATTCGAAGTAGGATCTCATGCAGGATGTCATCACAGTTAAGTGCACCCCCATTAACACTAATACGTTTCATCCTCTCCATTCTTGTCAGACAAGTTATATCCTGCTAAGCATAAACTAATAGATTCTTCAGAAGAGCCAAAAAGAAGTACAGATATAGCTTAACTGATAATGTGATACATAAGTTCATTCACTAATAATATAATAATAACCAAATCAAATAAACTAACCCCATGTTCACCATTGGTCTAGAATTTGCAACTGTGTTGTCAAATTCAAACCACTTTATTCAGGGTTCCAGACATCAGAGAAAAATCCTGGTCAAGTCTATATAACACGATTTTCATATGAATTATATGAAAATGGAACTGCATGGGGCTTTCTCAGTTAAAGTGAAACATATTTATGCTATTTCACCTCGTTCTTCAACTTTTCTGAGGTTGATAAGTAGTTATTAACATCAATTCCAGGAAACCCATTTTCTAATCAACAAGTAAACTAATCAAAAGTTTATTTTAGCTTTTACGAAACCCACACGCGTTTGGTTAAAAACTTTGAACGATAAATTTATCCCTTCTGCAAATAAATAAAATCTAAAACGGAAACTGGTTAGCGCAGGGTAATTGCATGCAAAGATTAACCTAAATTAATGAGAAACGGGGGAATGGAAATGGATTCACTCACTCATCAGAGTTGGGGTTTCGAAGCAGGGTGCACGGGGTACATGCTTGCCCCTGTCGATTGATTTGATCGATGAAGCTAAAAACAAAACGCAGAACGAGTTTTGATTCAAGAATAACTTTTTATTGGTTGGGCTTTCACTCTCCTCTTACTGGGTTGGGTGGATACGGGGTATTTCTTACTAGACCTCCTACTTCTTTTTTTCCTTTTCCTACGTCGATATTCATTTAAATCACAACATTATCTATAATATAAATAAATTCTGGAAAATTTATATCAAAAAATTTGTTAGATTAATTCTAAAATGGTTTCTGAAAAACTTCTAAAAAGATGAATCTGGAAAATTTTTAGAATTTTTTATCTTCTGAAAATCTTTCAGAAAGGAAATATGATAGATGCATAGAGAATGTGCCGTGGATAAGGCTCTCTCGACAATACAGTGGCTCCAAGTCTTGTTATTCACTACGATACGAACCCAAACTACTTCTGGGATTCTATTTACCACACCCTTTTTTCTCTCATTACTAAAACTAAAATTAATTTTAAAAAATTTAAGGGTGTAAAAAAAAAGGAGGTTCAAAAATAATTTTCCTTTTACTTATTCCAATTTCTATATCATTCTGTAGTCTCTTTATATATATACATATACAGTGAAACCTTTATACATACGTTTAAATTTGACTTTATTTTAACTTGGATAGAGTTTTGTACATATTAAAATAAGACTTTAGTTTTATATAACGTTAGCGTAACTTTTTATATTATAATCAATTATAAAATTCTAAATGTGCCTTTTGAATATTAAAAATCTGCCACTTTTTCAAACATGGCAATATTAACATGATTGGGTGATAACAGAGCACAATATTATATTGTTTATGTATTTTAATTAAATATTTTCTATAATTTTATTAAACGAAGGGAGTATAAGGTTTATAATCAATCATCTATGATAACAGAGCACAATTCCTTAGTAATCTGCTTCGTTAAGATGAAAATTTGATAAGAACTTCTGGTTCTTAATACAATTGGTAAGAAGTATGATAGTTGTTTTGAGATTCTATTTCGTGTGATTTCAATAGAATAAGGTCATCCTCTGATAAATAACAATAATATTACAACAAAACCTGGGCAAAATACAATGCTAGAAAATTCCCTACACACATTTTTCACAAGAACAACATTACACATGTAATCTAAAAAGGGAATAATAAATTATCGACCGTAGTTTACATGACTCAATCATCATAGGAAACACGAGTTGCTGTTTCGAGCAATGTCACGCTCATCAAAGCCTTTAAGAAATGATCGGATAGCAAGATGTTCAGAAGCATATGTCATGAAAGAAGCCAATATTATGCCACCAACAACCATCAAACCTAACCTGTAAAAATAAATATGTAAATGTAATTTCAAGAAAATATTTCATAACACCACTCATCTTTTAATTCCAAAACTACTTGATAATTATGGGTTTACTGTTCTCGTAAAGGATCTTCCACTCAAAGACTGTGCTTTAACTTTCATGATACAAGCTAAGTCCTCTCATATTGCATCTCTTCTTAGACAAATCAGATTACAAGTACTAAATCTAGGATCAATTTACCTAAAAGTAAATTACAGAAAATAACTCCACAGATGTGTAACCTTTTCACACTAATTATTAACCCAAGCCTGTTAAAGAGTCATAGAGCCTTTCAAAGATGACATTAAGTGTGTAACACTTAACATAACAGGTAACTTACCTATAAATATTATCCACAAAATTGAATCAAAATATCTTGAAATTATAAAGATAACCCTACTTTTAATTATAACCATTATTTGCTTACTGCTACTGAACTGTATCATGTGGTGCAAAGGAGTTATGAATGACAATAATTGTTAGAGAACACAGAAAATAACATAACAAGGCGTTTCTCTTTTGTCTGAATGAAGAAAAGAGAAAAGTTTACTTTTAGAAACAAAAATTCAAAACTTTTTTTCCTCTGAAACATACTGAGGCTTAATGGTGAGTTTTGACAGTTCAAAACTGACTGAGTCAATGATAATAAAGACATGCCACTGGAACAAAGCTAATTTTCACGAAAAAGAAAAAAACGTCTAGAATTATTTTAACTAGACTTGCCATGTATATATTGGAAAACAAGTTACCTTACAAACAAGGCAGTTATTCCAAAAAGACAAGGCAAAGATGGAGCTGCAATCGCCAACAAAGCCATCCCTAAACCATAGTACCATGTAGCAACATCATAAGATGACATCGGTCGTTGATGTCCTGTAAACAAAGATAGCATATAGATTCAATAAAAATATTATAACAGAAAAAAGTAGCTCAACATCACAATTAAGTAAAACAAAGAACCACAAAAGGTGTTTTACACTTGAATAACATACCTTTTTCAGAATCATGATCGGATGATCCAGGATGTGACAAGGAGGATGCTACTCGGGATCCCACAATTTTTCCCCACTGATAAATCAAAAGGAGATAACCTCCAAATAATATAAAGAAAATTGTGTATGTCCACTCATACATCAAAAGCAATCCAGTCCATGGCATCACTTGCCGAGGAACAATCAAGAGGGATAATCCCAAAGACACCACCGCAACCACAAAACAGACAAAGACAGAAATACCACCCAAATAAGCCGGAACCTTGTTCTGAGCACCAATTAAGAGCTGCGATACACCATAGAAACAAATCTTAGTATGTTAAAAACACATAAATCTAAGCATTAAGTTCAATCAACTAGAGGATATGCATCCTCTCATTCGAAGCCATAACATGACCAGGTCATTTGATAATATGGAAAGTCAGTCACATAGACACAGCTTCATGTGCAAGAAAGAATATAGGACTCAGTGCAAGGGATATGGAAGGAAGCCCACAAGTAGGGTATTGTGTTTGTCTTTCATCAAATGATTTCATCATGTGAGGTCCTTGAATGGCAAGATCCAAATCCCCAACTTGAAGACAGAAGAGAAAAAAACCAACCTGATGGATTGGATTAGTTGTTGATGTCAAAATACTATTATAAGCAAGTGGCCCATTTGATCTAATCCTATAATAAAGGTGTCTGACTTGATCACATGGTGAGCTTCTACAAAAAGAACTGAAGTGACCTTGATTCTGCAGATAATACAATGTTATGAAATTTAAATCGTTGAGAGCCTAGTGCTAAGAGATTGGACAAGAAAATCAATCCATGATAGCTTACCTTCATATATGAATGATAGAAGTAGAAAAATAAAGCACATAAAGGTAGCAAAAAGAGAAATTTCACAAGAACACTGTCTTTAGGATTTTGCCCCCCTCCAGTTCCAGGAAGGGATTCCTCGAGCTGTTCTCTGACATCCTAAAAGCATACAACCAAGGTTAGAACAAACAAGTCAGTATACTTTTTATAACAAGCTTCAACTGGGCAGTCGTATTACAGTTTTCATAATTCGAAGATGAGAACAATTTTTATAGTATAACATCAGAAGGAAAAAAGGATAGTTGAGATGCAAAAACCTGCCAGACATCAACAGGTTTCAAAAGCCAAGAAGTCCACCAGTCCCAAGGCTTAAGGGGGCCCAGTGTATAGTGAATCACACGGAGTTCATTTTCATCTACCATCCACTGGATAGATAAGAATGAAAGTTAGATTATTAGATAATAGAATTGAAAGATGCAATACAGACTAATGCTCAGAGACGTATGTATATTTGGTATGTGAGTTGTATTAAATCTTCTATATAATACTATATTCAGGCTTGGCACCCTAAAATAGGACATAAACTAACATACCCCAATGCCAAAAGGCTCTTGGCTGTACGAAGCTATGGGGGAGGATCATTGAACATAGCCCTAAATTAGGACATAACAAAATAAAAATCCTAACAAGAAACTACTGATTTCTAAATGAAATAATTTTCAAACACCTATAACTAGTTTTAAAAGCAAGTGAGAACATTTCAGAATTGATTGCGAGCAAAAGTTTCTACAGACTGCACATGCCTAAAAAGTAAGCTTCTAACACTAACAAAGACAAAAGGAAAACGCTAAGATAATAACAAACCGATCATCACCTTGAGTACTTGACATACAAGCAACGAGTTATTACTTCTTCGTTTGCATGCTTGAGAATTTGTGTGCTAATGGAAAACCAAACACTGTATGTAAAACTACCACATTGCCAACACTGAACTTTTAACCCTATAGAAGAACTAAATAAATCCTTGGTCAAGATTCGTATAGGTCGGTTGAATGCTATAATTTATTCGAATGATCACAAAAAATATCTGTTTGAAAAGACAGTACATGTAAAACAAATCAAATCTGGGCAGCCATGAAAGTGCAATACTCTATCAGACAGGATAATCTTTGATTTGTGCAACCAAACCTAGTATAACTTCCATCTCAACTGAACTAAAATGAGCAGATCCGGTATGATTAAGCTAAAATGAGGAATATATCTCTCATGCCTCACTGACTGTAATTACTCACTATCCCCACGTTATTTATATTCTAGTACCTTATTAGCAAGCATGTAAAGACCGACATCAGCATTATACAGTGTAGATAGTCGCTCCATTTCAGGAATTGGTCTGGAACTCAACACCTCTGGACTCAAATTTGGCTCAAAAACATGTGCATTGGGAAATCCAGAGAAATATGAATTGAGAAAACCTTGATCGCCTGTCAAAGGGAGAAAAACAGATGAAGACCATTTGTTAAAAAGCTATCTGGCTAAAAATGACATCTAGCAATATAGCAGTCAAAACAAAAGAAAAATTCAAAAGAACAAAGTGATTGAATATGAAAGTACCCAAAAATTGTTTTTACCTCCAGTGTAAGATGCAGTAGTTTTTATTTTGCTCATCATGTCATTAAAAACAGTTTGCGATGGCTCCACCACCATGACTCCTGAATTCAACCTTTCAGAATGCTTTAAATTTGCACAGAATTTCCCACACTTGAAAAGATCATCAATATTTTTAACCACAATAGTGTCCGCGTCAAGGTAAACAACTGCACATTCACATTTCAACACATAAACAACCAATAAGCCATACATTGTACCACTTATAAGAGAGAAAGCTTAAAACCAAAAGCCTAAACTGTCTCGTTTTCACTTAATTCAAAAGCAACTTACAACTAACTGAAAAATAAAAGAAGCCTTTAACTAAATGGCAGAGCATAATAAATACTCCCATTTCAAAAGAAAGAATTTAATTAGAACAGCAACTTCAAAAATTATACTTGAGATGAATTTTCATTGACTGATAGTGTAAAAGTCTTTATCCACGGAGTGTATGAAAATTAAACTCGTAACCTATATGAGAAATAAAATTTATCCTTATTTCTACATCCAGATGATATACGCACACAAAAGGGCGAAAGAAAAATGTTACCTTTCTTGTAGTCGGTCATGTTAAATATTTTGAGCTTTGTATAGACACCCCAAAATCTCTTCGGACGCACTCGATTAGGATTAGCTAGTAAACTAATCAACTCCACTATCCACCCGTCAGCCTTCAATAAATTCAAACACGATTCCACCAAATAAACAGTTAAAATCACAAACCACACAAAAGTAAGGTGCCAACGGATTCATGTCAAGGGAAAGATAAAGTTCAAAACTTCAAATTTTGCGGAAGACCCATCAAGAAGAAGATGATGATTACCCGGAGGAGGTTTTTGGCATAATCAGATACACCATCGGAGACCAACACGACCATGTCCTTGTTGGATCCAGTGTTACGTATTGATTTTCCCAGAACTCGAACACCCAACAAGAATTCGTCTCCGTACAAAAGAGTGACGTATGCTTCATCCGTTCTCTTGGTCTTGGATCCCACACACCCTTGAAATTGAACACAAGCTAAAACTATGCAAAGGATCGAACATAACCACCATGTAACACTATTTGGTTTCATTATAACTGGATTCGATTCGCCACCGCCTTTTTTCTTTTTTTTTTCTTTTTCTGTTGAGCTCTGACTTGAATTTATTGTCGCGGCTTACACAAAGGTTGAAAGTTGAATTGAATTTTCGAACTTTGCTTTTCTCCGTTGTCTCTGACCAGAACACTGGCTGTCTTCTTTGGCTGCGCGCTTTTGATTTGTGATCTGCTGCTGTGAGTTCCACGGCTGAACACTGTCTCCTTCTTCTCAATCATCTTCGGCGAAACCAAGAATAAATCGCAATGATTCTCAAAAAGCCTTTTTTTTTGTATTCTCTAACCCTTTTTTTGTTAAACTATATGAAGTACGAGAAAAAAATTGAAAATTAGCTAAAATAACTAAAAAATATATAGTTAAAATAATTAACTATAAATGTTTTGGGAGCCTAGTAATTTGATTTCAGTAATTCAACCAATGCATTAGCCTTACATAATAAATTCTATTATAATAAAAAATTATATTTAATTTATAACTTACTTAAATAAGCACTAGCATCTTATGAATAAACTTAAGTGTGTATTTAGAAAGATATTATACTAATTATTCATATATACAATTCACTATTGTTATAATTAATTACAAAAAAAAGTTTTATGCATTAATATATTGACTGAAAAATGACTTTCTGATATTTTCTTTTGTTTCGTGACCTGTTTATAAAGTTATTTTTAATAAAGTAATAATTTATAAAATAATGACTTTTTTATATTTTTCACTATTTTTTTATATATAAAAAAAATAATTAAGTCTATTACAATAAAAAAATAATATTTTTTTGTCACTTTGTGTAATTATCGAACAACAAAAATTATTTATTTTCCACTTATTTTTCTATACTAACATAACTTTAAACTCTTTCGAGGTTTTTAATTAATTTCTTAAACTAAAAATTGTGATCAGATTCTTAATCTTGTTAGTTTATAATCAACATTCGATTTCCCATGCAAAAGTAGCCGACCCCTTTGGACGTTTGAACGTTAAGATAAGTAGTAATTCAGATACGTTCTCCATAGAAAAAATAATAATATGGAAAGTAGATAAATCAACTCATCTATTTCAGAACGAGTATCATACATACACAATGGTAGGACCTCTCTTTCGTGTACACTGTAACCTATGTGGTTCTGTTATGGCAATGGCTCCATCACCAAGATACTTGGCTGCAACCATCTAAACAAAAATTGGAGTAAAAAAGGAAAAAATTAGCCCCACGGTTAAGTGCATGCTACATATCTGCAGGACCATCTTAAAGATTTTTTCGCCCTAATTGCCAAGTTAACTGATCAGCAGCTGCCATCGCACGAGATGCTGGACCAATGGAACCTTCGTACCTGTGAAACTGAATGATGAATATACAGAGAGAGTAAAGTGCAATAACAGTCCATGATAAACATGCTGAATTTGAATCATATGCTTACAGAGCAACCAAGATATATGCTGATGTTTGTATAACAATAACACCTTCACCAGCAGGCTTTGACGTGTTTATACACCTTGCACTAAACCAGTTCTCATGAATTGACGTGACCAAGTCTGCCATCCAAATTTCCATTAGCAAAGTATAAGAAGATAAACTACAATGCACCACGTCAGCAGATAAAGTTGCATATATGTTATAAAAACTGTAATGAGTCAGAAGACATGTATTACAATAGAACACATAGAATAACATTATTTCCGTATATACGTGCAATCCACTCCGGAACACGGCAAATTTTCAAACTTCTATGCAAGTGTATGCTTGACAACACTTTATTTGTTTTTTTTATAAATAATAATACTTTGCTAAGTGTATGCTAAATATATGAACACACACCTTGTATGTTATTCATGTCCTCCTAAAAAAATTAGAAAATGTTGTAATGGAAACATCCATCAATTATGAATTCTATTCAGACAGCCACATATACTTGAGCAATAAGTACAATTCCATTTTTAAATCTCCTCTACTAACTTCTTAAACCACTAAAAGATAACATACTGTTCATAACTGTATATGTACGAGTAGAACACAGTTTATTATCCCTCACCAGTTCACAATCAAAAACAAGTATCAAGACCATACATGTTCCCCGAGTTATTGAAACATAACCCAAATCTCCAAGAGTCTTAAACTCACATTACCTAGATATGAGTGACAATTCTTAAAATGGAATATTTTTTAGTTTCAGAAATATCATATGTCCTTATAGTAGAGGGCATAAAAGAAGAAGTTGAAAAACAGAACACTGAAAGTAATTACTTAGGCAAACCAAATACAGCTGAGTTTGAGAGCTTACACTGATTAGATCCAATAGTGAAGAGCTCTGTCTGGAGTTTATTTTGTTTGATAAAGTCCACAAAGTGACTCAATTCAATGGGATTAGTTTTTATTCCTTCTTGTGCAGCACTGCCAGCATCAAATAGCTCAATTGATTGATCCAATATTTTTAGAAATTAAAAAAAAAATCCCAGCAAAAGAAGTGCTACACAGAGCAAGCATGAAGTTTAGCAGGCAATGTGTACAATTTTTCAGAAACAAATTCTGAATTTCTTCAACCAAAGACAGTATTTAAAAATAAAAACACATTTTCAAACAAAAAGCACAGAACAACTAACAATGTTACAACTAGTTTTGTTGTTAGATAAAAAAAAATGTAACAATAACAGCTTTTCTGAATAGATACAGTGATTTTAAACAGGCAGGAGACTGCATTTGATCTTAAGGAATGAACCTGATATAAACTACTGAAGAGGAAGGAGAAGCAAGAAGAATCTGTGCGGCTTTACAACGCATAGAGTCATTAACAACACAAAGACGGGACACAACATGGCTAATGTTTAAAATATTTGACACTAAGACATGCACATATACTTATAACAAAATGAAATTAAATACAAACATGACAGAAGTTCTAATTTCTAATCAAGAGTTTTATATTATGAAACATTTTGTCTCTTAATAAAAAATCCCAAAAACAAGAAAATGAAATATCTTTTAACAAAGGTATATTCACCCTCAAAGACAAAACAACTTCCTAAGCTTTACATTTCTCTTATAATAATGCGCCCCACCAAGAAATAATAATAAGGGCATTTATTTGATTTTATATTATATTATAAGAGAGCTTTTTAACTATTTCAAAATTGATTACTTTTACAATGTTGATCTCTTGACAAGAATGGTGATATGGAGATATCAGCCCCCAAGTGTCTGAACCAGCAAAAAAAATACAATTAGTACACAATGTACAATACATGGTCATACGAGTGTTAAGGAGGAGTCGATGTTGAAAATGTGTTTGATGCTCTTGACACTTAAGTAAAAGAAGTATCCGTGCTTCATGTTCACAATAATACTTGGTGAAGAATTCATTTAAGTATGTTTCAAACAACAATAGTGACCCTTGTTCTGTTGTTTCAATTCAAATAGTTCAGGTGTGTACTTAGAGCAACCACAATGGCAAAATCTTATTCACTCATAACTAGAAAATCTAGTACTCCATCCAAAAGAGCTAAATAAGCACTGGTGTCAATGAAAATTTATTATCAACATAAAATGGTATTATCATGGATGGGACAAGTAAGTTGATTTAGAACTCGCAGAAGTTCCATATGAAGAAAAGATCATCCAAACTACTAGATAAGAGCTTCAATTATTTATAACCTAGGCAGTAGGCAAAAATATTTTCGTTGTTTATTCATTTCCATATATTTTTTTCCACCATAACGAAACCCACACCAGATAAAAATAAAATAAAATAAAATAAAAACCCTAAAATTCATAACAAGAATCAAACACAATCCTTCTTACATGGTAGATAATAATCGGGATGGTCCAGTCGGGTCATAATTAATTAGCAAAGCAGCTTTTAACGGATGACCTAGAAGATAGGTGAATCAGAATGAGATGAATATCACCAAATTACAGTATTTATAAATATAAATTAATTGATATCAACGAATTAACATATTTGTGCATACGAGTGTGCCTTGAAAGCAAAATCATACTCACCAGAATAACCAATGTTGGTAGAAGCCCACTTATCCCACGTTTTATGCACAAACGCCCAGTCCATTGTTGCGTCTGTTAAGTATGTCAACAAGGTAAACAAAAAGATCAGGGATTAGATTAGATTAGATTAACCTTCTTTAAAGTTTAACTCGAACAAAACAGGACAATAAATCAGAAATAGTAGAACTGAAGCATTCAGTGAAAACCTGGATGGATAGAGGAAGAAGAAACTGAGAGTGAGAGTGAGTCCTAATATCGCCGACTGAGAGAGGACGGAGGTTCCTGCACTTCACCAATTTACTTTTTTGTTGTTGTTCTTTTTCTTTGTTGTGTTTGTTCAAAGAGTAATTGTTCTATCTTTCGGTCTATCTTCTAAATTTTCTTATTATTTTATAAAAATTATTATATTCATTTTCTTGAAAATGTAAAATATATTCAGTAATTATTATATAAATAGTGGAAAGTTGTTATAGCAAAATTTTAGAAACATTCATTAATTAAAATCAATAGTTATAAATAATCATTTTTCTAAACTCAATAAAAATAAATATTCATTCACCTTCTCTTCTATTTAATTTTGCATAAAATGCACTTAATACGCTACTAAATATAATTTTTTTCTTGATAAATATGTTTTACAATATTATTCTCTCTTATGTTGAAATTAATATCTTCTTAAAAGATATATAAGAGATAGGAAGTATTACTCCCTTATATTAAAACATCTAATTTCCTTTATTTAATTTAATATCATTGAAAAAATTCTAAAAGATTGTAAAATATATTTTAATTAATAATAAAATTCTACTCATGTTTTTCAATTGTTAGATATTTTAAAGCATAAATCTCTATTATTTATATTAGAGATGTTGATGTTAAGAGTATGTTTGTACAAACTTCTTCGTTGGGACTTGTAAAAATGTCTTTTTTTTAAATTAAAATTTTGTAGAAATTTTTTTATACTAAGAGTGCTTATGAAAATTTTGTAGAAACATACCTACTTCTCATTATCAATTATTAATGTTCTTTATTAGGTCTTTTCTATTGTATAAAATACATTTGTTTCTCATGTATGTGTATTCATACATTTCTTCTCTCTTCTCTGTTTTTAACCACTCATTTTTCACCCTTTTTTTCTGTTAAACACAACAACAAAAAACAGCGTTCATATTAATTTAGATTTCAATCCTTTTTACACCAAAAAAAATCACTGATATACATATGATATAACAGAGTATGCTAAGAGAGAAGAATTGATGAACCAGGTAAGGGGGGACTAGTAGCACTTTTCATCTCCTAACCAATTGGCCTTTCCCTTTGGACCAGTTGGCCCCTCCTCACCATAAAGCTCCGTGGGAAACAATTCAAACAAAATCACCAAAGACAATCTAAGAAACACCGGAAGCAAATCTATCAACTTTTCTATTTCAGAACGTGAGTCATACACAATAGTAGGACCCCATTCTCTCATATACTGCAACCAACTTGGTTCTGCAATTGCTCCCTTACCAAGATACTCAGCCGCAACAACCTTGTACCTGCTGCTGGAATCTACCTTGAGTTTACTTCTAGCTGTTTCATTCCTTGCTCCTATTCCAAGTTTGGATGCTCCCTGAAGGTAGGTCCCAGGATGAGGAAAACTTGCATGGCCATGCCTTGATGAATAAACAATTGGTTTATTTCCTTCAATATACTCCAAGTTGAATGCATTCACCCACTCTCCTCCACTGTGCTGAGAAAAGAACACAGACCATAGTTCTCCTGTGAAGTTGCTCACACGAAGGGTGAAGTGTTCCCAGTCACCCACGTGTTCACCTATCTTGTTGAGCTTAATGTTCACAAACCCCACTTGAAGTATGCCAGGTCCATTGAAGGGACAAAATACCCACATGGCAATATCAGTAAATGTTCCTCCCAAAGCTGGTTTTACATGAACATAGAGTTCTGCACTCTCTATGTCTCCCTTCTTTACATTATTTCTAGCATCATTATCAGTAGGCAAATCTATCCAAAAAGCTCCATCATTTGTTCCCCCACTTGGTAAGTTTGATCCTTGGTAATCTATTGCTTTACCCTTCTCATTGTCTCTTGAATACACAAGTGCTCCGCTTTTGAAAAACCATTGCACTGATGATGGCAAGTATTTCTCATCAGGGTGGAAGTACACAGTGGGGCCATAATGATTAATGAGTGCATGAACTTGGTCTATGTTTGGCATGGCTTGTAAGGTGGAGTCAAGATTCTTCAAGCAAGCAATATCTGCCACTTGTTCATAGTTAGAATAGGTGCTGCAGAAGAATGTTCCAACTGATACACCTCTACTCCACATCCCTCTTTTACAAGGCCTAGTGTTCCAAACCTTGAATGAAATTTTGGAAAACTTGGAGTTCATAGATAGTAATAGATCACAAGTCTCGCAAGTTTCTGTCAGATCGGCTCTTACACATCTAACTTTTTCAACTTCAGGTTCATCTGGTTTGTTAGTAACCACTATGCCCATTGCTTTGTATCCCAATGGAGGATTTGGCAACCAAAAATAACCACATCCATCATGTGGTGAATCAGCGGTCCATATCAAAGAGTAGTTAATTGGTTTTTTAAGAGCTGGAGATTCAGCTTCAGGTTCAGAAGAAGTTTCACGAGCCACAAGAACATGTCCTCTCAATGGCTGATCATTGGACTGACAATAGTAACCAAGGCAGAAAAAATCAACTGGAATCTCCAACGGTTTGTAAAATACGAAATCGTGAGATTTACCATGCGAACTTGGGCTGCTCCAAACTCTTTCAAACCTCCTTATTTTGAAAACTTCTATGCTTCCAAGGCTTATTCTTTCTCTAGCAAAACCAGTACCTGATACCGTATTATTCAAAAGCTGAGATGAAGTATACAATTCCACCACAAATATTTGATGGTACAACAGTAGAAAGCCAAATAGGATTAAAGAATTATTGATGTCAAGAATTCAACTTCAACATCTGTAGTTACAGGGTGGCATTTGATACAAGAATTAAAAGACAAGCAAACATCCATCAAGGTATCACCAAGAACTTCACTAATATAGAAGATAAGTGTTTTCAACAACTACCGAAAATTAAATGATTTCAATAATTGATTATGATCGGATAAAATTTATAAAACAACTAAGATCTCCACAACATATCCCATTATCGATTGGCAGTAAAACAACATACCCAATCATCGATTGCCATCATCTGTATAGTCCAATCAAATCAGTATCAGTGTATCACCCTTAGCTTCATAAGATAGTATCACATTAAAGAGACTCTGTCCACTGTATTCAGGGCTAAGGCAATTATAACTAATAATAAGGAAACTAATCCTCCTTAACCTCAAAAACTTCGGCACCGTTTATTATTATTTCATCGTCAAAGAAATTATTGTATCTTAAAAATATCAGACAAATAGTTAGTATATATATATATATATATATATATATATAAACTAAGATTTTGAAACATAAACTAATCACCGAAAAGGAATGCAGCTATTATAACTTATAATCCAACAGATAACGTCTTTGGATGTAAACCGATTCTGAGAAAAAGCAAAGAACGGCGAACTAATGAAAACACAAAAAAACACACCTTGTGGCCATTGTGGAAGAGGTGCTGGCAGAGAGAAGGGCTCTGGCTCAGAAGGGTAGGATTCAGGAACACTGTTCCACGAAAAACAGTCACAGCTAAACATCTCTGACAGAGAGTGGCAGAGCCCCCTCTCCAAAATTCTCAATCAAGCGGTGGAAGAGAGAGGAGAAGGATTTTTAATTTGTCGTCGATGGAAAACAGGAAAATGCGTGTACTACTCTCTTCCCTTAACCTCTGCGTTGACTAGTAACAACAAAAGAAAGAAGAAAAACATGGTCCATTTAATTTGCTTTCATCCTTCTGTCTTCACATGGGTACTCTTGCTGATTCATCATGGATGTCTTTTTTTTTTTTTTTGATGTTGTATTTATAAAGGTTTTTAGCATATCACAAACTTGTTTTAATATATAATAATAATAATAATAATCTTATTTTAAAAATATTTTATTATATATTAAACAGATTTTTCAACTGATCATTAACAATTTTGTTGCATAATTAAATACTGTAAATCAATCCTTGAAAATATTTTACTTTATAAATTTCTAAAATGAATATTAAATTTGAGAATTATATTGATAGGTACGAGCTTTTTCTTAATCCAATTATTTAGTGGTTGTGTATAAGCTTGAACAGGAATAAAGTGGGTAGGGGGTGAGAGAAGAAAAAAAAAAAAAAAGGAAATGAAGTGGATGAAGCAAGAAGAAAAGAACAATAAAGAAAGAAAAATGCGATTTATGGTTTACAGTTGTGAATTGATTGTGGATGTCACGTCAATTTGGATACGTGTCCCTGCCCCCATCATTATGCTCAGGGGAAGCATATAATCGTAAATAACACGTTGGTTTCACCGTTAAGATATATATATATTATTATTACTATACTTAATCGCGATATTTTATCAAAATTGTCTATTTTTACAATGTTAGTTTTGTTTAACCTAATGAAAAAATAAATTCTAAAACAATTCGTTATGAAATAATAATTTCTTCGTGTGATACGATAATAATTTTATTAATATTAGTTAATATATATATATATGATAATTTTTAAAATATTTATTTTTACTTAGATTTTGTTTGGAATAATATTTAATCGAAAATTTATTTTATTTTTCTATAATATATTACACGTTTTCTCCATTCTTCATAATATTATAGGGATTTTTTCTTTCACTTCTGTTATTAATCACACATTTTCCTTTTTTTATATCTTTTGGCGTACGTTTTTCTGTTGTATATGTTTTTATTACATTCTCACTAATAATTATTTATATTAGATAATGAAACAAAAAATCATTATAAAAAAATATTTTATATGAAATACAGACAAAAGTAATATAATTTTAGGGTTGATCATGCCATAAAAAATCAATAATTATTTAAACCAATATTATATTGGTTGAAATAAAGTATAGATATCAATGATAGATAGGTAATTGTTTTAATATTATGTTGGTTGAAATAATATCATCTTTATGTGAAGTTGAGAATTTTGAGAAAAAAATTATGATTTGTGTGTTTATTAAAAAATATATATTATTTAAATTATTTATGACATTTTTTATTAAAATAATTTATGAAAAATATTTTGACTTTTTTAAGTGAAAATAATGATAATAAATAATTTATTTTTATTAATGAATATTGGTATTTTTATTAATAATTATCTTAAATGACTAATTTTCATCACCATAAAATTATTTTTTAATTGTTATATTGTGATCATTTATATATTTTTTTCATTTAAAATAATTTTTTTTAAATTATTAACTAAATTTTTTAACTTATTTTTAGAAATAAATTCTAAAAAATTATCTATAAAATTATTTTTAAAAATAAAAAAACTTTAATTTTTTTTAACTCTACGGCTCATATTGTTTTTAAGGTTTTCATAATAATATTTAAATAATGATAATATTAAATAATTATTTCAAATCATAATGATAATAAATTATTACAATAATAAAACTTATAATAATTATTACATTATCAAGTTAATTATTTGTTATTAATATTTCTATTTATTATTATAATAGTTATTATTATTAAATTTTATTATTGTAGCATGATTATTGTTATTAATAATACAAATTATTATTTTTATTATTAACAAATTATAATTATAAATCACAATAGAGATATTGATAAAAGAGATGAGATAGGTCTGTCTTAATTACAAACACTTATAACGTTAGGTGACTCAATTTGTTGAAACTAATGAGAGTATTGTAATAATAAAAAAAACAACATCAACGTGTTTTAAAAAAATAAAATAGTTATATTTATCATGGTTATATTTTTAAGTAATAATTTATATATATTTAATATAATATTATATAATGAAATAATTAGATATATAAATATATTATAATATATATTAACATAAAAATATTTATATTAAATATAATTATTATTATTATGGATTAGGAAATTATTATTATAATATATATTAATATAAAAATATTTCTGTTAAACATAATAAATATTATGGATTGAGAAATTTAAATTATTATTATTATTATTATTATTATTATTATTATTATTATTATTATTATTTAAAATATTAGATATTATTATAAAAACTTTAAAAATATAAAATGATGTATCAACTTTATTAAAAGACAAAAAAAAAAACTAAACATACACAACTTCAATATTAGATATTAAAAAAACGAAAATGATGTTTGAAAAGTTATCTATTCTTTTTTTTTATTATTCTTATTCCTAATTTTAAAAAATAATTACATCATTTTTATTCTTTTGCCCACTACGAACAACATATTTTCTCAAATAATTATTCGTAACTACTGAAATTAATTTATCAAAATTTATATTTTCAACCAAATTCAAATAATAATAAATCATATAATTTTTTAAAAAAATATAGTGTATATTGCTAATATTTATCGATAACAATTAAAATGTAATTATTGACAATTAAAAAAACAATAATAATCATAACATTGGAGAACTTCACTAACACAATTATAATATTAACATGAGATGTTTTCATTCCAATGAAAACAAAACTGCTCACCTTCGAGGTGGAATATGCATGAAAAAAATATATAATAATGATATGTAGCATAATAAATTTATTTGTCTCAAATTAATAATTAAATTTTATATATTTGTAAAAAACACACTATAAAAGATACTGTAAATAATCGTAACAATAAAAACATACAAAATTGTTCAAATCAAAAATTATTAGAGTCATGAAAAATTCAAAGATAATTTTACATAAGTGACTTAAAATATGATATCGAACAGATTGTTTGTATCCAATATGTAATTAAATTTCAATATTAAAGATTGAACTATTTTATCATATATAAATGTAAGTTGATGGATATGTGATATTTATTTTTCAAACATGATTCCAAACATTTATAAAAGAATCAAATTATTTAATAGAGATAATAACATAATTTTGAGTCTTGATTAAATATTTTAGATTAAAATATAACAGTCTATTAAAAAAAGTCTTAAGATTAAGTTATGAACAACTTCACTTGATAAGAATAATATAACTAATCAAAATCTAAAGATGTTTGGGTAGCAACATTTGGTGTTGTATGTGCAAAATAATAAAATGTTTCCTATTGCACAAAAGAGAAAAGCACTAAGAAAAAACACACAGTAAGTTTTGCGTCTTTGTTTCCTTCTTCATCTACTGAATAAAATTCTCTAAACCAAAGTTCGAAACCTACAAATTTCATGGAAGAAGAACACGTGGAGCCATTTAAGGAAAGTTCAGATCTCTGCCAACAACCCATGGATTGGTATGCCAACTTCGTTGCACCGCAACACCATCACCTCCCGCCATATTCGTTGTCTTGCACTCCAACCTATTGTTGAGTCCCTCCCACTTATATCACTCGCCTACTTCATCACCGCCATCTCTGCTTTTGACGTACGTCACGAAGGCCTTGAAGCCCGTCACCCTCTTTGCCCTTGTTTACTTCATGATTATTGTCCTTTCCCTTGTGTCGCTCATAACCCCAAAGCCACATGAGGTGGTTGGAATCCTCGTCACGATGCTAACCAGGGAGGAAGAGGCGTTAGGCGCGGCATGCGTGAGGGTCACAATGAAGTGCTTAATGGTTTTGATTGAGTTTTGTCTAAATAGTCCATCAAAACATGTGGTCTGTGTCAATAGAATTGAAGAGAACGATTGGCCTTAGTCTGACAATTTTAACCTTACAGGTTAAGTCATGCTTTATAATATTGTAGTTGCCCGACGGAATCACGACCCCAAAGTCGCATGAGGCAGTCAGATCCTCGTCATGACACTACCTAGGGAGGGAGAGGAGTTAGACGCAACATGCGTCATCAGGACCATGGTCAAGTGCTCGGGGTTTCAATAAGAGTCTTTAAGGGTTTCATGAACATATATATACAAACGTCATAAATAAATAAATATGCATACTACGTGTAAGATCGAAGTATATTTTTATTTATTTATTATTATTATTATTTATTGTATTTTATAGTAAAATTATTATATTTTTTATTCATTAGTGTGAGTAGCATTAAAATTATATTTATGTAGGTTCGTTATAAGGTTTTTCACATAACTATATGATGATCTTTTAATATTAAATGATTATACATGATGATGTTTTGAGTTCAGAAAACTTTAAACGATAATTTCTTAAGTCAAATTACTATACACGATGATTATTTGAGTTTGAACAACTTAATACGATGATAGTTTAATATTGGACAATTCAACGCAATAACCTTTTGAAATTGAATGACGACTCATTGAGGTTCGATGACTCAACACGATAATCCTTTGAGATCAAACGTCTCAATGACCATGTGAGTTTGAACAACACGATGACCTTATGGGATCAGACAACACAATAATCCTATCATGTCGGACTACATGATGATCTAATGTACAATAATAATGTACTTTAATTATTAGTATAACAGTGGAGTCAAATGACTCAACATAATATTATTGTCAATGAGTGACCTAACACTCAGTTTGTGACTTCAGAATGGCATTATACTATGTCTAAATGAAGGATTTTGTCACCTAACTGAATAACGATATAATAAGGTGACCATTTAACATATTTTAGAACTTAACTTTTATAACATGACATTAAAATTTTTATAGCGTACAAATAAATAAATTACCTTCTTATGTTTTATATCTTAGATATGTAATTTCATAAATCTCATCCAAATATATGATCTAACCTAAATATTACATAATAACAATTATCAAACTATTTAAATTTTCAATATTTTCAGGTCTTTAAGCCAAAAATTATAGATTAAAAGCAATTAAGCTGTTCTCGCGGTAAGAATAGTAAATATGTGGGCAAGAACAATAACTTTTTTCTTTTAAATGACACAAGAAAATAAACAAGATTTGGATAAAGAATTAGAAAATATAATAAATAATTAAAAAAATGCATCATGTGAGTGAACAAAAAGCCTTTTGGTTTTGAATCAATGTATTGAGTGCAATAATATAAAATGAGATAAGAAGTTCTGTCTCAATATTATGTGATCATGGAGGAAGTATGGTTCCGTTTCTCAAGCCCTTACATATAAGATTTATCGTAAGTCAGTTCCGACGACGCCCTTTTTAGACAACCCTTCGCACCTCTGTTCTTCCTCCGTTGGTTCCCCCTCGAACAAGTAATCGTAATCTCACACCCAAACACCGTCCCAAAGCACGAGGATGGCTCACCACGCCGCGCGCCACGCCTCGGCGTCTGTCCCAAGCGCTTGGACGTCTGCTTCAGCTTCCTCCGCTCCTCGTCGTAATCTTCTAACGCCGGACTAAGCTCCATTTTCCACATTTCCAGCTTCTTCTTCATCTCTTCCGTCCCTGTATTCTCCGACCACCCGTCAACAGTCGAGCTCTCCAACTTCCTCCACTCGTCGTCGTAATCCTCAGACGCCGGACTAAGCTCCGTTTTCCACATTTCCAGCTTCTTCTTCATCTCTTCCGTCCCTGTAATCTCCGACCACCCGTCAACAGTCGAGCTCTCGGCCGTCCGAGGCGGCGGCATGGGGTACAACCCCTTCGAGATCGCCGCCGCCACCATCGATGGCGATGGCCTCTGGTCGGAAATGAGCGAGTCTTCGTTGAAGAAACCCCCTTTCCGCACACCCACTTCTGAATCCTGCTCATCGTAGGCACAATGTTTGGCATTCCCGTGGTAGGCGTAACCATTGATGGTCGAGTCGTTTATCTCGCTCTGAGAACGTTGTAGCGTCAAAAGACTAGAATCCAAAAGCGATTGTTTATCACTGTCTTCCTCGGTAATTCTGTTTTTGTTTTTCCTAGATTCCATTAGGTCATGATGGCTGACAGAGGAGGAGCTGAGCTCAGAACAGAGTGGCATTCTCCGCATGGTGCTGTCGAGGAGGATGGCACCGATGTTGAGGATCCCCTGGGGCCGACCGGAGGGGCGGCGAATCTGGAGCTCGAAGAAGCGGAGCTTGGGTTTTCGGTTGGCTGGAAGGAGGTTGGAGGCGAATACGCGGACGGTGCCAATGAGGATAGGCTGGAGCCATGCCTGCGCGTAGATTTCGATCATGATGACGGAATTGTCGGAATTGAGGAAGTGGTCATCAACGCGGAACACGAACTTCTCGTTCCAGGTGGGGTTGGTGTGACCATCTTGGTCAACTTGGGTGGTCAGTTTGCGGTCTGGGTGGAGCCAGGCCACGGCGTAGGCCTCAAGTGGTTTGCAGACCTGGGGCAGATCTTGGGCGGAGATGACGTTGATTTCCAGGAACTTGGCCATGAATATTGGATAGAAACTTCAACGGAACCACTCACTCAACCCTCACGTCGATGCAGAACTATCTCTCCGATCACTCAGTTCTTATATGTTTTTGGCTCGTGATCGCGTGTCTGCCAATGGAGACAGACACACGAAGTGGTTATTGTGTTGTGAGACTTATGGATCACATCACAATAAAGGTGGATCTTCTTCCATGCGCTGGGGAGAGGAAGTGGAAAAAACAAATTCTTAATAATCATTAATTGTAAAATTAGGTTAGTCTCGTTTTAAGTTTAGGAAAATGCATCATTTTTATTGTAATCAATTTATTATTAGTTTTACTGTTGGAGATTTTTTTGTAATTTTTTTTATGAATTTCATTATTTTTTTGTAATCAAAATATAGATCGTTTTAACTATTCTTTTATTTAATATATTCTTCATCAACTACTTGGGATTTAATAAATTTATAATAATTGTTTTAATATAAGAGTTTGTATAAAGATTCAGAAGACCTAATTAGAGTATTAAGAGAAAAAGGTGCAATTTTTTTTTTAAATTACCAATTTGAATTTTTTTAAAAAAAATTAGGTAAATTGGTAAGTTGCCACGGCTTCATAGCAATGTAGTCGAGGTTTCAATAACGACTTTTATTTTTCTTTTATTACTTGCTAAAACACGATTTCAATTTAGTTTTTTGCGTGTGTGTTTTGTCGTGTAGTGAAATATCGTAAACATGATTATTTTATTAATAAATTTATCATAACTATATAAAATAATTATTATTAATAATTAACATTAATAATAAAATACTAATAAATAAAGTAATTAATATTTATTATTTATTATTATTGTGATTATTGTTACTAATAATATTATTAATTAATTAATTATAACAATATTAATAGTAATTCTCAATAAAATAATAATTATAATAAGTAATAAATATAATAATTAAATTATTAATAATAAGTATTAATTTTTTATAATAGTTTAATTGTTAATACTATTCTTATTTTCCTTATTAATATTATTATTAAAATTTTATTATTTTTCATTCAAATTATCATAATTATTTTTTATTAATAATAATTTTTATAATAATAACATTAAAAAGTAAAAAAAATCATTAACTATATTTTTCACTAATAATAATAATTATTATTATATTCATTACTTATTGCAATTATATATTATTAATTTTGTTATAAAAAATAATAATATTATTAATAAAAATAGTATTTAGTACAAGACAAAAAAATTAACCAAATCGTAATTTTTAAGAAAATTACTTATATCGATAATTTAAAAAAAAAATTGCATCTATTTGGTGTAAAAGTGTTTATCGTTAATACATAAGCTTCTTATTCTCCCTACATCAAAGGAGTGCTTCAATTTATTTTTTTTAAGCAAAACAAATAACAAATTTAAAAAACAAAATTTGTAATCAATATTTAAAGTCTCATTATTTTTTTTATTGTCTATGTTACTGATATTCTCAAACCAACATGTACAGTAATCCCAAAATATACCAACATAATCTAAATATCTATGTGAAATAATAGAGCTAAATATAATTGAAATTGTTGTAACTTATTTTCAATTTATATTCTCATATTTTCTTGTCTTATTTAAATTAAAAATATAAAAAACATGGTACGTCACATTAATGAAAAAAATATTATCAATTACCAACTTTATGTATTCTTAATTTTGTAGGTAGGAAAACTTTTTAAATTGCATGTTTAATTAAAAAAAACAATATTTATATAAGCGAATAAGATTGAAATATTAACAACTTAATAAAATTAATAAAAAATTTAAAACAAAATATATGGGATAAAAATTGTTATGAAATATAATTAAGTAACAATGACTAATTGTTTAATTCTTCCTAACATTTAACAATTAAATGACATAAAAATGTATAATTTTTCTATTGTTATATATTTTTTTTCATTTCTAGATCCTCTTATAGTTTCCATCATATTATATATATATATATATATATATATATATATATATATATAATTATAATAATAAAAAACTTATTTTTCTACTAAAAAATATATTTCACGATACTTTCTTTAATTTTTAATTTATTTTTTTCTCTAATGTAAAAATGTCTGTAAGAGAAAAAAAAACTAAAAACTAAAAAAATTATCATTTTATGTTATAAAAATAAATCTACAAAAGAGAACAAAATTGAGAAATAAAAAAAAATTACAACATAAAATAATGTGTAATAAATAGAAAGACAGAAATATAAAAATAAAAATATGAATCTCTGCTAAAAAATTGAAATAAGAAAGTGAAAAAATAGGAGAAAAATAAAAATAAAAATAATAAAGAGGGAAAAAAAGATATAAGTAAAAAAATATATGAAATAATAAAAATGATATTTATTATAAATAAAACGTGGGAGAAAAAAATATAAAGAAATTATATTTTATTTATATTTAAATTTAAAAAATGAATCATTATATTAAATCAAATTGAATTTTGTAGTGGGCATGGCCACCTCGACCCCTAATAACTCCGATTCTAATATTGCCTCAATTCAAGTTTAAAATGTTCTTTAATGGATAAACCACCTTATAATTTTGTCTTTATAATGGTCAATGACTATAAACATAAATTATTAATTTTGAATGTTTAATTTTTAAATTGGTCAATTTATTTTCTTATCAAAATAGTTCGATTAAAATTAAGAACATAATTAAACATACTAAATTAATTTGTTTAATATATTTTCCTAAAAAAATCAACTTATTTTCACCGTAAAGGTTAAAATTAAGATAATTTATCGTTGAAAATAAACACTGTAATTTTTATTTTTTTTATCTTTTCATTGTCAGTATTATAAATGTTAATTATTATTTTTTCAGCGTAACGTTTAATTTTAAATTATTTATTAATTACCAATATTTTATTGTTGTTTATTAATTGATTTATTTAATATATATTTACCAAAATAAACTTAATTTTTTAGGGAATTATTTACTCAAAACTTCCTTTACTTTTATATATATATATATATATATATATATATATATATATATATATATATATATATTAAGATTTTGATTTTTTTGAATTAAATCAATTTTGACTTATCGGTTAATGAAAAAAATATATATATTGTATTTGGAAATATAAATTTTATTTGAAATGTAAAATATATAATTTAAAAAGTATAATTTCCATTGATTGTAGTGATAAATATTAATGATTTTATTTTTTCATTGTCACATGTTTATTTTTTTAATTGTTAATATTTTAAATTTTTAATTTAATGTATATTTATAGCAGTAACTTCAATTTTAGGAGAACAAATTCTCTAACTTGTTTTCTTTCTCTGAGTTCAATAAAGGAAATGTTTTTGAATTTGAATTTCTGAGCACATATATTATCAATTCGTTTCAATAAAAGGATATATAATAATGGTTACTAGAAGTTTTGTAACTTCCATATAATTTATGATTTTGTACCTCAAAGGTAATTAATTTCTAAAACAATATTTTAAAATACTATTCTATAATTTTAATTCATTAAAATATAAGAATTATTTTATTTTTAAAACCATTATTTACTATGAAATTAATTATATTTTTTTTACAATGAAAATTACTAGTTAATGTATATTTTCATTGAACCTTATATAAGAAAGGTTTAACCGTATTTTTAATTCTTGAAATATACAATAAATTTGACTTAATCACTTAGTTTTTTATTTGTTTTATCTAGTTCCTAAACATAATTGAATTAAAAAAAACCATAGTTACTTTAGCCTTTTAAATTTAATATTTAGAAATTAAAAATCATATTTTTAAATTTTAAAATATTGAAATGATCTTTTTAAACCTGGACATTAATATTTATTTTCCTAATTAAAATTTTAAAATTAAAAATAAATTGTTTGTATCTACATAGCATTTGATGAAATAATAATACTTATAAGTAATTTGATTAATTTTCCATTTCTTTAATACACTATTATAAATATTAATATATTAAAAAATATATAAACTTAAAATAAGATTTTAAATGAAAATAGAGTATCAATGAAGTATTAATATTAATTTTATTATTATTTAAAAATATATTTAAACTTAAGCCTTTTTAATTATTTTTTTGTAATTACTTTAAAAATATATTATTTCTATTGAATAAAATATAATTACTTTTATCATGTTATTTACGAAAGAAGAAAGATAATTTAAGAAATAAAATAGCTGTAATATGTATTAAAAATAAAAAAATAATTATTTAAAAATTTATAACATGAAAAATGTAGGCACCGAAAGCGGCGTGATTTTCAGGTTATAACCTAAACGTAAATACTTCAATGCGGTGCATAGCTATAGCTTGAATTGTTACTATCCCTATTTATATTCTGAAATGGAAAAACGTTCTGAATTGTGAACTAACAATCCGTGAAAAAAATAGACCCTGCCGCTTCTCTTCTCTCTCTTTATGAATACAAAGCTCATTCCCTTTGATTCCCATACTCCAACCGTCACCTCAAACTTTTCACCGTCTGAAACGCATTTTCTCAATCGCTTCTCAAGGGCTGACTCTCAGGTCACGCTGTGATTCTCTTCTCTCCTCTTGCTGTTTCTCCAGGTAAGTGTTTATACTATACTCTTACGTTTCAGAGCAATGTATCTGTGTCTCCTTTTTCATGTTTGGTGTTATGGTTTGAAAGCGAAAAAATAGTTTAAAATTGGAAAGGAAATAAATTACATTCTCAATTATATGAGTACGTATGTTACTGTTTTTATATATTTTTCTTCTTACCTGTAACATATTAGGTTTTGATTCCTTATTTTCTTTGTTTTCAATTTTCAATCAATTCTTAAACTGTTAGTAGAAACGGTAGAGATTGATAACAATTATTTACTCTATTGAGTGTAAATTTTTTGTTATGAGTCTAGTTTTTATGTTGTTAATCAAAATTTTAAACTTGATTTTTTTTTATTGCTGAAATATTACATGAATAAATCTTGTTTTATTGTATAATTTTTTTATACAACTAAGATACAATACTTGAAAAAAATATATTTTATTTTCTCATTTTTTTTAATATTAAAAAAATAATAACGAGATATAATACATAAGTTAATTATATAAAAAATTATAATTTTAAAATATTACAAATTTATAGGATTAGGGTAGTTAATATTGTAGTGAAATTAATTGGAAAATATACATTAAAATTATCTTTGAAAGGTTTTTTTATATTCAAAAACTGTTTGATAACCGTCTAACAACTACTAGGCTAATCTAAATATTAGTTAGATAAGCTCTTATAGTAGTAAGTTAATTATAATCTTGTAGACCATCATATGAAGTACTGAAGGGAGGACCCAATTGGTAAAAAATAATCGGCAACTCCTTAGTTTTTTTTAGTTAGTTTTTACGTTTTTCTCTTTTATGTTATTAAAGATAGGATTTTAATTCACACTTAAATTTTAATTGTCTTCTTTTTAAGTATGAGTTTTTCTCTATAATTTAGACTTGAATTTTAACAATTTCCTCTTGAAGTATAAAATTTTTCCACATAAATATATTTTTTATTGAGCTAAAACATATCTTAGTGGTGATCCTTAGTTGTACTTAGAGCATAATTTGTGAATAGGTACTTCAAATAATTACATAAGAGAATATAATATAACATTAATTCAGCTCAAAATCTTTAAGTTTGTAAATCTTTTTTACTTATTTATCCAATGTGAAAATGTAATTTCATGACTACTGTCTTCCTATCTTAACCAACTAACATCATTTGTGGGGTCTTGATTAGAGCAGCTAGGCACTGGCTTCAATTCATTTCACATCACTAGTTTTGTTTATAAAAAAATGACTTACTTGGAACTCTCAATAAATCTCTCCCACATTGGTACATTGTCCCTTGAGTGAAGACATTAAAAAAAAAATTGTCTTATTTGGAACTTTCGATAAATCTCTCCCGCATAGGTACATTATCCATTGAGTGAAGGTATAACTTAATCATGAGTACTTTATTCGTATAATACTATATTTAACTTTAAATCTTAAGATAGATTTATAAGTTTTTCTCATTTATGTGTTGGTCATTTTTTTTTATCATACTTAATGTGAGATTTCTTGAACTTCAATAATTTACTCTTTAAGTTAAAGGCTCTTCTATTTAGGTACATGGTTCCTTAAACAAAAAATATCTGAATGATAATTATTTCACTCATATAAAAGAATATAAAACAATATTTAGGTCTAAATAATGATTATCTCACTCATATAAGAGAATATAAAATACTATTTAGCTCAAAAATTTAAGCTCACTTATAGGTTTTTTTATTTATTTATTATCCAATTTTTTCATTTATATCTAATGTGAGATTATAATTTATACTTAACTTCAACAATTTCCTTTTCTAGTATGAGTCTCTTTTATATAGGTAGATTGCTCATCAAGCGAAAACATATCTTAATTATTATCACTTAATTGTGGGTCGATCCTACTCACTCATTTGTATTGTGAGTTGATTCTACTTATTCACTCATCTTAATTATTAGTACTTAGTTGTGGGTCAATCCTACTTACTCATTTGTATTGTGGGTCGGTCCTACTTACTCACTCATCTTTGTTGTGGGTTTGTCCTACTTACTCACTCATCTTTGTTGTGGGTCACTTATTTTTGTTGTGGGTCAGTCCTACTCACTTATCTTTGTTATGGGTCTCTCCTACTCACTTATCTTTGTTGTGGATCTATCCTACTCGCACATCTTTATTGTGGGCTGTCTTACTCACTCGTCTCATCTGTGTCTGTGTTGTGGGTCTATCCTACTCACCTGCACATCTGTGCTATGGGTCTGTCCTACTCTGCTCAACTGTGGGTCTATCCTAATTATTTATTTCACTAATGAGTCTTAGATAATTAGAAACTTTTCAACCTAATTTATTTTTCCTTACTATTGAACCCGGTTTATTTATATACTATTGTGAACCTAAATACTTGTACTCAGTGACAAGCCTCTGTTTTAATGGTGATCCTCATTTATTCCAGTGATGACCCTAGTTAGATTGTCACTTACAATTATCGAAACCCACTTGTTTGAAATTCTTGTGAAAAAGATTTTTAATACAAGAATTTATTATCTCAAGATACATCACCTATTTTCTTACAGAAACTAATCATATAATGTAAATAATTATAATGAAAAAAATTAAATTTTATAAAGAAAATAATATTTAAGATGGACTGGTAGTTTTTTTTATTCAACATAACAAAATTTGATTACGAATTATATGTAAAAAAAAAAAATCTTTAGATTTATGTCATACTGAAAATCCATAATTTCAATTGCCCCACAAACATCCATTTAGTTGACCTTTGTTGATCTGTATATTGTTTTTCTTTACAAAACCAAACCATGTCTTCATACGACTAATATTCGCTGCTGTCTTTGCACCAAGGTTTTCTCTGGACCAGAACCTTCAATAGCTTATACAATCTTGTTATTAACTGCTATCACAATAGATAATAAATTGTTCAGATTTTGTAGTCTAACACTCCAGAGAATTTAAACTGCCATAGATTTGTCTTCATCTGTTAAATTCATGTACCTGGACAATTTTTTTTATAGATAAATATTAATTATTAATGCATTAATTTTTATTAGACGTTTGTCTCTCCTAAAATTTTTAGGATCAAACCAACCTGATCTCTCCAATTACTTTATCAATTAAGATTTGAATTTATCCACTGTATCATCAAATTGCAAATGCTATAAATAATATTCACAAATATATTATAATTTAATCAATTACAAATTTCATATCTACAAAATGTTTTATATATTTTACTTTCATCGACAACCTAACACCAGTCAATTTATGTGAAAAAGTATTGTTATCATGACAAAAAAATTGATTGTAGTTGTCGTTATTTTTTTTTTTTATATAAATATTTATAGTGTGAGAAATGCAGTTGGATCTGCAGTTCCATTCTCAATTTTGTGTTTGACCTTTTGGATTTGAATTTTAACTAGACAGGAGTGTATGAAAGTGATTGAATTTTTATCTTTTTAGTCTTAAATATACTTATACTTAAATTTATCATCATTATCTTTTTTTTATATATTATTTTTTAAAATAACTTATGAAAAAAATACAATTATTGTTTGAGTTCTTAAAAATTAATTTGCTGAAATTAATACTTGACCAATTATGATAATATTGTTAAGGTTTATCATGGTAATATTGCTAAGGTCCATTTTTACGTTTAAAGTATTATCCGTTTTAAAATTTTAGTCTATCACAATTTTATCCTTAAAAAATGATTAAGTGAGTTTAAGAAAAAAGTTATTTATAGATTACCCTTAATTTGAGTACATCCCAATCTAGGTGGTAGGTATAAATAAAGATTATATTGACATTAATATTTCGTTTAGGAATAAAAGTGTTATTGCATATATTCACTATAATAATATTGTTAAGATTTATTATCACGTTTAATGTATTGTTTGTTTTGAAACTTTAATTAGTTATGATTTTGTCCTTCAAATACGTCTTTATGAGTTGAAAAAAATGTATATAAATTATCCTAGACTTTTATCACTATCTTATGTGAGACTTATGAGTGTGTTGAAATATAACCCCTGGGTAAGACTAAGGGGTAAGAGCATGGTTATCAAACTCGCGAGTCAACTTGCTAACTAGGACGAATTAATGAATAATGTAACTAATGACGAGTTAACTCATGAATAGACTCATTTTAGAGTAGACTCGAGGTCAAACTCGGTGAACTCCGAGTAAACCCGCGAGTCAGATATGAGTCACCGAGTTTGAAAGTGAAGAGACACTTAAATCTTCTCTCGCATTCTTGATTTCTTTTCACAGGTTAAGATCTCCCATTCATCTTCCTTTCTCATTGTTCACTACTCGTCGTCGCCGATGGTCATGTCACAGTGCTCCCTTGACCTCTTCCCTCCTGTCACCCATCTATTCTCTCTTGTTACGTGGTGGTTGCATCGTGCGTCTCTCCCAGTGGTAGCATGTCTCACCCCGACCGCTGCTCTTTAGCCACCCTTCTCGCTAGCCCTCTCGCAGGTTAGCCACTAGCCACCCCTCTCACAGGTTAGATTGAAGGATTAAGAGATTTGAGATTTTAGGGTTTTCAATTAGATTTAGGGATTTAGAAAAAAAATTTAATTATTTTTTTAATTATGATTATTTTGCTTGGACATAATCAATTGATTTTTTTTGTTATTTTAGATATAAATATTAAAATTAAAAATGTCTTCAACTTATTTTTTGTTATTTTATCGAGTGTATTATTGTATGAACTTATTTATTTCAGTAATGTAGAATTGATATTATCATATTTTTTGTTAAATTAGTATTTTTCATATGAAATAGACTCTTACGAATCTACGAGTCGAGTATACAGACCTCTCACGAGTTTACGTAGACTCTCGAGTTTGATAACCTTGGGTAGGAGAGTCTACGTAGACTCTCGAGTTTGATAACCTTGGGTAGGAGTAAAATAAGACTCTCTTCTCGACCCCACTATAGGTACTAATGTTTTGTCTAAGAATGAAATTGTCTCGGTCTTGTGTCCTTATGATAATATCGTTAGGGTCTTTTACTATGTTCAAGGTATTGTCTACTTTAGAATTCTAACCTGTCATAATTCTGTCTTTAAAAAATATCTTAGTGGATTAAGAGAAAAATGTGTATATAAATTACTTTTGATCTCGATTCCTAAATAATGTGAGACTCATGATCGTATCAGAACATAATGTATCGAATCATAGCTTCTCAGTCAAGGAATAATGGAAAGGAGAGAATTGTGACTCTAATATTTATGTTCAGTTTAAGATTATAATAATATTATTAAGGTTAATTATATATATATATATAATAATAATAATAATAATAATAATAATTATTATTATTATTATTATTATTATTATTATTAACATTTACTTTTGAATAAAGTGAAATTCTCTGTAGTAGAATATTATTATAAAAAATGATGTTGATTTATTTTTGTTCACAAAAAAAATATTATTGCCGTTTATGTGATAAACGGAGGATAAGGTCATTGTAATTGATGAAGCCAATAAAAAATTATACATGTATTTATATATATATATATATATATATATATATATATATATATATATATATATATATATAAAGGTTTTTTATTAATAATTTACGAAAAGTTTTGACTAAATTATATTCTATAAGATATTAATTCCATGTTCAGTCTATATGGATCACACTCATACAGTTGGAAGTCTTTTTCAAGTTTCAATTACATCTACGAGTCTTCACTTTAATGCTTGATTTTTATTTCTCAAATTCTTACTGGATGAATAGGTTTTCATTGTATCCATGTTAGGTTAATTGAGTCCCACTTAGCATAATTGGAAGTTAGGATAGTAAAATTTTATATTTATGGTAGTTAAAGATCTACATAAAATATTAAAATTATATTTTAGACCTTTTATAAATATATTTTAGAATAAAAATAATAATTTTGAGATAATATTAAAAAAATGATTGAAGTGTTTTGTTTAGTTGCCAAATTATAATTGCTTTTGGAGTATAAATAAGGGAAATCAAAAAAAGAGGGAAACGATTATGAAAGATAAAAGTAAAAAAATAAAGTCAATTTATTTTTTTCATTTATTTAGATTTTATTGTATGCTTAACATTATAAAATATTTTAAATCAATATTTTAAATTCTTAAACATTTACACAGTTGATGTTAGTTTGTTTTACAAATTCAAAGGAAGGAATTTTTTTTCCTCAAAGGAATGTCTTTTAAAATAATAAGTAAACTAATCGGCTATGTTAATTCTACATTTTTTTGAAAAAGAAACTTGAGTTTAAATTTGTTTTATTATAATACTTTTTACAGTAAAAATAAATAATATAAAATTCATTTTACCGTAGTTTAAATCATCTATAATGTACACTATTTGATGTACACTATTTGAAATAATATATAATCATCTATAATACATTGTTCTTAGATAAAATACTTATTTCATTTTGTAATTATTATAATGTTCCATAATTTTAAACGTTTTGTGCAGAAATATACTTTAAAATTAAAATTATTAAAGTGATCACTGAACGTAATTTTGTTGATAATAATATTAATCTTTCATGGAGTCTTTCTTTCAAAAAGTTTTCGATTTCGTTTGTCTTTAATTTTGGAGAGAAACACCAAAAATTTATACCTACATTTACATTTAGGTATGTGTTTGTTTTGAATTCTCATTTTTCTGCTTTAAAGAAACTAAACTTATAGGAGAAAAATTATTAGATTTACATAGAAGTTTGAACAGTTTCAGAAACACCCTCTTGTAAGTTGAAGATAATTTTTGTTCAGAAAGCTTCTCATTGCATAATTTAGAGATTTATTGCAAGATAATACCTTTCATAATTTTAAGCTCCCCTCTAACTTTCTTTTTGATTCATCAAACTTGTAGAGGAAGAAGATTGATATTTGGTGCGATATAAAATTGAAGCTGATAGGTAGCTTTTGTAAAAAGCCGTTTTGGAGAAGCAAAAATACAGGTGTCTCTTTTTGGTAGTGTTTGATTCAGGTGCAACTTATTTGTTGGAGCTATCATGCCACATACTGAAAGAGCTGAGAATGCCTTTAGCTTTATGATGTCCTTGGGAATTTCTAAGGAGGAGCTGATGCCAGTGTTGATAAAGCTGTTGAGTGTTTATGAAGGAAATTGGGAACTTATTGAAGATGACCATTATCGAACACTTGTAGACGCGTACTTTGATTTCGAGAAGGACAAGGTTTCCTCTAACTTCATTGTTTCATTGATGTACACACTTTTACACACATTTTAGAAATTACTTGCTAATTAATTTATTCATACTAAGTTATGCTCGCATTTGAACGCTATTTTTGGCTTAAATTTTTAATTATAAAATTTCAATGAATAATATTCGTTTTAAGCATTATAGTTGAATAATTATCTAACGTGATTTAATTATATAGATTTACTTGTGACGTTCATGTTAATTATTTATCATCCATCAATAGTAAAATATCAAGACATTTTATTAAATATTTTACCATTAAAATCCACCTAAGAAATCAAAATCATACCATTCAATTATTTTCTTGAATATTTTTAAAGTTCATGCCTTTGTTGCCTTTTTTCATACAGGGGGGTGAAGCTGAGAGAAAGGCTACATCCAGTTGTCATCTTGGAGAAAAACCAACAGGGGAATCGCCCTTGGTGGACGGTGACGCCAATGAGATATCAAGCATGGACAGCGAAAACAAAATGTTATGTGCAGAAGATAATAAAATGTCATCAAAGATTTTTGAACAGAAAATCATTAAGCCATCTCAAACATTCACGGAAGATATTAAACCCAAAACCAGTTCACAAGCATCGCATTCAAGGTTGAGTGAGGTCAAAAAGATCTCCAATTTACCTCGGGTGCCAGCTAAAGATAGAGAATCATACCCTGAGAAAGCAGCATCTGCCGGGCACTGCGGTCAGTTCGAGAACGACCTTGTGAAGAACAGAGCTAAGAAACCCAAGTTAGTTTCTTCGACAAATCATAATGGTAACCCTACCTACTTTTCCTTGTCATATCTCTTTTCTTTAATTGAAAAATATTTGCGTATCTGTTATATTCGCATCAACTTTGAAGGGGATTGCATGAATCCCTTTTGGTTATCGTTCGGAAAACTTTTTTCTTTTGTTTTGATAGCTTAGGTGTGTTGCCATACCTCCTTTTGGACGAGTTACTTTTTTCATAAATACTTTTAAAAACTATATCGAAAAAAAAAAACTTTTTGCGAAAGATAAAATTATCTTTTATAGAATTTAAAAGAAAAAAATGTATAAATTTAGTAAAAATAAATATTTTTTTTAGAAATTTGAAATTGGAAATGAATGTTTCCGTATTTGGTTTATTTTTTAAAAAACTTGTTTTTCGAGATTTTGAAATTAAGAATGCAAGTTCTTTATGTTTAGTTTTTATTTTTTTGTAAATAATAACATCCATAGAAAATAACGTTTATTGAGATTGAATTTTGGCCAAGTTTTACCATAAAAAAATCTCACATAGAGGTGAAATAGAAAAATATCAAATTTTATTAAATTACTTAATGTGGTAACAGATTAATATATTTCTTATAAAGTTAGGTTAAGGTAGAAAAAATTATTTTGATAATTTACCTTTATTCTATTTGCACATTACACTACTTATTGAATAACCATTATTATTATAATTATTCTTATATCATTATAGTTTTGTTACAACAATCATCCTTCTTGAATATAGAGTTTGATATTAATCTCCCTTGTGTATAAATTACACATAGGGTAATCTATTAATAATAGAGAGATACAACTAAAATAGTAACTGAAAGTAACAGAATAAAGATAAGATATTATTTGATATTGTTTTTATACTGTGGTTAACAATATCTTAATAATATCAAACAATATCTAACACTCTCCATCAAGTTGGAGCATACAAATCGTATGTGCCAAACTTGTTACAAATATAATTAATTCTAGGTCTCCGTAAAGACTTAATAAAAATATCTACTAACTTATCACTTGAGTTAACAAACTCAGTCTATGTCTCCATACATAATCTTTTCTCGAATAAAATGACAGTCAATCTCAATGTGTTTGGTCTTCTCATGAAAGACAAGATTAAATCTAATATGAAAAGCAGTCTGATTGTCACACACAAGTGACATTTGAGTGACATATTCAAATTATAACTCTCTAAGTAATTTCTTGAGTCAAACAAGTTCACAGACAGCTGAGACCATAACTCTATATTCTGCTTCTACACTGGATCTTGCCACAACACTCTGTTTCTTACTTTTCCATGAGATCAAGTTACCACCAATAGAGACACAATATTCAGATGTAGATCTTCTATCCGAAGGAGATCCTGCCCAATTAGCATCTGAGTAACAAACAACTCTTGTATGGTTATTAGAATCATATAATAATCCTTTTCCAGGAAATCCTTTAATATACTTCAAGATACGAATGACTACATTTCATTCAAATGATCTTCACATGGGGAATTAAGAAATTGATTTACCACACTGACTGCAAAGGAAATGTTAGGATGAGTAACTGTAAGATAATTCAATTTTCCAACCAATCTTCTATACTACTCAGGATCAGGTATAAGTTCTCCTTGATATGGTAGAAGTTTAGTATTGGGAAGTCATCAACCCAGTTTCCTCCAAAATATCTATGACATACTTCCTCTGAGATATAACAATACCATCATTGGACTGTGCCACCTCAATACCCAAGAAATATCTAAGTTTACCAAGATCTTTGGTCTGAAAATGGTGACAGAGATGTTGTTTCAGCTGAGAGATGTCATGGTTGTGACTACCTGTAAGAACGATGTCATTAATATATACTATCAAGTAAACACATCCAACACTCGAGTGTCAATAAATGACAGAATGATCTGCTTCACACCGAGTCATACCAAATTGTTGAATAACCTTGCTAAAATTTCCAAACCAGGCCCTAGGAGACTATTTTAGGTCATATAGGGATTTGCGAAAACAACATACCATCTCATAAGACTCCCCCTGAGCAACAAACCTAGGAGGTTGCTCCATATATATTTCTTCTTACAAATCACCATTGAGGAAATTATTTTTAACCTCCAGTTGATAAAAAAGGTCATTGTTGAAGAGCAGTTATGACGATAAATAAACAAACAAAAGCTATCTTTGTCACGGGGGAAAACATATCTCCATAATTCAACCCAAAAATTTGAGTATAACATTTGGCTACAAGACGAGCTTTGAGGCGATCAATAGTACCATCAGGTCCAACTTTGATAGCAAACACCCACCTGCAACCAACAACAGATTTCTCAGACGGTAACGAGACCAATTCCCAAGTTCCACTATTGTGAAGAACACTTAGTTTATCTAACATGGTCTGACGCCAACCAGGATGGGCTAAAACTTCACAAACAGTTTTTAGAATGGTCACATAAGAAATAGAGGAAAAACATGTATAAAAAGGTAATGACAGTCGATGATAACTCAAACCAATATAATGGAGAGAGGGATTACGTGTAAAACAGATACCTTTTTGGAGGACAATGGGAAGGTCAGATTCAGATGTTAGATCCGGAAGACAGAGTAGTTGGCACTTGAGTGGAGTCACATGGTGATGGTTATGATTGGTTTTGACAACCATAAACCTGAAGATGCGGTGGAGAAGAGGCGGTGGAAAAGAAGCTGATTGCGGAGCAAAAACTAATGGTGAAGAACACACAGTTAGAGGATCACAAACAACAGGAATATTAAATGTACTAGTAGTGTTGACAAGATTAGATGGAGACAAAGGTGAATATTGACTTTTAAAATAAAGAGAGAACTCATCAAATGTGATATCTGCAAACACAAAATAACGATTAAGAGAAGGAGAAAAACATTTGTATCCTTTTTGTGATCTTGTAAACCCTAAGAAAACACATTTATGTGATCTAGGAGAAAGCTTATCAAGAACAAAATTGAAATTATGAACAAAACATGTAGACTTGAAAACTCTTAGAGGTAAGGGATGAAGTGGTTCATGAGAGAATAAAATGGAATGATGTATTTTATTATCTAAAACCGAAGAAGGTATGCAATTAACGAAATAACATGCAGTAAGAAGAACATCACCCAAAAAATGTTGAGGAATCTCTCCATGAATTAAAAGAGTGTGAATTGTTTCAATAAGATGTCTATTTTTACGTTCAGCTACACCATTTTGTTGAGGTGTATAAGCACAAGAAGTTTGGTGCAAAATGCCATGAAAAACCAAGAATTGTTTAAAAGAATGAGAAAGATATTCACGGTCATTATCACTGTGCAAAACTCTGATAGAAACATCGAATTGAGTTTGTATTTCATTAAAAAAAGATTGAAAGATATGAAATACTTCGGAATGATTTTTCATAAAAAATAACCAAGTACATTGGGAATAATCATCAATGAAAGTAACAAAGTATTGAAAACCTAAAGTAAACTTAACGCGACTAGGTCCCTAAATGTCAGAGTGAACCACGACAAAAAGGGACGAAGCACCACATGTGACACTCATGTAATGCATAACACTAGTCAATCTTATGACCTAGCTTACCACAATGTTCACACTTAGGACGCTCTTTTCCCTATTTGCGAGGGCGAGTTCAGTCATCACGATAAGATACCAATGCAGAAAAATCATTAATGGAAGCAGGTGTGTCAGGGTTGGGTGTTGCTGGTACACGCAAAAGAGTGGAGCAGGTTGAAGTCAAGGTGGGAACAACTGGAGAACCCAAAATCTGATCATGAATATGTGAATATTGATCAACAAGTTCGTGTAATGCTCCTAGTACGAAGAACTTTGACCGTTGTGCTATCTCGGTGGCAGGGTCGAGGGAAGGAGGCAATTACTCATTGAACTCATGAAAAAAAACATGAATTTTGCTCATATAATCAGTCATAGAATCTTAATGTTTAGAGGCAATAACATCTACAAATTTAAAACAGACATCATAGAGACGTTGAGTATCATTGGTGTATAATAACTTGACATGTTCCCAGATTTTGGCACATGTTTCGTAGGAATGAAAAATTTGTTTTAACGAAGGATCAAAAGTACCCTTGAGAACCACACATAATTGAGCATCAATGGTGTCCCAACGGTCTTCCTCACCAGGAGTGAGAGTAGGTACTTTCGGGGCAAGATGATCAAGATACTTCTGACTCTTAAGTCATAATCTGACGTATGATGACCATGTGGCATAATTAGGGTCAGCTAACTTGTCAAAGGATAAGTGCACATTAACATAGTTAGGATAAATGGAAGGATCAGACGCAGTACTGACAAAATTGGAAGTACTAAAAAGAGCGGAATAAGTCATAAAGGGCGGAGGCGATAGTGACAGCAGCGTGAACCAGTACACCAAGTAAGTTCCCAGAAAAGAGAGGCGGGTCACTAATGAACACGCTTAAATACCAAGTTTTTCCTTGTCAGAACCTTCCTAGACATGCACTTTCACACTACCAAATAATATTCAGCAACCAAAATAACTCTTTTTTGATATGGAAGATTAGTTTAACCAGCGGTGGTGGCGGCTCCAACAATGGTCAAAGGCGAAAAAAATTTCAAAATAACCTGGCTCTGATACCATGTTGAATATAGAAGAAATAGAGTTTGAGATTAATCTCCCTTGTGTATAAATCACATATAAGATAATCTATTTATAATAGAGATATACAACTAAAAGAATAACTGAAAGTAACAGAGGATATTGTTTAATATTGTGGTTAACAATATCTTAATAATATCAAGGTTCAATAATAATAATAATAATAATAAAAAGGTCTGGGTCATACATCCCGACCCAAATGAAAAAGAAACATTTGAATATTAATATGACGTGGTTGGAAGAAATATGTCTCTCTTTAAGCAATGTTTCTTTCTTTTTCCTCTTCTATCAAACACTCCTCTTGTCATTATCATCATCATCATCGCTATTATCTTTGTCATCGTTGATGTCATTGTCCAACTTTGCCCCCTCCTCCATTGTTTAGAGAGATGAATGCATCGAGGATTTCTTCTTCATTTCTATTTCTCTATATTTTTTTCTGCTTTTTTTATATTTCTTTTTTTTTCTTTTTATCTTTTCTGTTTTTACTTTTTCTTTTTAATTTTTTTGTTTTATTATTATTATTTATTTATTTTTTGTATTTTAGTTATATTTATGCATTATATATATATATATATATATATATATATATATATTTATTTTATTTTTTTGCATGTTTCCGCCATAACCCATTATAAAATCCAACATATTTTATAAAGGATTTTTAAGTTGTTGATAGGCATGGCAACGAGGCGGGCCGGCCGGGTTTTGCCTCCCCGATCCCCACCGGTGTTAGAAATTAAGTCTCCATCCTCGTCCCGTCGGGTTTCGGGTTCTCCGCCACCGCCCGTACCCAATCTATATTATTTTTAAAAAGATAATTACATTTATAATAAATTAATTTTACTATCTATTTTTTATATATTTATAATTTTGTAATTATTATTAATTAAATATACATTTTAATTTATTATATTTATATTAAAATATGTATGTAAAAGAAATATTTAATCATTTTTTATTTATAACATTATTATTATAATATCTGTATTCAAATATTTGAATATTTATAACATTATTATTATAATACTGAATTCAAACACTTGATTATATATAAGTTAATTTATTTTTAAGTTGTTATTTAAAAATATGAAATATATAGTTTATAAGAAAATATTTAATAAATTAATTCTTATTCAATTAGTTCAAAGTAATAAAAGTTTAAATTATCAATTCCTTTAATCCTTTAAAATACAATTATTTTATTAAGATTAAATTTGATATATGATAAATAAGAATAATAAGATAAAAAATATGACATAATAAAACCTAATAAATATAAATTATAAATAAAATAATATTAGTTACTACTAAGATTTATGTAAAATATTTAGAAAAAGATAAAGAATAAAAAAATTAACTTTCATCAAATTGGTTGAAAATATTGAAAAAAAAAACAAATTGATGAGAGAGATTAAGGAAATGTGAAAAACTCGAAAGGTAAAAGAAAGAATAATGTAATAAATTAATTGATATAAAAGATTAAAAAAGACAAAAAAATTAAAAAGTGGATAGTAGAAAAAAATTTGGTGAAATATAAAAAATGACCTTATATAATAGAAAAAGAAAAGGAAATATTTTTAAAATATTAATATTTTAAAATTCAAATTTAAATATAAAGTCGGGGCGGGGACAAGGTCGGGGTGAGAATTGCATTACCCATCCTCGTTCCCGCCCCCAACTTTTAAAAGCGAGAAAAACCCGAACCCGCCCCGCTTCCAGTCAACTCGGGACGGGTACAGATCGGTCTCCACGAGTACGAGTTTAATTGTCATCCCTATTGGATGATATTTTCCATTATCTGATGTTGATAACATTGTGTGTGGTCTGAATTAATGCTTTTCTTACTTTATAAGTATATTAATTGATTTTAATTTATTAAAGAAATTGAACTCATTTTTACAAAGCATGGGCACATCCTAATGTAAATATGGAAGAGGTGTTGTACAACATCCAGGCAAACTGTTATGATTCATTTGGTCGTCAAGATGTTATAAGATAGAGGGTTTATTATAAAAGTAAAATTCACGTGGTGGTAAGAATATTATAAGATAATATATATGGTATAAGTGTAAGATAAGAACCAGACAGGATGAGAATAGAATAACATTAACCCTTTGATGCACACTTTGATAAAGACCAATTAATAACATGTTGAAATGTGATTGTGACAATGGTGACAATAACGATGATAACAAAGTAATAACATTGGTGGTGTCTGTGAAGGTGACGATGACATGAAAATGTTGATAATAATAATAATAATAATAGTAATAATAACAGTAACAATAATAATAATATTATGATGGTGTAAGTGACAGCAACAATGTTGAAAAATGGTGGTAGGGACAATGATTGTTGTTATAATTGGGTGATGATAATAATGATGAGAATAATGATAAACCATGATGGTGGTGACTATGGATGGTTGTTATTATTATGAAAATAATAATGATGGTAGCAACAACAATTAGGGTTGACACAATGATATTAATGATGGGAAGAGGCAGTGGCAGGAGGGTGGGAGTGGTGAGAAAATAGTTAACATCATTTTTTTGTTGCTTTCTAACTCATTTTTTCCTTTTGATGAGAAATGCACTGCACCAATAAAATACAATTGGTAGAATATTAGTAGAATAACATCAATACTATGTAATGTTTGATGCGAACATAATAAAGACCAAATAATAATAGTTTGTAACGATGATGTATGAAAGTGATAATAGTTAAAACAATAATATTAACAAAATGGTAACATTACTAATAACGACGAAAATGACAAAGATAATATAATGTTGGTAGTGTTGATATAGTGTTAATAATGGTAATAACGAGAAAATAATGATAACGAAAATAATGAAAGAAAAGAGTTTAGAGTTTAGGTTTTAAGATAAATGAAAGTTATTGTAGTGACAATTGTATTATTAAAAGTTGTGACATGAATGATAAATATTAATAATAATGTTGGTGAATACGATGACAGTTATAATAACATGATGATTGTTATAGTAGCCATAATGGTTATGACTATGGATCTTCTGACTTCATTTTTCCCTTGATAAAAACTAGATGACGATAATAAAATATAATAGACAATAAGATAAAGAAATCATATATTATTAATGCGCCAATGAAATCATGAATGGGTTTTCAGTAGAAGAATGATTGTCACTATGGAGGTGGAGTTGGTTGGAGTATTAATGAGAGTGATCCACGCTCTTTTGTGTTGCCTTTTTTAGTTGTCGAAGTGAAATCGTTAGCAACAAAATGGGGAATTAGCACACTTTTCTAAGCCATAGATAGTTGATAAATTCTTCTCTCACTTAATCCACCATGAGGCCTTTTCATGCTAAAACATGACAGAGCCCTGGAGCACTAGAGGAGTCAAATACCTCCAGGGTTAATCCTAACTATGCCAATGAATTTGAGGTAGGAGCATTCATGTTAGAAACACAGCCTAGGCCATTTTGCCCCTTAGTCTTGATTGCGAAGTTTGTTCAAGTATTTTAAAAATTGAAAAGTCTCGTCTTTTAGAAACTGATATAAAAATTGTTTATAAACACAGCTCTTTCTTTAACTTACTCAAAGGATAACACTGTGATGGATTCACTAACACCAGAACTGTCTATATTATGACCCTAATGATGCTAATGAATTTAACATCGGAACAATCAGTGTTCATTCTAATATAATAAATTTAAGCCTTTGAATTTAATTTGTTATATAATTATATGATATAACACCATATGATTCCATTAGCTAAACTCATAGTGAAGCAAAGATTGGTTGTTTCCAGTTTATTTTGTTTTTCATAATAAAATATTGCTTTGTAGTTAATTTCTTTGGTTTTCTTCAGAAGGAAATCTTTCTCTCAAACCTCTGTCAACACAGGAGCAGGAACAGGATATGCAAAGTAAAAGTGTTTTACCAGCATGCTACAATAGTACCCGAGCATATAATGGAAATATTATGCTCGCTAGTTCTTCACGTCTTGGAGAAGTTAAAATATCTTTGAATTGTGACTCAGCCTTGGGACGACTAAACTTCAGTATTCCTAATTTGGATGTTGTTATGAAGTTCATGGACAGGAAGTACCTTAGCTCTTGCTACACTGTTGAGCCTCAATTTTCTACGGCAAAGCTATTAAATGACCTTTGTAAGATTTTTCTCCAATTGGGGCTTCGAAAGGGATCAAATTCCAACCAGGCCATTTCACATTCACAGCAATACGTTAATCAAGGTGAAAGGAAACCCTTTAATTTTATCAGTGACATAACAAAAGGTTCTGAAAAGGTGAAAATATCATTAATAGATGAATTTGGCAGTGACTACTTGCCAAAGTTTAATTACATACCAAACAGTATAATATATCAAAGTGCTATTGTAAGCATTTCTTTGGCCCGGATTTCGGATGAGGGTTGTTGTTCTGATTGTTCCGGTGACTGTCTTTCATCATCACTGCCTTGTGCTTGTGCTCAGGAAACTGGTGGGGAGTATGCTTACACTCCTCAAGGTTTGTTGAAAGAAGAATTTCTAACAGCTTGTGTGACTATGAAGAATGAACCTCAAGATCATCATTATGTGTACTGTCAGGAGTGCCCTTTGGAGAAGTCCAAGAATGAATACATGCCTGAACGATGCAAGGGGCACATGCTTAGGAAATTTATAAAGGAATGTTGGAGGAAATGTGGATGTGACATGCTTTGCGGGAATCGGATAGTGCAACGAGGTATTGCATGCAAATTGCAGGTATGAAATTCTCTGAATACTCTTAAAATAACATAAATTTGTTCGACGATTTGGGTATATTCCTTTATAAAAAAATTTCTTTCTTCTGTCTAGGGGAAGGGGTTGTTCTTGCTGTATAATGTCTTGTCATTCCGGACTTAATTTCCTTCAATATTTCAATCAATTGGAGAACATCACCGAAAATTAGAGGTGTCAAAGTGAATTAGAATCCAGTGACTCAAACTGATTCATCACTCGTTAATGCATTTTACATTTGAATCACAGTTTAAATACAAAAAAATTGACGTATGGCTTAAGTCTGTACTACGAAAACTGATTGTAACATCCACGTTGGCTAGCAATGCTTAAGCCTTTTAGTTATTTCTGTGTGAACACAGCAAACTCAGCGTTAACACATGTATTGCTTGTTTGAGGCTACGAGACTTGGCAGAAAACCTATGCCAATTGATAAAAATCATTAGAAAACTGCAGTACAAAATTTACCTATTTAGTCAAAAGCCTCCAACGAGACACTAGCTCTTTGAAATTGAATCCTGATCAAATTATTTGCTCTTGGTGCATCATTAGCAGTGCTTCAATTGTTACATGTGATATTTGACTAAGATATTGTAGTCTTTTCTTCTCCAGGTGTTCTTAACCCGAGAAGGTAAAGGGTGGGGCCTTAGACCGTTAGAAGATCTACCAAAAGGAACTTTCGTATGTGAATATGTTGGAGAAATATTAACCAATATGGAGTTATACGATAGGATTATGCATGAGAGTGGCAATGACAGACATACATATCCATTAACTCTTGATGCGGACTGGGGATCAGAAAAGGGGTTAAAGGATGAGGAGGCGCTGTGTTTAGATGCAACATATAATGGAAATGTTGGAAGGTTTATCAACCATAGGTAACCATATAACAAAATGAGACCTTTCTGAAATTCAACATTTTCCAATAATTACTAATGCTCTTTTATACTGCTAGTTGTTATTCTATCACAGATAGTTATGTACGGTGATTTTGTTTATGTTTTTACCAACTTCTTTGAAGTCCTAATTAAGATCATTTTCACTTGAATGAGAAGATAATTGTTTTATAATTATAGGAAACGGAATTTAATCTCTTAAAAATACTGCATGCAACGATAAAACTTTTGACATATTGAACCGGCCAAATGTTATTTTTTTTTTCTATTGTCTACTTTTTTTTTGTTTCTTCTAAAATGTTTTTTAATTATGTTATTAGTTTGAGTATTCATTAATTTTGGTTGAAACAAAACCATTACTAATCTGTGTGTAATTGCAGATGCTATGATGCAAATCTCATAGACGTTCCCGTTGAAATAGAGAGTCCAGATCACCATTATTATCATGTAATGATTAGTTGATTTTATACTGACATTCTTCTCTTTTACATTTTCTGAATTTTGGGTAAGGCAATAAAAATTAAATTGCGGGCATATATACTTAGAATGTTGTGTTTTGTTCTTTTTGAGCAGCTTGCCTTCTTTACCAACAGGAAAGTCAGCGCATACGAGGAATTGACATGGGTAAGTCAGCTGTGCGTCTGTAAAGATCTTTTACATATTATTTAATTCTCTAAGTTGTCATGCATGTTTATTTATTTTAAAATCTATATCTACCATGTTTTTTTTCTTTGTTCAGTTTAAAAAATTTACACACCAACATCACAAAGAAAGTAAATCTAGTTTATATTTGTTTTATCAAAATAATTATAGAGATTTTGGGAAAAAAATTCTTTAATAAGGTTGAGTACAACATTCATTTGTTTCTGTGTCATGTAACAAATATGTTTTCTAGTGGATTCTTATACCTTCGCTACAGATAATCGGTCTATGTAGGTTTTCGAAACATGGGTATCTCTTTTCTGATTATTTCAAGGATGTGAGTTTGTATTTAAATAGGAAATTATAATTTAATTTCTTTTAAATATATTCAATTTGAATTATTTTTATTTTAAATAATTTTTATATGGTAATATAAATTTATTAAATTTTAAAATTTTATCATTTGAATAAACTACAAAAATACAGTAAAATAAAAAATTATCTTTATAAACATTAAAAAAATAGAACAATTATACACTTCAACTAAAGAAATCTAATTGATATCCACTTAAATATAGTCTTATCAATATGCAAAGATAAAATCTTAAGAAATGTTAACCAATAAATAATTTTGAACTATGTCAGAAGATAATTAATCTAAAAAAATGTCATAAAAAATAATTCTTATCAACATATTCTTATTAATAGAATAATAATTGGATTAGTAGAGATAAGTAAGAGAGTGTAGATTGGACTTAGAAAATAGGAAGATTAGATTCTGAGATGCGATTTTAAGATAATTGAAAATAGTTTTTTTCTAAAAGGGTATAGGTTCACTTGCAAAAAGCACTCTGCTGCTCAAGTTAATATTTAGACAAGAGAATAATGTATTTAAGAATGAGTGATAAGGTGAGATTTACTCTCTGGTTAAGTTTCATTATATAGGATCCAAAGATAATAATAGGCCAAAAAATAATAACTGATATATGATATTATAACAAATAAAAGATAATAAGATAATGCGTAACAAAATAATAAATAAAGTGGTTTTAATGATTTTGGGTCGGGTAGGTACACAAGTCCCTCAAGCTTGGAGACTGAGTTCCTTTAGGAATAGAGGTCAAACGAGTTTAAAGTTGAGTTGATCATTTCATAATGTAGACGAATAGTGTTCAATTTGAACATATTTATCTTATAAATTATATTATTCGGTTAGATAAAGATATATTTGTGAGATTTACTCAATAGAGCCTAAAAACTTTAGGAAAAAGGAGAGAGGAGCTTGGTAAGGCTTCCATCAGCCCCAATCTCAAGAAGATCGTCCTATGAAGACCATATCTTCGTCGATCTTGAAAATGGTTTATATTTGTCATGTGAATATACTATTATTATAAAGTTATATCTCATCTCGTTCATAGACTATGCAACTATTAGTAAACTATATAAATATTATATTTGTGACTTCGATTAAAGTATTTAAGAAGTAGATTTTGATAACTTGTACATTTGAGTAAGATAAATGCAAGTATTGATAACTTGTATACTGAAATAAAATATGTATAACGCGTGTAACTTTGAATAAGATATATATAACTCGTGTGATCCTGAATAAGGTAGATGTAGGTTTTTATACCTGATTAAAATATGTATAATTCGTGTGACTCCGGATAAAGTAGATGCAAGTTTTTATATCTGATTAAGGTATGTATAACTCATGTGATCCCGAGTAAGGTATGTATAACCTGTGTGACCTTAAGTAAGGTATGTATAACTCGTGTGACCCCGAGTAAGGTAGATGCATGTTTTTATACCTAATTAAGGTATGTGTAACTCGTGTCATCAGGAGTAAGGTATGATTAACTCATGTGATCTTAAATAAGGTAGATGCAAGTTTTTATACTTGATTAAGATATGTATAAGTTAGTGACCTCAAGTAAGGTATGTATAACTCGTGTGACCCTGAGTAAAATATGTATAACTCATGTGATCCTGAGTAAAAATACATCTTTTTATACTTGTGTGACCATGAGTAAGGTACATCATTTTATACTTGTATAACCTCGAGTAAAGTACAACTTTTATACTCATATTATGCTGATTAAGGTATAATTTTTATACTTGTGTAGTCTCGAGTGAGGTATAATGTATGTATGCAATTTTTAAAACTCTGAGTTGTTGTGAATGAAATGTGTAAGAGAACCAGATCAAATGAGTTCTTTGATGATATCCTTGACCTTTTGGCATTCCTCGATGGTATGCCTGTAGTTCTAATGAAATCGGTAGTGCTTAGTTGTATCAACATGGGTTGGAGATGACAGCGGTGGAGGTGCTCATACAAGTTCCAAGCTAAAGGTCTCCAGGAGAATGTGTTTTCTACAAGTATTCAGAGGTGTGTAATGTCCATACTTAGCTATCCGAGGTTTTTTGGAGAATTGGATCGAGTATGTTCGACAATAGGTTTCCTTTCTTTTAAATCTAGATTTATTATCCTTTATGCGGATGTAATTGGTTATTCGTGCACGTAATTTGTCAAGGGTTCTCGATGCATAGACAAAACAATTATCAATCAAGAGTTCCTGCTATAGATAGACTTGTATTGCGTGTAAGGCAATAATGAGATGCAAATTCGGTATAGTATTTGATACTTTGGTGAATAATTCCATGAAACTATGGAGTGGTTCGCCCTTGCTCACTTTTACACTTTCTAAAGTCATCAACATGACTTCGTGCATATTACTAACCGCAAACCTAACTCGGAACCTTTCTGCTAATGTGTGTAGAAATTGATAGAGTTATATGGTAAAGAGTTGTATCATCGTAAGGCTAGTCCTCACAACTTGGTAGCGAAGACTTGACACAGTAATGCTCCGTTGTTGGTATACAAATATTCTTGTGCTTTGTATTGCTAAATGTTCTTTTGGATCTATCGAACTATCATATTTTTCTATCATGAGTGGTTCCCAGTTAATTGGTGTTAGGATCGAGCGTTTACCACTAGGCAAAAAACTATAGTCATTACTCAAAGCGCTACTCTTTTTACTTAAGAGTAACAACCCAAGCACCACGATTCGATTGTGACTCGGTCCACTCGGCCTCTACCACGAGACAATTGATGCTACCTGCAACAATCTCCCCCTCAGTAATTGTCCTACGAGGAATCCCACTTGGATTGGGACTTGGCTCACCTGGCCTCCGCCATGGGACAATTGTACAACCCGCAACAATCTCCCACTTAACAATTGTCCACTAGGAATCGAACTCGTGACCTTGGATTTGATACCAATTGTTAGGATCAAGCGCTTACCACTAAGCCAAAAGCTATAATCATTAGTCAGAACGTAAATCTTTTTACTTAAGAGGCGCCACAATTCGATTATGACTCGGCCCACCCGACCTCCGCCATGGGACAATTCATGCTACCTGCAACAATTGGGAGAGCGATTTCCATGACTTTAGAAATGAATGGATGATTGTTTTTCTCCTCACAAATTTCAATTTTTAGTGTATGCTAGGAAAGTGTAAGTTCAATTCTTCATGTATGTTGGGAATGTGTAAGTTTGTTCTTCGTGTGTGTTGGGAATATGTAGGTTGAAGTTAAGTTGGGGCTTCTTCCACTGTTGGTTTTCTCGGAGGTGGGAATTGAACAATTGTTTCTTTAGTGTGGTCACACTTGACATTCTCCCTTCAACAACTCCTTCTTACTTGATTTAGTGACTTAACATTTTGTTTGGAAGGGTTCCCCCGAACTACATCTGGGTTGACTTTTGGCTTTCTCCAAGTTTCAAACCATTAAGTGTGTTTTGATGGTTGGTGCTAATGATTGTTGGGTTCGTACTTTACCCGATGTTATGGGATCTTTCAATTGTAATGTTCGACTGACTCGTTTGGGGCTGTTTGATGAGAACCTTGAACTCATTTTGTAAAATTTGGAGCTCAACTTGGTGTTGTTTTCGGATTAACTCTAAATTTTCTGCTGCTTTTTGTTAGATTTGCAAGAGTTTAGCATTTTGCAAATTCTTTATTTTCTCATGATTTCTTTGTTGACGTTTTTCCATATATTTTTTAAGGCTGTTGAGGACAACTGTGGGATCCATATTGTTGTTTGAATTTGATACTGTCTGACTGCAAGTTAAAATCATGGAATGGAAGAGATGTAGAAATTTTTTTGTCAGACCTCATAGTGAGCGTCAAATGTTCTTATCGATCTAGTAGATGTTGGCAAGAGGGTGTGAGATTGAATTAAAGAGATCGATAGATCAAATTCTGAACTGTCGTCTTCAAGATAGTTGAAAGTAGCTTCCTTTGAATAGAACATAGACTTATATGTAAAAGATACTCCAATATTTTAGTGAACTTTTAGATAAGAGAGTAATATATTTGAAAATAAGTGATAAAGGGAGATTTACTCCCTAATCAAGTTTTCTTATATATAATCTAGAAAATAATGATAGGCTAAAAAATAATAATTGATAATTCAAAAGATAATAAATAATATATGATATTATAAGATATAAAAGATAACAAGATATTACATAACGAGATCAACTCTAACTAATGTCAACTAATAAATAAGTGTGGTTTAAATGCGCAACAATTCTATCAATAACATTTGACATGGAAGATACCCAGTTGAATTGACAACATCTTGGGCTTGTACCTGAAACTAATCGTGTTAAAGAAACTATAAGAAAGAGAATGGAAGACAAGTCAAAATTATGATGAGTGAAAGAAACTAAAGATTATCTTACAATTAATATTTTTCTTCATGATATGAAACTTTCTTTAATATTTAGAAAGAATTTTCTATTTCTTGTTTGGTCTTTTCTATTTTTTTGTAATGTTATATGTTTCAATATGTACTTGTGTTCCATTTTTCTAAACGAATATGTACTAGAAATACCATTACGTTTGATCTCTCTAACAAATTGTCATGGTTGTCTTAATTTCATATGACCAACCTTGTAAACAAAAGAACTAAATCAACATATTTTCCAATAGAAAAGGAAATCAAAACTTGTTTACTCACCAACAATTCACCATTTATCTATTATTTGAGTTCGTAAGATTGAGATTGAATAATAGTTAGTAAGTCATTTATCTATCAATCTTTACTTTCACTGTTAATATAACTCCCTCCATAAATCATTAAAAATAGAGTGATTTTTTTTTTCATAGTGAGTCACCAGAATCTTTAAGAAATTACTCAAACATTTGGTTAAACATTTATAATCACCTTTCATATGTACAACACCTTCGATAAGAAGACTAAAGAAAAGAAGAATGTTAACGTTCTATTCTATTTTCTTCTTTTAAAATGGGTAATTCTTTCATATTGGCATTTGAATATTACTGATTATAGCCAAACATCTATAAAATTTAATAGAAATTATTTTGAGAAAAATTAGAATTTTAAAACATGTTTATCACATTTTAATTTTTTGTTAGGGTAGGGAACGCATAGAGGCACTTGTTATAATCAATTCTCATGCGTAATTGACTTTATTTGCAGGATTATGGTATTGATTTTGAAGATGAAGATCATCCTATTAAAGCATTTCGTTGTTCTTGTGGAAGCGCCTTCTGCTATGATAAGAAACAAAAAGGTTAGTTCAATTAAACAACTGTTCTCCTTGGTTGTGGGATTCCTCATCCTCCAGCTCTTCATTCTATTTTTCTAATAGCTACTATTTCAGTATTTGCATCATTTAAAATAAATGATTGTTATTTTTTACTCTTATATACTTCACGTCAATTCTTACACTTGATTTGGAAGAAGAATTTATGTGTACAACGTTTGGAATGTCAATTATATATGTATAGCCTTCTATCGCATAGTGATTTATTACTAAAATCTCAATGCAAACATAAATTTAGTAATTCAAATGCAGGTGATAGTTTTTTGTTATTTCTAAATAGTAGTGTTTATTATTTGTTGAGAACTCTACTTCTAATTTGGTGGGCTTATGCGTTCTCATCAAACTTTATCTGTACATTGTTTGAACGAATAAATAAGAAATCTGATGGAGTTTTTCCTTAGATTAATGATTGTTCAACTTTTATTAGGGAAAGGAAAAATAGAAAATCAGGATCTTGAAAGTAGAGGAAAGTCTGAACTCAAACACTCGAAGCGATCAAGTTTGTCTTGACATTTTCTCTCTCTCGGACGATGCCTTTCTGTGAGGCAATCCTTGATCTACTCAGCTCAGTACCTTCATTCAAGTTGCCTTTACATACTAACTATTCTTCATCATCATTTGGGGATATGGAGTTGCATTGCAGAAAATTCAGGTGGCTATATGTATAAGTGATAATAGTTTACACTTTTATTTGTTCTTTTTTTCTGCAAATGTGTTTTCGATTTCTGTTATTAATTTTGTAACATGTTGCCTCATAGGAAAAATCTAAGCAATTGAATGTGAATTTAAAAGGATATTAGATTTTGGGTTTAAAAGATTTGTGGTACTAAAATTCTTCTATATTGTAAAAGACCATGGGAAAATGTTATGATTTTTTAGAATCTTTTTAAAGACTTTATAAATATTAAAAAAAACTTTATAAATCTATAAGATTGTCTGACTCTATAAGAGACCATTACAAGAGTCAATAAAAAAAAAAAAGTAAAATCAATACAATTTTTTCAATATTTTAGTATTTATCCATTGTACATTAACATTTTTTTTTTCAATTTGGTTGTTGGGTTTGAATAATATAAAATTATGTATTTCGTTTTCAATATTTAAAAATTTCATTTTGGAAATTTATTAAAATAATTTTATGAAAGTTATCAAGTACTATATATGAATGTCTTTATGAAACTTCAAATAAATAATTTTATCATAAATTTTTATTTTTATCATTTTCCATAAAAGATATGAATATTAATAAATAATTAATATTTTTTTAACATTTAAAAAATGGTTAAAATTACGATTTGTTAATTTAATTTGTTAAACCAGTTTTTTCTCCATCCAAAACCAGGTTTAGACGGACTGGCTATATCACAGTTTAGGAAGAGTCTTTCTATGATTTATTGTTTCTAATTTTAACTCCTTCTTATAATAATAATAATTTTGTAAAGTTGGTGGTGGGTGAAACGATGTTATATAGATTAAATGATTAAGTCTAACTTCTTTTACCCCTAAATTATAATTGATTGAATTGGATGTTAGTTATGTTTAATTAAAGATGAAATTTTGTTTGGACGATTCTTTTTATAAAATGTTTTCAGGGGAAAAAAGATAAAATAAATTTTTTCACTCTAATTTTGTAGGGAATGTGGGGGAAAAAAAAGTAAAAAGAAAAAAAAAAAAAAAAGATATGTTAAGTAATAATGAAACAGAGAAATAGCCATAATTAACCTTCTATAACAGACCACACATACAACTATTAGGTGATTTGGTACTAAATAAAGGAAATTTTTTTGCTAATTTTGGTTAAGTTAAAATACATTAAAACATCAAATTGGGAAAAAAAAAATCCAAAACTCTTATCCTTTAAGAGTGAAAATCTGAGGAAGCTGTCAAACCATCTTTCCAGCAGCACCTTTGCGTGTTTTAGCACAATACTCAAACAAGCTCCCATCAAAGCAACGCCTCACAGCTTCTTTTGTCAGATAACCTTGTTCATCTCTTGCAAGGATATGCAACACTCCCCACTCAAATTTGCTTGCAGCCCTGCAAATGATTTAAAGAGATTCACCCATTTTCAGTTCAGGATTCTTAACATTTGTTTGTTGTGTACCAAAAATTTTATGCAAGAGAAACAGAGAGAACCAGCCAAAGAAGTCATATGCAACTCTGTTTGCTTCAGTCATGTGCCACAGCTCCCTCAATGACAATTTATCAGGCACCTCTCGACCGTACTTGCTGAACATGAATTCCAAATTTGATGGCATGAACCTGCAGTGTTGTTTTAGCCATGACATAAGACGATGTTATCATTTTTCAAAGTAAAGATCAACACTCAACAAGCAATTTTCTTAACTTACCTTCCCTCTGTGTCATAGCTACCACTGTCACTTCCATGCTTGGCCTTGTGTATGTTTTTTATATGAATTGGGAAAAAAGGTGAAGGTAGCCATGTCTGCGACAAAAGTCAGAACATGTAACATGTGAGTGGGAGTAATAATGGTAAGGTAAATCATACCTGTTTCGAGTTCAGGGTGTCTCACAGGAAGAGTAGGATAACTGAGAGCTACATGAATACCAATCGAAAATATGAAGGAAAGAATCACGTTGAAACCCAGTGCACGAAATCCTACAAAATTATAATCAAAGGTGTTTCCTTCAGATACAAAAAACGATCACACGCTGATCAAGGTAACGTGTGAATGCTTAGTTGCACTTTTGATTTTCTTCAGATACTAAAATGATACATTTGCTATATCAGAACACAAAATTGATGACCTAAAATGATACAAAAATCATAGAAATAGACATAAGAAAAATATTACCCTTGTATGTCTCCCATGGGTAAACAACACCATCATTGTTGAGGTCGAAGAAGGACACATGCTGCTGAAGTACTGACATGTCGTTGTGTTTGTGGCCCCATGTACCATTCACATTCTCTGTGTCAGGGGCCGTCAAAGCTCGTGGCAAATCTGAATTTTGGAGAAACAAATTCGAAGTCCGCAAGTACAAAAATCAAATTTGATCAAACCCCATTAAAATTTCCTCCTTTGGGACCCTTTATTTCGTCAAGCATTATTATCTCAAACAAAAAGCCAAATAAGAAGAGAATGAGTTACATGGTTTGGGGAGCTTGGTGTCCAAGTCCTCTGGGACTTTTCTCTGAGCAGTTACCGGTGCCTTGTCTGCCACAGTAGCCATGGAATCCTTGGATGCTACCACCGTTGTCATATTGATGAAGTGAGTTTTGCTTCAAGAAATGCCTTTGGTTTCTCTGGTGTTGGCTGCGATGTGAGTTTTGGAGAAGCTAGTTTGTGTTGGAAGTGGTGGATGCAGAATAATAGGGAAGAGTGAAAGAAGTGTTGAGAAGAGAGGAGAAGAAGGGACAATGCAGCTAACAGTGAAAGATTCCTCCTCGTGACTCGCGTTTAATGGACACGTGGCATGTTCAGAACTCCACTTGACAATTTTGAACACCATATGTTATTGCTTTTTCTCGTCTTCATCCCAATTTTGTAGTTCTTCAATCACACGCAACAAAAAGGAAACTTGACGTTGTAAAGCTATCTGAAAGCGTGTCTGAAGCACGTCACCGTCACGCTTTAAACCTAAACAAACCCTCAAATGGTAGCTTTTCATTTTCACGTCCATAACGCACCCATTCAATTAAGTACTTAAAAAGGAGTTTTTTCACTTTCCAACTTCTTGTTTATGGCTTCAAACTATTAACTTCTTCTACTTGTTTTCCAGTGTTTTTATGACTTCAACTATCTACTCTTGGAGGCTGAGCTTAAATGATTGAGCAGTGAAACGTGAAAAAGGAAAAAAATAGTTGACCTAATTGTTATAAATCTTGTCCAACAAGTGGTAAAGAGAAACTGTTATGAATGGTTAATTAGCTTCCTCACAACACAACCTGCGTTTCAGATGAATGCACAGAAGAAACCTTATTGAGAAGCCCATGAATATGTATCAGTTTTAAGTGCAAGACCGTAAACATATGATTAACCGATATATTGCTATAAGTTAAAGTTCAACTAAAAAAATATATAATTTAAATAAATCAGTTTCATATATCAAGTTAATTTGCAGATATATGAGTGGATCGGTTTTATTATTATTTTCTTAATATATATTATAAATTAATTTTAAAAAATATTTAATTATTTTCAGAGTAAATTTTATAATAAACTTCTAATAATTACTTAAAAAATTTAATGGTCAAAAATAAATTAAAAAATCATTAAAAATAAATGACGATAGGAAAAATTAATTTTTTATTCCAATTTTAAGATTAAATAAATTTGTTATTTTATATTTTGTATATTAAATCATTATATTTTAAATATAAAATAATTTAATTAATATAATTTAAATTTTAAAATATATTTAAAAATTTAGTTTTATTTTAATTTTTAAAATAATTAATTTGATATAAATGTGTTAATAATTTTTTTTACAAATTTAATCAAATTAAATTTAACTCGTTAATTTATTTAGGAAAGACTAAATCATGGTTTGTAAAGTAAAACTGAGTTTATTAATTAAATAATTAAATGATAAGATACTAAAAATTGTTTGAAAAAATTATATAAAATCTAATTTGTGGAGTAAATATTTTAGGTATGATTTTTCCTATAAACTAATTCTTTTATCGGTAATGAAAAAATAATATTAGTCATAAAATAATGATAATAAATATTTAGTTTACTTTATTTGATATGATTAATAAGAAATTCTTATACTTTTAATTTATACAAATTTATATATATATATATATATATATATATATATATATATATTTATGTTAGAATATTGTGAAGGTTAAAACATAATGTAACTAATAAATTAATGAACAATAAAATAATCATAATAACAACTAAAAACAACAATAATTCTAATTAATTAATAGTGTATTTTTTGTTATATTTACAATATATAAAAATTAAACTATTATATTTTATATAATATTTACATAAAATGTTAGACTGAGAATAGGTATAATTGATAAATAAAATACATATTGCGCAAATTGATCGCATTTTATTTTATTTAGATTGATTAATTGGCAATAATTTAAAAACGAAACATTTGGTGAATCCCTTTAAAGATTAAAATATTCTTTATATTATATTTATGTTCAGATTCATTTAAATATAATAAAAATACAATCAAAATATGAAAAGATAAATTAAGAGTACTTAACCCAATCTAATATATAAAATCTTCAATGAATTAATTAATAAATTTTGTACATTAAATCAGGGATTTCATTTAATTTATTAAATAAAAAATATTAAGTAATTTTTAACATTAATAATAATAATAATAATATATTTATTATTTAATTTATTCAATTATTATATTAAATAAATATGTATTTTTAAAATATTAAATTATTCAAATAATAAATAATTTAGTTTATTTTAAAAAATATATTTTAAAATTTAATAATTAATAAATAATATTTTTAACAAATTTATGATCGAATAAAAATAAAATAAAATCTATTTGATCAAGTGTTGGTTGAATTAGATTAAGAAAAAAAAATACAAAACTCTATCGATTCCAATTCAAAAATTGGTCTGAGTGAGGAGCATGACTAAATTTAACCCATTCCAACCCTTATATATCCCTTAAAAAATACTATTAAAATTGTTTATTATTTAAGTATATATATTTTTAAGAGGAGTATTTAATGTAGAGTTAAGATGTATTTTAATTTATTTTTAAGATAATTAAAAAATTTTGAAAGATTATTTTACTACTATTTCTTAAAATCTGTCATATATATATATATATATATATATATATATATATATATTATTTAACAGTATTACTAAAAATTATATATTCTATTTAATAAATATAATATTTAATAATTTATACTAATTTTATTGTGTTTATAGTAAAAAATGATTAAACATTTAATGATTTAATTTTCAAGATGTCACTTTAAGATCAACCATTTTATCTTTTTATGAATTTTTTTATTAAATTACTAAGTAAACAAATTTTAATTTAGAAAATAACAAAGATCTTTCATATATTAATTTAATAAAAATATTTATAAAATTTTCTTAATTATAAATTTAATTTTTTAATATTAATTCAAATAGTAAGGTGAAAGATATAAATAAAAAAAGATAAATACGTGAGAAATATAGATGTATGAGAAAAGTAAATATAAAAAAAATATTAATTATCAAAAATAAAAAAGAAACCGATACAAGAAATTAATAAAAATATAAAAGATAAATAACTCAATTCTAGATATTTGTTTAGGAGATATCTTAATATAATTTGTTATTTCTCATTTATTCACCTATTTATTTTAATTTATATTAATTTTTGTAATTATTAAAAAAAAATTATTAACCGTTGTTCTCCTTTATCGAATAGTTTGATTATCCCACGTAACTGTCCCTATCACATGGAGTTATCATAGCATTTGTGTATGCATTTCTCTAACTTCCATTAACAATTTTCTTCCCTCAATTCTCTCCCTCTTCTTCCTCGAACTTCTTTCCAACAGGTAGATAAATAATTTCATAATTGAAACACTTTTTTAATTTTCTCATCTCTATTTTATTAGATCATATTTATATATTTTTTTCTCCGTTCTATCCCTTTCCATCCATATGTGAATTAGGATTATATATTCAGTGCATTTGGACTTGAGGGAGTAAAGAAAATTCCATTCAATGTTTGGAAACAACAATCACCCCTTCGTCGCACCCACACTTGTTACTTTATGCTATCATACCATGAAATTTCAGAACATATTAAAGATCCTTATTGACTATGTGAACTAATTGTGGAATATAACACCTCACGAGGAAAATTGAATTACACTGAATTCATTGTAAACAGAGTTATTATAGCATCTCTTCCATTCAATTTTGCAGAAAATTGACATGGCAGAGCAAGTAGGAGGGGATGAAAGTGGCACCATGAACTTTCCAAAAGGAAATAGAAAGTGACATGATGATGGATGATTGACCATTTTGGACCCTTTCACTCCATTCATCAGCAGCCTTTCGTATTCATCAGCAGCCAACACCAACATGCACTTTGCTTCACCTTTTTTTCTTTAATATTTCCCATCTCATTATTTCCTTACGTTATCAAAGTCAACAACTTGTACATCCCTACTAAAATCTCACGGCCCAGAACCAACCTGTCCCCACACGTGCGAGTCGCAGGATGTTTTTTTTTTTTTTTTCTTTTTGCGTCATCTGTTGTTAGCATAATCATGAGAAGTAGAATCTAAACGAGCCTTGGACGGACAGAGTTTTTAGGTTCTAAGATTGGTTGTTTGAGTTAAACACGACAAACTCAAATACGTGTGCATTACAATTCCTCCACCCTCATCTTCTTCTTCTCTCTCTCTCTCTCTCTCTCTTACCCTCCGTTTTTAGTTGGATTCTCAGCTTTTTAGATTCCGTTTCCGGTTTTTCCCAATTCCAAAGTCATCGTCGTCATCCCTTTACAGGTAAGCTTTTTCTACTGCCCCGTACGTTATTCCACACGCACACTTTCAATTTTTCACCCCTTATCCACTCTATGGCTTGGTTATGTTTTAACATAAGATTATTAGTTTGAGCTTTTATCGCTTGAACTTCTGTATGCCTTGTTAAATTTTGTAATTTAATTTTTTTAATGGAATTCTGTGAATCTGGGAGTGTGACTTTGATCTGTTATGGGCTCAATTGGGTGGTCTCGACGAACGGTTATGGGCTGGAAAGGCGGCATCTTGCGTGGTGGGTCGTTTTCTTTAATTTGTGGTTGTAAAGAGGGTGGTGTGGCAGTTCTGGTGTTTCTGTGTCACGGACTAGGACACTTTCTGTCAAAGCTTTTAACTGGGAATTGCAATTTGATGGCCCCCTCAAAAACTCTTTTTCTCCAAGCCTCCCTTCTGCCAAAGCTGACGCTTGAACTGAACTTGTTTATAGTTTACCATTCATATTGGTAATTTCTAGGTTGGTCTTTGAGTGGCTTAGTTTTGAAATTCAACAGCAACTCACTGTTACTCTTTCTGCATGAGGCTGGCTTCTCTTATTTTACGGCTTCAGGCTTATTACTTCTTTTTGTTGTTGTTTTTTTTCTTATATCTGTTATAACCCGGCTTATGCTGTTTGTCATGCTTCTTGTTTCATGTTTTTACCTTGGCGATTGTAACTTGTATTTAAAAGCTTCAAGGCTAAACAAATGCACAAACTATTTGAAGCTCCTGCAGATTTTCCTTCTGTACCCCACATTAATTGTAGATATTGTGAATCAAACTACATTTTTCTAAACTAGCTTATTCTTTTCTTCAAAATATTTTGCCATCCTTTGGAGAATGTCCATGAAAATTGGGATTGGATAACCTGGTTGCAGTAGTTTTATCTGTTTTCTAGTGCTTTTATGACTTCAACTATTTGCTTCTCAGAGGATTTAGCTGAAATTCTTGAACTGTGAGATATGAAAAATTACTGTATGTTTTGTCCAATAAGTGGTAAAGGTAACTTCATTATTAGTGGTTGATTAGCTGATATACAACTTGTTTTTTGTGTTGAAATCAGGACTGACAAAGCTGATTCACTTGGGAACCTGGACAGCAATGTCTTCATCTTCTCGTATTCTTCCCACTCCCCTAGAAAACAAGTATATGAAACCCCCAGATTCTTTTCATCTTTCACCTGCCAGTGATCTGGCTGCCAAATCTGTCTCATCTAATGCAATCAGAAGTGCCGGGAAGATGATCTCATCACCCTCTGAATTTACTGATGGCATCCCCTTTTCCTCTGCTTCACTTCATGAAAGGCAATATCAAGATTCCCCCTTCGTTTCTTCGACATTGGGTGACAATGTGTCTTCCGAAATACACTCAACGTCATTCATTCCTCTCCCTCAAGAAACCGAAGATATTACCTGGGGACCAGATCCATTTCAGGATATTCTAGGGTTTCCGGAAAATATGTCTGTCCAGCATGATCAGGAGGGAAATAATGCCTGTTACATAAATGATGATAATGTTAAAAGAACTGATTTTGGGGAGTGGGTTGATCAGTTAATGTCAATTGAAGATTCTCTTCACCCAAACTGGAGTCAGCTTCTTGGTGATGATAATGTAGCAGAACCAAAACCAAAGGTTTGTTTCTCAAGATTCCTGCAAATACTTGTCCTCACCTGTGAAGTTACTAGAACGAGTTTTGGTTGCCTCTTTCAAGTCTATGAAAGAACTAGTCACTGATGTAGATGAAAACTAAGTTCATCTTGTAATAACAAGTGACCAAATGATGTCCATATACATGCATAAGTTTTCCTTTTCTTTCGCCTTTCTGCATAGAGAGAGGGTTGTAATTTCATTTGGTGCATTTAGGTGATCAATACTATTTTCTATCTATTTCATCACCTTGTACATGTGAATTTGTGTATATAGTTCATTCCCTCGTCTCTTCTAAGCTGTATATGAAATTATTAACAGTTTGAACTCCGTTTTTTTTTTTTTTATCATGCACCTTGACCTTTTGTTCAATAGTTTTTCTTTTTTGTGTATTTATTATCATAAAAGTTGCTGAAACATATCCTGTTCTGTTACTGCAGCCATTGCAGGTTCCTCAGCTGCAGGATACACAATCTGGAGAAGTTCTTGGCAATTCAGGAGCAACCACACCACAGACTAAGACCAGAATGCGTTGGACTCCAGAACTTCATGAGGCCTTTGTGGAAGCAGTCAATCAGCTTGGTGGTAGTGAGAGTATGTTTACGAATCTCATTCTTTTTTACCTTCTCTCTGAAATTTTTCTTGTTACCTCATGATGTTAACTACTTAACACGCAGAGGCTACTCCAAAGGGTGTGTTGAATCTAATGAAAGTTGAGAGCCTTACCATCTATCATGTAAAAAGCCACTTGCAGGTACCTCTTTGATTTATCATCCTCTTAAATAGATTGTAGGTGTATGTCAAGTTATTAAATCTACTGTTTTCCACATTTTTCTTATAATTTTCAGAAGTATAGAACTGCCAGATACAAACCAGAGCCATCAGAAGGTATGCTAAAGTGTAATTACGAATTCTATTATGTTATAACCTGCTTTCCAGTAAGATGTTCTGTTTGCAATATCAAATGCTTTTTTACATCGATTATTCTTCTTCAAACTTCCTTTACCGTATATTTGGTTTGAGAGGAACAGGATAGGGAAGAAAGAATATTTTAAAAATTGGGAATTTCTCTTATAATTGTTGAAGGGGGATGAAAATTCAATTTTTTCTCTCCATGTCAGTGTTCAAAATATTTTCTCCTTTTCTCCCATCCAAACAAGAAAAAAAGTGTAGATGGTCATTTCTCTGCCATTCTCCACAGCACCATGTCTTTTGGGTCAAATTGCATCATAAGCACAGAGAAATTCCTTGTCATTGTTTGACAAAAAATGGGTAAGGGTGTGAATGGAGTTGCTTTTCTATGCTTGCAGGAACGTCAGAGAAAAAGGCGACTCCAATAGAAGAAATGAAATCTCTAGACCTGAAAACGTGAGTTCTCTCTCTGTGCACGGACATGCATGTTAGTTATAAGAGAATGAAATGTTATCTCAATGTAACTTTCCTCTAATTATTATTTATTTTAATTTGATATATAATCAAACAAAGGTTAGTACCAATTAGATGGCCCACACAGGTTTGAAATTCACTGTTTCTGTGATACTATTTCATGTCATATATGAACAGTTGCTCCTTCAAATTCCTTTCTTAGAATGAAGAACAATGCTCAGAATCAGAAGCATACTTGGTTATTCTTTTGCAGGAGTAAAGGGATCACTGAAGCATTACGATTGCAGATGGAACTCCAGAAGCGACTTCACGAACAACTAGAGGTTGTTAACTTATTAGTACTCGAGATTCACTTGAGTGCAGTTAGTTTTGTTTGGTTTCTCTTTCTTGCTGAGACTGTAACTATTGTGTTGTGTATGCAGATCCAAAGAAAGTTGCAGATTCAAATTGAAGACCAAGGGAAACGTCTTCAGATGATGTTTGAGAAACAAAGAGAGATGGGTGACAACAAGGTTAATGGCTCTTCCCACAAGGCCACCACTGTCACCACTCCATCAGACACAGTGCTTCCTTCTTCTCCTCTGGTAGAAACCTCAAATGAAGAACGTGTGAAAGGCATGGATGAAGAGAAGGATGAAAGCACAAAGCAAAAGGAGGGTGAAGGTGAAGAAGTGATGAATGAAGATGAAGTTGCACCACCTACAAAACGGGTGAAAAGTTCATAACAGTAGGATTGTTTTATGGTTGTAGAGATAACATTTGGGATATAATTCATTGCCTAGATTTGTTAAATATTCTTGGACTTGTTTGGACTCCATGGAAGTTGTAGAAATATTATTGGATCCAGGGATGTTTCAACTCGCTTATCCTTTTCTTCTTCCTTTCAAATTATGGCATAAATTTTCATAGTAACGGTGCCTCATTGTGCTCCAAATTTTGTTATGATCCTCTTCGTAGTGGTCCTTGGCTTCAATTCTTAAACTAATATACTCGTGTTTTTTACCAGTTAATGAATAAAACACATGTTATTCTTTCTAAGTTAATAGTAAAAAACTCATGCATTTTCAAAACGTTCAAGAAATTAAATTTTTGAAAGAAATTGAGTTTCAATAAAGAGATATAAAATGAAGTAAAATGAAATTTTAAAACTCCTCAATAAAAGGGAGAGTAAAGAAAATTTACTAGAGAGGAGAAAGAGAAAGGAGATGTTGAATATGTTTTTTTTATTGATGTAGTTGAATTTAGATAAGAGAGGGAGAAGGAGAAGTAAAGAAAATGAGGAGAAGTTTAAAAGAAATTGAGTTTCAAGAAAAAGATATAAAATGAAGTGAAATGGAATTTTAAAAAATGTTATAGTTCATTTATTTAATGTATTTTTTTTACTCAAGTTATGAAATGAAATAAAAAGGAATGGTTTCGTTTATTCAAGCACAAATTAAATAAGTAATTTTATCATATATATATATATATATATATATATATATATATATATATATATATATAGTTATTGTTTAAATTAAAAAAAAATCAAAAGAAATAAAAAATAATAATTGTAGTGTTATTATTTAAATTACTTAAAGTAAAATGAAATAAATAACTGGCATAAAATTTAATCTATAATTTATAATTATATAATGAAGATTCTATTTTTAAACTTTTTTTTATAGAAGAAAATAAATTTAATAATTTAAAGAAAATGGCAAATATATAAAGAAATATGGATTAACATAACCAAAACCATCTGTATTTCCATTGATAAATATGAAAATTTTAATTATAAACTGTGGAAACGAAATACAATGTCATATTATTTATTTTTGTTTAACTTAATCTTTTTATTCATAAATCTGTTCGATTTAATTTTTCAGTTTAAAAATATAATAACATAAGATTCAACAAATTCCTCAAATTTTAAAAAGATGTAATTATATAAATTCTTCATTTTTTGAAATTCACATTATTAGCTTTATATATTATTACTATTATTATTATTATAAATTGTATTAAAAATAAGTTTAAACTAACAATATTTATATGTGGATTGAAAATAACCACATAATTAATTTTTTAAAATTTAGATATTTGATAATTTTTTATTAATTTATAACTAAATTAAATTAAATTAAATAAATAAATAACAAAACTAATAATATAATTAAGCTAATGTTAAAAAATTAAGAATATTATTATATATTATTAATTAATTTAAAATTATTATAATAAATTTATCATATATATTAGTTTGTGATTGAGTCCATACATATATTATTAATCCAATTTCTTCTATTTAATATCATACAACTCAATTATTTTTCTAAGTAATCAAATCAAGGTTTACTAATACTTTCCTATATTGAAAAAGTTTAATTTTGTAAAAATAAATAAATAAACGAGATTAATTTTAATATATTGTTATTGTCAATTAATTAAAAATTATTTAATTCTAGTTTCAAATAAAAAATAATTATTCACCATCAGATACTATTTGTAATTAACAATTAAGTACATGTGTAACTAACACACAGAGAAGTAGAACAGATAAATGGAAATGAGTTGAGCATGGCGGTGGCTGGTGGTGGCGGGATTGAAAGAAAGAGATGTTGTTCCAGGTCGGCGGGCAAGGCAGCCGTCCCACCTTCTTCGAGATGGCGGCGGCTCAGCAGCTTCCGGCGAGTCTCCGCGCCGCTCTCACTTACTCCATCGGCGTCTTGGCCTTACGCAGACCCTTCCTTCACAAGCTCCTAGACTTCGAAGACGAATCCTTCGCCTTACTCATGCTCGTCCTCGAATCTCACACCTTACGAACCACAGGTACGCCAAAAACCACACTCTCCATCACGCATAAGACCAATTAATTGTGCTCATTCCTCTTATTTTCTGCTTCTAGATGCTTCTTTTTCGGAATCTCTGTACGGACTCCGAAGAAGACCGGCCAATATCACCGCCAAAAATGACGATACCGCTGCCGCCACCACCGGCGGCAGCTTGCGGAGGCGCCAAAAAATTCTTTCCGTTGTTTTTTTGGTACTATTATTGTTTTCTCTTTCTCTCTCTGTCATTTCTCGAGTAACCCTAATTGCTGCTTCTTAATTTCCTCCATTATGATTGATACCTGTGTTGGAACAGGTTGTGTTGCCGTATATGAAATCTAAGTTGCATTCAATCTACAATAGAGAGAGGGAAGCGAGGCTTCAAGCCACTCTATGGGGAGATGAAAACGAAGGATATGATGATGGCCGAGGAGATTTTTCTCCGGTGTCAACGCCAACCTCTGACGCCGGTACCTTCGTTACAATGCGTATCACTAGGAGAGTTCAGAAAATTGTAGGGTTTTGCTACCCGTGGTTACATGCTAGTACCGAGGGTATGTTAGATACAAGTTGCTGAGAGTTAGCATCTTCTGTATCCTGAATTTTTTTTCTTCTAAATACTTGTGTTTTCCGATAAACACAAATCAACTTGATTTTAAGAATTCGGTTAAATTTTTGCTCAAGGTTATGCATACGTTCTTTCTGTAACGATGAATTATTCTCTAGAGTCTTAATATCCTTCAATGTCTAATGTAGGATACTTGCAATGCAGGTTTGCAATTTGCTTACCAGCTCTTATACTTGTTGGATGCTACTGGATACTACTCGCTAGCACTGCACGCACTTGGGATTCATGTCTGCCGAGCCACCGGGCAAGAGCTGGTAGACAGTTAGGAATTAAGATATTATTACATTTACAAAAAAATTCATTATCTTGTGTTATTTGAAAAGGAAAATATAGTCAGCCATGCATTTTTCATCTGTGACAAAACTTTTACTATTTTATAAGTGACTGTTTTTTAGTGAACTACTATTTTAGTCTCTCTGGAAATTGTGTGGAGCTGCCATAATAATTCCTGAAATTGGGAAATGTAAAATAATCCTTCGATTTGAAACTACTGTACTTTAGCCCCTAACATGTAAAACTTATTATCATGATTATCCTTAAATTTTATAACTTATTAATATTGTTTTAGTCCCTAATGGAACTATAACTTTCTTCACGAACTAAAATATGGTAATTGTTTTTGAGAAAATATATACTATCTATTAAATTTGCATTGTTGAATATATGAGTCTCAAATAAATTATTTAATGTAACAAGATCCTCTCTAATTGCTTGGTTAATACCAGATAATTAATTTGTCATTTCTGTTTATATGATTGATTTTTCTGTTCTCTCCTTTCATGCCAAAATAGATGGATACGTCTTCTAGAATTTCAAAGATGCGTAACCGTGAACGTGACAGACTTCGTGGCCCTCAATGGTTGAAGGTATATGATTTTTGTTTTTCATCTTCCCCTGACTTTCCATGACTTAAGAAGAAACTGGAGAAGTTAGTTATACACTTATACTTTATTGACGTTGTCCATGGTTTTCTATTTTTTCATTTCACATATACACCGACATGTAATATTTTCAAATCTTTTTCTCTTTTTGTTTGGGAGCTTGGTCAAATATTTACTGTTGCATCCAGACAAAGGTAAAATTATGAATCAATGTATAAGGTTTTATAAGTATATTTATGGAAAATAAATTGTTTTTATGGGCTTGTATAAACAATATAGTATGAATAACAGTTTAAGATAATTGTTTCTGCATTTTGTTTCTACAAATTATTTTGCTATCATTCAATTCTGTGGGTTCTGTGAACCTTTTTTTTTTTGGTGAATAACAGTTTAAGAAAAATTGTATCCTACTATCACCATTTTTTTCCTTTCTGAGTTTTCTTTGATAAAATATCATTTCCTTTCTCATAACTCTCATTGATGTTTGACTGATTTCGTCAATTAGTGTATTGAAGAATTTTTAATTCTGGTTTAGATATTTAAGATGAATTCATGTCAATTTGGATATTTATTTAGACAACAAATTGTGAATATGAGTAGATAGAGCAGCCATTGAAAACAATGTTGGACTGTAGTAATTATGCGCACAATTATATAAAGAGAACACCCTCATGGTCTACAGTCTGTAAAAAAAATAAATTTAGATTTTTTTTATTTTTTTTGTTGAGATAGCATCTAACAATTAAAGCCAGGCCCTCTTACACCAGAAGGTAATTTTGCTTACTATTTATTTCTTACATTTAAAGCTCTAAAGTTATTTTATATGAAGTAATTTTAAGTCAGTTTTATTTAAGTTCAACAATAAGAAGCAGAGATTATTGTATTATATTGTGTTACTTTTGTTTATTTCTCCTTTAAAATTATTAAATCTATAATATGAAGATGTTTGTACAAATAAAATCATTATAATGTTGTCCAGACAGTCATTGCAATTGAGCAATTGACAAGTAGAACTTGTATACCTGTGCATTATACCTGTAGCTTTCAAGTATTGCGCCGGCATGGTAAGAAACTTACTGTGTAATCAAACCTTTTATGTTAGGTTATGCAGGATAAAATGATTAACTTTCCTTCTGTATATAATGCATTATAATGCTGACTGTATGAATAAATGTTCTGTCTGTGCCCCATTTTAATCACATAATGTATTCATATCTCAGACATTGCAAGGAGCATTGCTCAGCTGTACGTACGCTGTTCTTGATTATGCACAAACCGGTTTGATTGCAGCAGTGTTCTTCTTTAAGGTGAGATGGCGTGTGTGTGTGTATTTCTTTTTTTCATTTAGTATTAACAATATGCTGAAAGATGTACAAATGATATTTGTAGCTTGGTAGATATTATTGGCGAAGTTTCCAATTCTAGATTTGATTTGTATCCAGTTTGGTATCATTATCAAATATTGCGACTAATTGGGGGTGATCGGCTCAAGTCTCTTGTTCCATTGCCTTCCTGGTTCAGTTTAAATAGGTTTAGCTTTATAAGCATAATTATTAATACATCACCTATGTGAATTTATGTAGATGATGGAATGGTGGTACCAATCTGCTGAGGAGAGAATGTCAGCTCCAACAGTATATCCTCCTCCCCCTCCTCCTCCACCACCAAAGGTGAACAAACAAATATTAAGTGTCAACTACTTCTTTATATTACCCGAGTCTGAAGAATTTTATTTTTCTTGGACAAATAGATTAGAGCTATTTTCAACTGTCATTGTAGTGGTTTCTTTTTCACAATTACTAGATAGACTTGCGTGATTTTGTGTTGCTCCGTCAGTAATTAGAATTTCAAAGTAATTAAAAAAAATGTGCTTGTTCATTTCCTAAAGGAACTGCGACTCTAATATGTATTGTATAATATAAACAGGTAGCGAAAGATGGGATACCCCTACCACCAGACAGGACAATTTGTCCCTTGTGCTCACAGAAGCGTGTAAATCCATCTGTAGTTACAGTTTCGGGGTTTGTCTTCTGCTATGCTTGCATATTTAAGTATATTACTCAGGTGAGAGTTCTATCTGATCGATGGGTAAATTTAAGCTCTTGAAATCCAACTCACTTTTCCTTTACGAGTTACATATAATTACATTTAGGCTGGTAACTCATCTTCAAAAAAGAAAAAAAAAACAATGTTAACTCACCAACTGCACTTTTTCCCCTTTTCATCTTATGCTAATTCTCGTGTTTTCCACATTACAGTATAAGCGCTGCCCAATTACAGTAATGCCTGCAACAGTTGACCAAATAAGGAGACTCTTTCATGATGTCTAGGACCCAATTGGGCGGGGATTTAGAATTACAGTTATCTTTTTTCGTGAATCTTTTTTTTATTATTATTAGAAAATAAGTTATCTTGAGTACATGGGCAATTATTGTTGTATCATTAATTTATGTTTATAACTCGACCCAAAAAATCTTGTGGCATAATTTTTTTATCTTTCTCATTGTTGTACTATATTTACAAATTACCTTACAGTGATCTCGCCGCTGCCAATGAACTGTAGCCAATAAAAAAAAATGCAAATTGAGACAACGTTTTTATCTTTGTAGACCCTAATTACTGAATAGTGAAAGTAAGAATTGAGACAACAATACTTGCGCACAACAGCTGCCAAAGTAAGAATTTCAATTTAGAAATATCTATGCATTAAATGATTAAAGAACTAAAGCAGAAAACCAACCCACTTAAGCAAAAAAAAAAAAAAAGGTTAGTTTTTGCTTGTCGTCAACATTCTTCCAGGGTTGAACCCTTTGGCCCTTTGCTCAAAACATCTGAAACACTAGCATCATATACTGCTTCTAGTCTTGTCTGAAATGCCGTTGAACTCCTCCTTGGTGTTACATCCTGCAATACAAGCAATTCAGATTTGTTCAGCCTTGTCCGTCCACTAACTTGGTATTTCCTTTATATCAAAACTATAATTGATTTAACTTAGTGCTCGCTTATTAAGAAAATACCAATGATTATATTTGTAGATTAAAATATTCCTATTTATTTAATCTAACAATTTTGTACAAATTAAAGCTTTCAATAGATATAAATAATCATAGTTTTGGAACAAAATGTTAAAACAATTGTAGGTTTGGATATATATATATATATATATATATATATATATATATATATATATATATATATATATATATATATATACTTCACTTACCTTTCCAGTTTTGTTGAATTGCAAATCCATGCTCTGTTCAGTGTGACTCCAGTAGCTTCCAACAGTACCTATGATGGGTGTCTCGTCTGGACTCTGGCTTCTAGACTTTCTTGAAGATGCAGATAAAGAATACATCCTGATTTCTTCAACTGTTAATGCTCCTAAAATTGGCCTGTCCTCGTGACTCCACGGTGAACCTCTTCTTCCTTTTGGTGTATGTTCTCCTACAGAACTGGTTCTATCAAGAGAAATAGGTGTGGTTTCCGATTCAACCAACCAGCTCGAGAGGCTGGTGTCTACCCCAATTTCTTGGCTTCGTTTGTTGTCACTGAACTGCCTAGTCTTGCGTTTTGACAGCTTCAAAGTAGGCTGTGGACTAATGGGTATGTTAACATCTACCAAGTTGATGTTTTCTTTATCGATCTCCAGTGGATGTACCTCTGTTGCTTTGACTACCCTCCCTTTGGTAAGATTTTCAATTGGATTTAGCACTGAGTAAACATCTGGTTTCTTTCCTTGTCTTTCTTCTTGTGTGATCTGGGTTGTAGCATGGGCTGACATTAGACTGTTAACTTCATTCTCTGCTTCAGCTGATGAAATCCGTATTCTGGAATCAGCAGACAGAGAAAACAGAGATTCTGAAGACTCTTCTTGAACCCATGTTCGGTTAACATCAGCGCCTTCTTCCCCCCTTTCTCTCTTCTCACTGTGAGGATCTTCATCTTCGAGCGTAGCATCCAAATCACTTACATCTAAACTAACATCATCGTATTCGTCATCCGGGCAGTCTCTGTACCTATACTTTAGCACAGGGTGAGTTGCTTTCCCTTTTTCCCTTTCCTTATCGTCCAACTTCTTGATTTGTCCCTTGTCAGAATATTCTTCCTCCTTCTCCTTAGAAGGTGCCTTTTCTTGGGCAAAATTTTCAGGTAGACTCAGAATGGACGAAACATTTTGAAGTGGTGCACTTGGGGATGACCCTAATGCTTGAGGTACCTCTCTTGTGCATACCAGTTGTATTGGACTATTGACTTCAGGCTCCACAGTTTCAGCATCTGAAACTTTTTTTCTAGAACAAACGGACAGAGAGAACAGTGACTCTGAAGACTCTTCTTGATGCGATTTTTCACTAATCTCATGATCTCCTTCATGGTCATCCTTCTTCTCATCTATCTGCGGTGCTTCCCCTTCCCTTGACTCTTTTTCCCGCTCCTCCTTGGTTTCAACACTGTTATTTGATTGCTCTTCATTTCTTATTCTGAAAGAAAGCGTAAACGACTGGATTAACTACATAGGAAATCAAAACAAATAAGATCACGAATAAGTCATAACACAATGGATAACTTACTTTGATTCTGCTATGCAATCAATGAGTTCTTCAACAGCAGTCTTCTGCCGTGCAAGAGGCTCAACAGCTCCTTCTCCCACATGGGTCTGTGACAAGTTTTGAGAAACTTTAAGCGTTAAGAGAGAGAGAGAGAGGAAGAAAGGGAGACACAGCAAGGTGAGCTTACTTGTGCGAGAGTTGCATCCTTGGAACGCAATTGGTTGCGACGTTTAGAAGTTCGAAAACATGGTGGAAAGCACCTCATGATTAATTAATGAATTTGTGTTGCATAAAGTGACTTTGCTTATAAAGAAGAGAGAAGAGTGAGATTTGTTGAGGAGGTGATGAGAGAAGCAGTGAGAAGAGAAAGGAACAGGAAAAAGGGATTTGAGGAACAGAGAACCGAACGGTCATGAAAAGGGCTTCAGAATCTCCGGGCGGACCTTTTTCAAATTTGACCGTTAAGATTCATTCCCGCATCAGGTTTTCTCGCTTAATTCGCCCCTTTCCTTCACACGTCTACACTTCCACAAAACTTTACTATTTCGATTTTTAATACAATAAATGCTGTTAAATACAATAAAACGTGTGTATATATATAATAAAATATATTAAAGTTATTTTTCAAATTTATTATTAATATTTTATATGAAAAAAATACTCATTTAAAATTTAGATCAATAGTTAAGAATCGGTATGTTATTTCCATGCAATTGAATAATTAAATTAGTATAAACTTGAAAAATTAATAAAAAACTAAAAAAATTAGATTGAATTTTTTCATCAAATCAATTTTGATAAAAAATAAATTAATAATCAAAATTTTTAAGTTTTTTAAATATTATTTTTTTATAAATAATACAATAAATTTTTTTATCTTACATAATTTTATTAATTTTAAATAGTAATTATTATATTATATTTTTATTTTACCTATTAACTGATGTTATTAATAAATCTATTATACATTTATTATAATATAAAAAATATTTTATTAAATTCGATAAAATTTTGATTAAACACCTTCACACAAATTAATTTAATTTTAAAAATATTTATATCAATTATAAATAATATTATTTTTTTGTGTTTTCATTTTATTTTAATTATTATCTAATCTCAATTAAATCTTTAAATGTTAAATTATTTTTTTATTCATTCAGGGATTAATTTTAAAAATATTATAACGAGGTAATTTATAATATTATTATTTACACCCATAATATTTTAAAAATTTTGAATAATTAAATTTGCTATTGAATATTGATATAATTAGTCTTTTTATTTTGAAGAAGAGTGTTTTATCAGCACATTACCTATAAATTAACTGAAATCGTTCGTTAAAATTGAAACCTTAAATTTCAGTTTTTTATCATTAGAGGCAAAAATTAGGAATGACAATGAATAATATATTTTTTTATTTTAAAAAAGCGTTCATTAGCACACTACACCTGCATGAATGTAGTAAATTAATTGAAATCTTTCGTTAAAATTCAAACCTTAAATTTCAGTTTTTTATCATTAAAAATATTAAATGAATATTACCTTATTTATTAAGAATATATTTTTAATAGTATTATGGAAATTTAGAGATTAAGTTTAGATTTAAAAATAGATTTGGAGGACTGGAAATGAGTGAATTTGAGAGAAAAAAAGAAGATAAAAATAAGTTTGTTTTGATTTAAGAAAAATGAATTAAAAATAAAAAGAAATAAAAAATAATGTTATTGATTTGATTGATTAAAAAAATATTTTAATTGATAAAATTGTAATCTTGTGTTAAGAAAAGTTATTTAAAATAAAATATAATTAGTGTAAATTATATTAAAATAGATTATAAGTTATTATTTAAAATAAAAAAGTTTCAATATATACAATTATATGAAAAAATATAATTGAAGAAAATTAATTTTAAATAAATTTTGGGAGATTATTTTAAATAGCGTGTTAAGAAAATTAAAATATTTTTTTACAATTAAAAATAGAAAAATTAGGTGAATAGTCCTTAGAAAATATATTTTTAATCTCTAGTATAAATAAATAATTAAAAACTAAGTTTTAAATTTATGATTTATTTTAATATATTTTTGCATATTACTATTAAAACATAATTTGTTTTCTATATATGAATTAAATTACATTTTTTGAAAAAAATAAAATAAATAACATTTTAATAATGATAGGTACAAATTTAGTTAAAATTAAAAATAATTATAAAATATTGAAATTATTTTTAAAAGTTTGTTTTAATTTATTTAAATTTTAAAGTGATATTAATCATTTAATCATACAAAATTTATAAAAGGAAGTATAATAAAAATTTTATATTAAAAAAAAATAATGTGCGGAGAGTAATTCCTTCGTTCACAACTTATAAATAAATAAAAAATCAATCAACATGATGTGATTTCTCCGCTGATGCTTCGGTCTCTATTTTCTTAAATCCTCGTGCATCACATTTTTTGAATTCAAAGGAACAGGTTATGTTCTATCGAAAATCGATTCTTATCGTGAATCGGTTTTTTCAACCATTATTTATCTTATGAAGTCATAACTTAAGAAACAATTAACTTGTAGACTAACTAATCATCATCTATCTTAAAAACAACTATTTGTATATTTATCCGTCACGTGTTACTTTTTTTCCATCAAAATAAAATAGAAAATAGAAAACACCAAAAATCAATAATTGGTGACTGCAACCTTCTGTTAGTAATATCTTTTTATATCATCGGGATTTAAATGTGGTTTAAGATAGTTTTTCTTTCTGCTCTTTTTCTCATCTAAACAGGTAAAGGAAAAAAAATAAAAAATCTTCTTATTCTCCCTCCTTTGGTTTTTGTTTTTCTCTCTGCATCCAAATGAAGCTTGAAAATTGATGTTAATAAAATCTTACAAAATTATTAATATATATAATGTATATAATCTTTTCTCTTTTTAATTGTAGGAAACAATACCTGCATCTTTTAGGATAATGATCAAATATTATTCAATGCGTATACTGCAAAAGTACGAGGAAAGAAGAACAAAAAAGTTAAGAGAAGAGAAAATATAATAAAATGTGATTTATATTTTTCTTGTTGAACAGAAAAAAAAGTTGGTTTAATACAAATGACAAAATATTTGTGTATGTTATACTTCTAAAATAGCTCCATTTTACTTTATTTAACAAAATAATAAGATTAGAAAATGAGTATAAATGAATGCAGGATATAAATGAAAAAATTAAAATAAATAAAATGGAGAGTAAAATTATTTGAATTAGAAGAAAGAGAGTGAAAATGGGTAATAAATGAAATAAATTTATTTGTGAGTAATAAATTTTTTAACTATTTTAACTTTATTTATAAATTATTATTATGATGATAAAAGAAAATAAAATTATTAAAAATTTATGACATAATCAATGTCTAATTTATTCAGTTTTTTTATTTATTTATAATTTCAAACCTTTTTTTTTTTTGTGAAGAACGTTATATATGTTGAATGTGAAGTTTTTTACGTGTCAAGAGTGAAACAAGCGTGTAGGTCTAAACAAAGTATAAGAAAGTTAAATTTTTTGACCATAGTTTGTAAACAAATGCTATTGTTTAATAACATGTTTGTAGTATATTTTAAATAGATGACATGATTAATCCTTTGAATTAATCTTGTAATTAAATGTGGGAAGAGCTTATTAGGAGAATGTTTAGACTATGACTATACTTCTTGTAAGAGATTTGAATGGAGTACGAGATCGTTTGTATGTTAAAAATAATATGTTAAGCTGAAGAGAAGAGAAGAGAAGAGAAGAGAGGGCACCATCATAGACATATGTACTAGAAAATCTCTCCTTAGACACCTGCCAGGCATCAAAAGCTCCCTCTTCTCGTGTTGTACATCACTCCAAACATGACATGGTGGACACAACCAATCAAATTTTGCCAACATATTAAGCTTTTAATAAAACTTAAAAGTAAAATTAAAAAATTGATGCAAATATTTTGGATAGTTCATCAAAAGAAAGTTTCCATTTTTCATCTGCATCGATACAAGTATTTCAATAGTTCATTAGTTCCATCAAAGATATTTGACATGGACATAAAGCCTAAGATAATCAGAAAAAAGAAAAGAAAAGATAAAGATCTAATTGGATTAATGATAAAAAAAAGGATTTAAAAGGTTCAAAAAATTTTACTTGACTCTTTTATAAAAGATTAACTGTCAAAGATTTAAGTCACCGATAAGAATAAACTAGTTATATATAACTTGAAAAGTTAAAATAAAATTAATCTATTCTTAGTTTGATGAAATTGAGATTTAAATCCAAAATTATATTACTTTAATCAATATTTGATTAATTTTAATTCTTTTAATTTTATTTTTATTATAAACAAAATTAAATCCAATAAATCTCTAAATCCTATATTTTTATATTTATAATTATTAAATTAAGAAAAAAAGACAATAAATAATTTTTACTAAAACAAAAATATTTTTCTATGATTCTTTTTTAATCTTATCAAAATAATTATTTTTCAACTTTTGTGACAATAACCCTTAAACTTATCAAATGATATATTCTTTTATTTCAAACCTTAAATTTTTACACCAGCTATGTTGTGTGGTTCTTCCTCTCTTTCTTTGGGTGGTATGCTATCTCATTATTAATTGGTTATTATTATCTTGTAAACAATCTGCTTCTGTTCTTTAAATGGTATTAAAACATCTAAAATCTTGAAAAAGAAACTAGAAATAACCACTCACGAAAATGTAAAATCGATAATCATCGACATAGGCGTAGATACAAATAGTAGAGTATCTAAGGACAGGACAACTAGAATGTAGCCAAGCGACATCCAGGGAGCAATAGACTCTTGCTCTTCAATTCCTCTTCAGTGGCAATACAACAATTTATAGAAGATAAAGCTTTCTTTGCAAAACGAGGAAAAAAATTAAAGGCACCTTTTTCTTGACTAATACCAATTGGCTCCCAAGAAATTTCTAGTAAATTCTTGGAGAAACCCTCCCACATAGAACTATAATGTCAGCTGTGGCTTTGTGCGCAAAGAAAGACTCTTTTTCTCTGGCAACAATTATCAATGCCGAAAGCAATTTAACCCAGAGATAACATACCACGATACTCATTATTCTTCTTCTACGTCCTCCGTCCTCTGATGCACTCCATCTCCACCTTTTGCCGCTGTCTGCTGCTTCTTGTGTTTCTTACTTTTGGCTTTCTTCGCCTTCATTCTGCGTTTCTTCTCATTGGCGTCCACCCATTTGTAGTCCCCAGGTATGTTGAAAGGATCAACTTCATCCTTATATCTGTGACTATCAGAGTCACTGGACTGCCCCCCACGACTTCCTTTCATCCATGAAATCCACGAACTAGAGCCCTCTGATTCCTTCGATTTGGCATCATAGAAATGTGCTGGGCTGGAGAGTGGAGTTGAAAACTCCTCTACTGGCTGAAGCTCCTCAAATTTCGTAAAAGTGACGAGGACCCGGATGGTAGGAACTATTGGAATAGCAACCTGAGTACCAGAAGCTTATTAACATTAAAACCAGATACTTTTATAAGGAACAAGCATGGATGCTGAAATATGTTCTGACACAGACAGTAAGAGATTGGTAGAAATCAGGCATAAATGGAACCAACGTTCAAACAAAATTTGATTTCTTTTCAGTATTTACATTGAAGTATAACTAATCCGCGATGAGGAAATTCTAAGTGTGATAATCATCTAATTTTGTCTCCCAATTGCCAAAACTGAGGAGGAGAAACATGAAATCAGGAAAAAGTCCTCAAGTTAGTCTTATCCAGACAATAGCAGCAAATTTTGGCTTTGCACAGGATACAGTCTTGTATCATTTAGGTTGGCATAGTTTGAAGTAACAATTAACAGTATAGGTGTATTCACAACAAGACACCTACAATCTAAATCTAATCATGCACAAATATCAAAGAAACAACAGAAAAGATAAACCCATGTCGGTCAGACTCTCATCGAAGTTGGGAAAAGAGCAACTTGCCAGCTTCAGGAAAAATTCAAATGTTCGTTAGGTATGTAAATATATATGCCAATGTTGTCAAAATAATGAAAAAGATTGTGAAAAATCGGACAATCCTATGTGTTTTGGAGAGCGCAGAACTATGATCCGAGCAAAATCACAAATCTTGCTCGTAAGATTGTGAGATAATAAATTTTTTGCAAGCTAATGCAGCTAGGTTTTGAAGGTTGAGTTTCTCAACCCAGTTTGAAAAAAAAAAAAATGCCCACTGGTTGTCTGGTCTCTCTCTTTTGGTGCTTTCAGTGCTTGTTATGAACTTCCAATTAAAGTTTACCGGTTTAGTTAACTATGCTGACTTTTTATTACATTTTTTATGCATACATATATAAGTAAGTATTATTTTCAATTTTCAGCACGATAAGCAACTTTAGCTGACTAACTGCCCACAAAAACCAGCTACAGGAAATATGAGCATGATGTACTGCAAGAGTGCGAACAGTGCATAAAATATAAAGAACTAGTGGTTATGGTATTTATTACCTTGACAGGAAAAGTTCCAAGAGGAAGCTTAGTCGTCAAAAGTTCTCTGAGTCTTCTGATAGCCTTAACCTTATTTGCTAAGATGTCCAGTAGAGGCAGAAGCTCATCAGTTTTCAGAGGAAAATCTGGCGTCAACCACAACACGGGTCTTAAACCCTTTTTATACTCACTCTCGTTTTTTGACTCACTGTTTGTTCCTTTCTTCTTCTTCTTTTTATTGTTTTTATCTTTTCCCTTCTTAGTGTCTCCACTATCCTCCTTCAGAGACTCAGATGCCAACTTTTGCTGATCGACAGATCTCTGATTGCTACCTTCTGAGCCAAACTTGGAATTTTTCTTCACACTTTTGGAATCCTCAGTGTCATCGTTGCTGCCCTTCAAATTTTTCTTGTTCCAACCAAACCAGCTCTTCTTTTCTTTAACCATGCCATTGGCTTCAGAATTATCACAGTTAGCTGCAGAACCATTTTCTTGACCATCAAAGGGTCCATTTTCCTCATCCTCGTATGTACCATCAGAGTTCCCCATATGTAGTGCAGAATCTAATTGCATTCTTTCCTCAGCAGTCAATACATCATCATATTCATCATTGTTTTCCCCATTTATCATGCTTTCTCCATCCTCCACAGCAAAAAGCTCTTCATCCGTCATAGCACCTGGAACCCGCCTTGACTTCACACTAACCATCACATGAAGCATGTCATAAACTTTTGCCTTCCAACTCCCAACCATCTCAGTCTTCTCCTGCCGTCTCCAATTTAAATGGGGAACAAGCTCAGCCTGGGTAACGTCAATACCTGGTCTATACATATTCGTCTGAGACATCAAGGAAACCTCGTGAGCAACTTCAGACTCAGATGGTTGTGTACCAGCTCCTTCCAAAGCATTTGTGATTTCCTTCTCCTTATGAGAAAGTGCAATAAGAGAACCAGGTGGCAGAGTTAAGTTACCCTCCTCTGCAATATAGCCCTCACCAAGGAACAAAAATGTCTGGTCAGATCGTTGGATGCGTAAGCCATCAAAACCAGCAAGGGTCATGTCAGCACGGAGATTAGACCCACGCTTCCAAATCCTATAAGTGTCAGAAGGAGCTATTCGCCCAATAAAAGGAATGACAGAGCTCTCAAAATGAAAACTTATCTCCATATAAAAATCACGAATTCGGGACGCTGAAGCAACAATGCGGGGAAGCCTACGACACCATTTAGCCCAAGCCAAAGGTTGATAGTGCCGCGCAATAATCATGGCAATAGCTTCCTCTCTAGTGCACACTGCTTCTTGGAGAGCACTCCAACCATGCTCATTCTGTAGACTCCAATCCGCACCAGCAGCCATCAGAATCTCAGCAGACACTGGATCACGAAGTCGCACTGCAAGGTGAAGAGGAGTCTCCCTACCAGCAACATCACGGCGATCAATAACAGAAGAAACCTCGTCCGAATGAAGTTCAGCAGCAAGAGATTCAGCTTCCGTGTTGACCTCCCCAGCCTTAGCAAGCCGAGGAAGGGCGGAAACAATGCGCCTCAGGGCAGCATGGTCGCGCCTGGCAACAGCCAAGTGAGCAGGACTGTGTGCATATTTACTTAAATCTTCCATCGATTTCTCTCCCACCTCTCTCTTGTCCCTTCTCCCCGCTCCTACGCTACTATCATGAATGATTCCATTGCCTTCCATAATCCGTACACCTTGAGTTACGAAGCAGAAACAGCAAAGACTTCACGCATGCCTTGGCCGTGTCTTACACACTCCACGGTTCCAATGACAAGGGCAGACAACAAAAATGGGTAATCCGAGTTCAGTTGTTGCCCAATTTTAACCCTCCTTTCCCCTGCCACAATGAACCAACCTCCACTATCAAATTACAACAGATTACTTCACTTGCATTAACGATATACAAACAATAACGAAAAAAGCAAGATTTCGGGAACTGTTTTTGCTCCAAAATCCGGTTTTGGTCCCGAGCCCAAGTAAGTAGCCAGCCGATCCAATCAAATCTGCAAACAAAACAAGTCTGAGCCTAAACCACGGAACAAAGATACAAGCACGGAGCGCCAAGAATTACAATTAAACCCACTGAGCGTTTGTCCATTGAACAAAACGTCTCGAATTGTAACCTCTTCCAGAAAAAAAAAATTATAATGTTGTAAAACAAACTAAAATCAGAAGTAGAGCAACAGAGGGATAAAAAAAACTAGTTATGAAGGAAAAAAATAAAATAAGATTGACGTGTTGGGAGGAATTAAGAAATAGAAGAAACAAGAATCCAAGACCTGGGGAGGGCGAGAAAGCGCGGCGAAATTGAGTTGCGAGTGCGATCCCAGGAGTTGAGAGAGGATGTGTTGGGTGTTGCAGGAGCAGGTTGTGATGGTTAGGGTTCTTCAGCGAAGTTCAAACAAATTGTCGCGAATTGAAATTGAAATTGGGAGGATTGGGAAGAGAAAGAGAGAGGGGGGAGATCGGACGGTTCGAACGAAACGGGCGATATTAGATCGAAGGGTGAGGATGGATTGGCGAGGGAGGGACCATTAATGCTGACAAATGACAACTCGAGACTGACTCAAAAGAAAAGAGGACGGAATCGGTCACGACTCGGTCCTCCGCTCTGACTCGGAGGTCCCTCCCCAACATCCCGCGCTCTACTGTTTAGCCTGTGTTTGTGTGTTTCCATCTACCCTTTACTTTTATCCACTCATTTTATAAATTCTACTATAAAACTATTTTTGTTATAAATTGTTTAAAGTTTATTATATAATTAAATATTAAATTATTTGAAGACAAAATCATTCACCCCCACCAACAACCCTTCATCATCGCCCATCATTTTAATCTATGCGTACCGCCAAATACTTGTTCCACAAAATTTCACCTCACAATGCCTACCATTTCAATCATCGAATCTTGATATAACTTCATTTTTAATTTTTTCTTCTTGCATTTATCACAATTATATTGTGTGTAATTTGTGAAATTAAGGAATAGAATTAACTTTATTTCAAGTATTAATGATTTTTGTTTTATATAACTTACATTCTAACTTTTTTTAAATGTTCATGAATTGTCTTTGATGTTAAGGTGTTATGAGTCGTATTTAAATTAACACATTGTAAGGTATTATTGAGTCATGATATATAAATAATAATTATTTATTATATATCCATTTAATGATTTTTTTTAGATTTTTATATTATTCTTTATACATCTTACTTCGTACTTTTTTTATCAATCAATAAAAAAACATTATTTTATATTTTTTTATTAAATATTTAGAAAATTTTGGATGTGAATTAATCTTTTCTTCAAGTTTAATTTCATGAATTAATCCCGAATTGCAAACTAAACTACATCTAATTATTCTAATCTTCGGTTGCTAACAATTAATTTCAGATGAAGCTTAAAAAAAAAAATTAAATGAAATAAATGCATAATTATACCCATTAAATTAAACCTTTATTTCATACTATTGTTTTAGTGAAATATTTATTGAATTGACAACAAAATATTTCTAACCAATATTTCACTTTTCACTCCGACAAACATACCATATTTTAAAAATAAATTTGGAACACATATATTAGGTGTCAATCATTGAATTGGATTGTTTTTATATAAAGTATATTGAATTTGGTTCCGTACAAATAATAAATTGATTGTGATGTTATTTTATTTTTATTAATCATCTTCAAAATTTTAAATTTATAGCATTTATTATATAACAAAAGTATTTTTAATATTAATTCGTATATAATAATAATATATAATTAATTTACCTAATTATTTAACATTAAGCATATTTAATTTATTATGTAAAATATATATATTGATAGGAATTTTATATATAGAATCATATTATTAAGATATTTTAATTTTTTTTCTTTCATATTACTTTAAGTATTGAAATATATTGGGTGGACTTTCCAGAGTAGAGTTAAATCCAATAAATTTTAGTGTCCAAAATATGTAAAAAAAAAATTGATTCACATAGATGAAAGGTTTTGATTTTTTTAAATTATCCTGACAATTTTTCTAAAAAAAATAATAATATTTTTTGTCAAAAAACAAATATATATTTTAATTTATATTTTTAAGTTAATTTCAAATAAATAATAATTATTTATATCTTAAATCATTTTAAATCTCAACCAAATTAAAAAGAAAATAATCTAATCTCTCGTTTTATGATATGATGACATAAATAACATATAAATGTCAAGTTAAAAAATATATATAATAATTCAATGCGAGAGATATGTGTGTTAGTTACAAATTATATATATACATGGATAGTTGATAATTTAACCTATGATATTTGATAAAAAAATATTCAAATTAAATTATTTATACAAAAATACATTGCTGATAAAATTCAAATTATTAGAAAAAAAATTATTTGAATATTGTTTGGTTATATTTTAATTGTTGTTTTTTAACTTTAATATTTTATCTACTTATCATCTAAAATTATTTTATTATATTATATGTGATAGTTTTTTTTGGCATAACTATTATATTTTTAAAGATATTTATACAAAACAATTCGTTAAATATTATGAACGAAAACTTATACTATAGAGTAATTGATGAAACACGCTGAGTTTAACATATTATAAGAAAATAATATGAAAATTGTTTTTGATATCATGTCTCCCATGAGTATTTAAAAAATATAAATATTTATGAATTTATTTTTAGTTTTCAGTTATGTTTAATAAAAATAATAAATAATATAAAAATATGTTTTGATATCATGTCGCATAAAAAATATAAATATTTCTTAATTTATTTATAGTTTTCAGTAATGCTTATGAACTTGTAGAAAGTTATAATTTTCTTTTATAAAAATTCTTTAAAAACATATTTGCAAATTATTCACTATTAAAGGAATAAAATTTCTTTTTTTATTTAATTACTCATACAGATTTGATAATTTAAAAATAAGATGTATAATATTACAACTCATATTATTATGTTGTGTCATCATGTTATATAAAACATTATATCATAATTTTTTTTTAAATAATCATACAAATGTTTAAGTTTGAGATACATTTTAAAATATTCACACAATAATGTTATTATTGTGTATCATATACAATAAGAGACACAAGTATAAAATATTTCTACTCCAATTTTCTCAACATACATATTTCTCACTATTATTATACTAAAAAAAATTGAATTTAAATGGTAATATAAGGTGCATGAATGTATATGATTATTTATTTTAATATTAATATAATTTCAATATTACCTTGTATAATCACATATGATATACATATTTTTTACAGACTAAAAAAAATAGACAAAAGACATCCACCAAATACAAAGAAAATAAAAGTTTATCCCAAATTTGAATGGTGCATGTAATGAACTATTTACAAAATGGGACATATACGTTAGAAGAGCTATAAAAAAAATGATATTCATATATAGAAGTGTGACAATAACCATATCAGAAAAATAAATTCATAAATTATCAAAAAGTTATCCTATCACAAAATTAACATGAAAAGGTGTAGTCATTATAGTTCATTAAAACATTTATTGTTATACTTAGTCTCGGATTAAACATGATAAAACTCACCAATTATCATTTTAGCTCCGAGCTAAATATGACAAAAGTAATGAACTCGTCAAATATTATTTTAATCCCTATTGAATTAGATTTTATCTGAGATATATTCATCTAAGATATACAATAATCTAATCATGTTATTATGTCATAATTTGAGCATGTCATTACGTTATAACAATTATTCAAGAATATGTCATTATATCATAACAATTTTATGTCTCCAAAACACAAATATATAATCATAAAGTTTAATGTTATTATCACAAAATCATATATCTACTTGAATTTTACTGTCTTAGTATACTTCTAAAATATGTTATAATTCAAACAATTTCGTTAACTTTAAATTGGGCACATTATGGACATAACTCTAAATTGAGCATATCTTAATAGTACAATCGAGTACACATAAATTATTATTTTAACTTAAACTCACATTAACTTTAATGATATTTTATAAACTATTAATATGAATTGCATGTTAAATCAACTTGGTCACATCTCGCAATAAAGATAAAAATAGTTTACTTACTTAGACAAGTATTATAAAAAATTATAGATGATACTTATTTAGTTGATTTGAGCTTAAGTGGCTTATGTATAAAAATAATTTTTCTCTTATTTCTCTATTAGTAGGGTAATTCTTATGGATAAAGATAATGATATTTTTCATGTTCTTTCTCATCGGAGTTACGGTTCAAGTAGGATATTTTTAGTATGTTTTGTGGTTGTAGCTAAGCATGATCTTCCACACTAGAAAAGATTAATTCCTTGTTATTAGAGAATCATATTTAGTTACTGAAGTTGCAATGTTATTTGAAAGAAGTCTCAAATGTGATATAGAGAAATTTGATTGAAGGATCAATTTTGGTTTGTGACAAATTCAAGTCGACGATGTGTTGATACAATCTGAATTACAGAAGACGTTGAAAGGAAGAACTTTTGACAGTTAAGTATCTTTATATCATAACCGCATTGTCATGAAAAATAATGAGTTTTTGCTAGCAAAAATTGTCAAAGGCGTTGACAAATATTGATGTAGGGTGTGTGGAAGGGTATTAGTTAACATTAATGTAGGTGTACACTGAAAATAAATTATTGAAATTGTTTAATTTTAAGTAAATATACTCTTTATGGTGGAGTGTGAATGATTGCCCGTGTAGGCAATTGAGATAAAAAGAAATATGTATTTATTTTAATCATGATAAAAATTATTGGATTTACGAAAATAATACATTTTAAAAAGTCTTACATCACATTGGATAAACAATGGAATGAGTGATAATAATTATATAATAGACTCAAAGTCCATAATGTTTTTACGTTTTTGTCAAAAACACCTTTGTATTCGACTTTCTTTTATACTCTTGTAACAAAGTGTTGAGATATTTTGTTTAAATTGTTATTTTAGAGAATGTGAGTGTATTTGGGTCAAATGTGAGTAGTTATGTGTTGTAAATTTTTTTACATAATTATCATTATATAATGTTTTTAAACTATAAAATATGTTATAGTTTTATGTTGATTATTTTTCTCTTATTTTTCTATTGGTAAAATAATTATTAAAAATAAAGACGATATTTTTTTCATAATTTTTATTCTTATCCATTTTCATTATAAAAATTTAGATTATTAATTATTATTTGACAAATAAGTAATAATATTTGTACATCCACATTTAATGAAATTTTATGCTAAAATTTATTTTCTCAAATTTGCTTATCTTTTTCACTAGTCTTTTTTTTTTTTGTTATCGATAGAATTTTGCTATTTATATTAATAGATCGTCTGCTAAGTATTAGAACGATTGAATAAGATCAATACATTTTTTAATTTTTAAATTGTAGATTTGTTTTTTTTTTATGTTATTGTTTTTATTATGTATTGACATTTTTAAGTCATGAGTTATATATTAAATAACTATTAATTGTTTATATTAGAATTTGTAGAAGGACAAAAGTTAATAAAGTGAGATGCAACCGATTCCTTTCTTTAAATTTGCTTTTTTTTTTCAATCTTTTATATTTGAGAGTCAAACTCAAATTACATGAAAAATTGTATAATTTTTATTATATATATATATATATATATATATATATATATATATATATATATATATAACAAAATGAAAAAAAAATTGAGAATTTTTTATTTAAATAAATAATATAAATTGCTTATTATTAGGAGATACATTAATATTATTTTTTTCACCTTGAACTTTTGGTATGACTTTCAATGAAGCCAGTTCATGAAAGATAAATAACTATTCAAAATTATTTTCCGTTTAGGATTTAATTTTTATTTTATTTTTATATTCTAAAGTAAGTCTGTCTAATTACGCAGTAAAGATAAATGTACTCTATGTTTTTTATAAGCACGATAGGTAACCATGTTTGTGGAGATTGAACCTTACTTTTTTTAGAGGGAAATGATAACTGTTATATTGTGTATAATGATTATGTAAAAACAAGAAAAAAAATAAATAAATGGGTAACAAAAAAGATTGTTAGTGAGAACTATTATACATCAAAATTATATTTATTATTGTGAAGATCTTTCTTTATGTGAATAATGTTTGAAACGTGATGAGTTATAAAAATTTAAGAATCATAACTCATCTCACCTCTTAAAGAAACTTCGCTGCTAAATAAAATGATTATATAAATTATAACAAAATTTAAATTATATTTCTTCTTAAACATGATATTATATAATTTTCTTTCCCAATATGTTAAACTTACACTAAATTAATTATTTTGTCCTTAATATTTAACGCACTCAACCACTCGTATTCACATGTTTGCTTATAACTACAACCAAATCATCATTATCAATCACATAGTTTAATTTCCTATAATTTCAAACAATGTAACAAAATCATATTTCCAAAGTAAAAAAATTCTTAAAGTATTACAAATTAAAAACTAGTTTTACTTATCTAAAATTAACTTTTCCAAATTTCTCTAAATACACATTATTTCCAATCTTGCTTAAGGAATACTCAGTTCAGTAAATTAAATACAATTGTAAATTAATCAAAATTTATCTTTTTTTCTCACAATTAGTCGCATGCATGCATATATAGGACATATGCAATGTCTACCAAACTCACATATAACCTACCATTTTAATAGGGATAAGGAAAAACTTGTTCTAATGAAAATTGCATCCAGATTTAAGAAACAAAAAAAAGTAATAAATGAGTTTTTCTTTAAAAAATAAAAGAATTTAAAGTTTAGAAAATAGTAATTATATTATATGTTATTATTATTATTATTATTATTATTATTATTATTATATATCTCACGATTTATTGTGAATAACATTAATAATATAAAAAATGTTATTTTTTAATGTATTATTTATGTTTTGGATGTTTGGTAGATATTTTTTAGTTAGAGTTATATATATAACAATTTATTAAATAATTTGTTATCTTATAACTAAAATTTTTGACAAATAAATCTATCGATGTTTTCAAAATTACTTTTATAAAAAATTACATACTTTCTGACCGTACGTAGAATTTTGATATAATTATATATTTTTTACGGATTGTAATAGGTTAATAATTTATATTTTGGACACGTTTTTCTTGATTATGAAAAAAATTATATTATTATTTTAATAAATTTTGATTTGTGAAATTTTTTTTATTTATGCATTGTTTTCAATTAATATCTTTGTTGAAATTTGGCTATATATTTCAATCAGTATATCTTTTTAATAACAACCCCCAATTTTATCTTTAGAAAATAAAATTTACTTTTAAATCTTTGAAAACTAACATAAAAATTGGGTTCCGATGAGAATTTGTTTTAATTTTAACAAAAATAAAATATTTTAAATCTGGATTATTTTTATAGGAAAAAAGGTAAGAGATGAGAGAGAAATAATAGAGATAGAAGAAGATAAGAAGATAGTAAAAAAAATTATATAAGAAATAAAAAATTTTAAATCTTATTTTTTGTTTAAATTTAAAATTTAACAATTTCAAACCAAACCATAGAGTACTTTTATAAATTTATAAATTCTAATTTCTCATAATTTTCTTATCAAAACAGTATATTTTACATATCAAATTCTTTAAAAGAATAATAATGATCTTTTTATAAGAAATATGTACATTTAATACCATTAACAAAATTAAAACTGTGTCTAGTAACGTACCAAATTCAACATTGTCTTATGCAATATTTTTTAACATTAATTTAATCTTAGTTTTAGTCTTTCAATTAAATTGAGATATTTTATGATATTATATTCTTATATTTTTTTTTATTAAATATGTTGAATATGTTTTTGCTTCGGATTACGATCCCACAACTTTGGGTGCCCAAGTTTTGAAATTTAGAAAATATGACTTCTTAATAATATTATTATTTTCCATGGCACTACCAATCATGTTGTAGAGATAGACATTAAAAAATTAAAATAATTTTCTGTCTATTAATGATTAAAGAACGTTTTTTTTTAATTTACTAACTGTTTTAAAGTTTTATGAAAAAAAATAATAACTGAACATTACTTCTTCATCAAACTATAACCAACATAATAAATAAAAGAAAGGAAAACATATTATATTTTCCAACTTGTACAAATTTTAAATTATCTGAATACCTGATTTTTTTTAATATTTTGTTTATTTATTTATTTTTTCTCTATTTCTTATATAATATTTTTAAAAGATTTTGATACAATTTAGAATCCGTATTCACTTCGATAATAGATGAAATGAGTTTTATAAATAAAAAATAAAATCAGAATGAAATTAGAGTTTTTGTTTTTTTCAAGGTTTTTGTCGCCGCGGTAGAAACCAATAGGCGAGTTTTATTTGTGCATCGACTGAAGAACAACACTAATTCGGCCAAATCCAATGGAATACATGCATTGGTCCTTGGAGACTGCAGCGATAAGTAGTTGACCTAATCTTTTGGTGTCAATTTTTTTTCTTTCCCTATCAATAATTAATTATCTTCTTTTATCAAAAAGATTTTTTTTCATCCATTAAGCCACAGTTAAATAATGCAGAGAATCAGAAAGTGTAACCACCATTAGTCAGCTATTGTGATACATTCTTTGGTTCTCTGCACCCGACAATCACAATGGAGAAGGACATAGAAAAGGCTACAATAGGTTTTCTAGAAAAAGAAGAAGAACAGGCCGAAGAGTGGTGTTTTGAATGCAAGGATGGTGGAGAAATGATAATTTGTGATCATCCGTGAGTTTTCAAAATTTTGTTTTATTTTCACCAATGCAGGTTATTTTCTTTCGGATTAATTAATCATAGTTTATTTTTTTATTTTTTTCAGAAACTGTGGAAAAGTTTATCACCCTGCTTGTGTTGGGAAGGATGCTGCTTTTTTTGACAGTGTAAAATCATGGTTTTGTGGTAAGCTTGTTGGATTTATTGTTAATGTATTACTTGCCTTCTGCATGTAATATATGTACTACTCTCCCATATCTGAGGTTGATCCAGTGATAAAAATATAAAAAAGTAACATGTTTTGCGTGTATTGGAACCTATGTTTGTGATCTAGCCTATGGGGAGGGGATAAATTCTATTATACCACATTCTTCGTTTTTCAGTGGATATTTTGAAACCTTGTAGTGTGATATCCTCTTTTGGGAAATGACAAGTGTAAAGGTTTATGCAAATAAAGTCTAAATTATATGATTTGGTTTTCTTTACATTTTCAGGTAGACATGTTTGCTTCAAATGTAATGAACCTTCAAAGTTTCATTGTCTTGGCTGCCCAAATAGTGTGTGCAGAAAATGCTTTGCTTTTTCAGAAGAATTTACTGTTGTTAGAGGGGTAAAAGGCTTATGCATAGAATGTTGGAAGCTAATGGAGATTATAGAACAAAATTTAGACCATGACGAGGATGGGGTAAGTGTGATAATGAAAATTTGAAGTTTTTAACAAATTCTGTTTCCAATCGTCATGATTGAGGGAGTGCACGAAATTTGTTTCCTTATTACCCTTGCTGCTCTTATTATAACAAAATTTGGTCTCCATTTTTTTTTGTTGGAACAGCAATACTGATTTCATGAGATTTGTACTACTAGTTGGGTTCATATTATACACTTTTCTTTTTATGTTCTTATTTTATAGAGAGACGATTTATACATTGGCCTTGAAAACTTGTTTGCTCGTTGCAGAACAAAATATCCTTGACTGACAGAGAAACATATGAATGTCTATTCAAGGAATATTGGGAAATTATTAAGGTAAAAGAAAGATTGGCTAGTGAGGACGTTTTTGCTGCTCAGCCCGACTTCAAAAAGTGTAAACATTTTCTGCAACATAAAAAAAATAGGAAGGGTGAAGGAGAGGAAGTACAAGATGAGTTAAAAGAAGGATTGAATAGTAATGATATTTTTGCTGCAGGGCCGGACTGCAAAAAGTTTAAACGTGTTCTACATCATACAAAAATCAGTAAAGGTGAAGAAGAAGAAAAAGTGCACAACGAGGTGAAAGAAGGACTGATTAATGATGATATTTTTGCTGCAGGGACCCAATACAAAAAGTTTAGAAGTTTTCTGCATCATAAAAAGGTTAGTGAAGTAGAAGAAGAAGAAGAAAATGATTTGATCTCATGGGCTAGTGATGAAGATAGTAAGCCAGCTCACCAGCCAGCCAAGCGGAAAAAGAGAAATTCAGAGGAGTTTGTGGGGTGGGGATCAAAACCTCTCATTAGTTTCCTTTCATCCATTGGGAAATATGAAACTGAACCATTAACGAAATGGGCTGTGAATTCTGTCATACATGAATACATTAAGGAGAAAAATCTTGATCATCATAGATACAAGGGGAAGTTCTTCCCTGATGATAGGTTGTTTCCTATATTTAGGAAGAAAGTTGTCTCAAAAAAGGATATATATTCTCTACTTGAGTTTCACTTTGCTAAAAATATGGACGATTCATCTGAGGATAAAAGTGATGTTAAAATCAGAAAAAGTTCTGAAGACAAGCATCACAATGAAAAGAAAGCATGCACTGAAAGCAGATTGTCAAGCTTAATTGGAAAACCTCCATTAAGAAAGGGGGACTTTTTGATCAAGTATAGCCGGTTTGCATCCATTACTGTGCATAATATAAACCTCATTTATCTAAAACGAAGTTTGGTGCTAGAGTTATCAAAACGGTCTGAAAGTTTTTTGAGTAAGATTGTCGGAACTTTCGTCCGAGCCAGAGTGTATTCCAATGATTCTAGGCAAAAGTCTTACCATCTCGTGAGAGTTTTGGGTAATAAATTGCGTACAGATCTGATACTGTGTGCTCACCACTTCCATTCTTTACTTTTGTTAAGTTACTTTATATTTCTTAATGCAGCTCTAGCCTTGTATATTTTAATTCTTAAATGATTGACCAACTTCTAGGTGTTGAATTTGATGAAATGTCAAATAGAACTCTCTTGCAAGTTTCCTTAATGGCTAAGGCCATTCCCATTTCAGAACTCTCTGATGAAGAGTTCACAGAGGTAAACTGACTTGCACTGAGCCTGTTATTATTTTCATGAAATCAATTGTAAACATTTACTAGGAAAGATATCTTTCCAAGTGATTCCAAAACATAGTGCATTGTAAATTATTTTACTGTTACATTCTATAAGTATTGATTCTCTCATTCTACTAGAATACATTACATACCAATTGTGTTATTTTATTTACAGCAAGAATGTGAGGATTTTCAGCAAAAAGTGAAAGCCGGCTTGCTCCCAAAATTAGCTGTTGTAAGTTATTTGACACATACATAACAAATGTTTTATCTTTCAAAGGATGATTATCTAAATTAGGTACTAAAAATCTGAAGAATAGGGTAATGGGAAACCATATCTATACTACTTATTCTTGTATCAGTTTTTGTCTCTGTGTAGTTTATAGGCAGCCACCAGTATATCTAGTCATAGCTTAGAAAATGGTAGTTTCTTTCCATTATATATATTGCAAATCAGAGTTATAACTATTTTATTTTTACCCATTGGCAGGCTGAGGTTCAAGAAAAGGCTGAAAGTCTTCACGAGGATATAACAAGACATGTATGCATTCCTGACACTGCCAAGTGAACATTTATCTTTGTTCCTCTAGTTGTTTCAAAATTTCTGATCATTAACTAATTTGGGTGTATTTTCTGGTTTCTATCAATTGAATACACAGATATCATTACATCAAATACAGTAGCCAAACTATGAGTTGCACCTTCTACTCATCTAGCTCTATTTTACTAATATCATTAAGATATGTAACTATCATGTGTTGTCAACCAGGTCAACTATTTAGTTAGTTGATTCATTATTTTTTACAACTTAGAGGCCACAATATGATTTTTGCCACTCTTGTTCATCAATAAAATGGTACGGTAAAAATGGACATATACATATATCATTTTCACTCGTAGCCCAAATGCTCTTGTACCAAGTGCTGAGCAGGAGATATATGTTATATGCGCAACAGAACTCTTACTTGTGTGGTTCACTTTCTTCTACTTATATGTAATATGGTTTTAGTATTTGTTGAATTAACAGTTTATAATTATTGTTTTTCTGACCATTCCCACTCTGATTATGTTCTTGTTAGAGGACTGAGACTCGCCTGGCCCATTTGCAAAATCAAATTGACCGTGCAAATCTAAGAGGACGAAATAGAGAATATCCTTTTATATGTTTATGGAAGTTAATGATCATATGAATTCATTCTAGTATAACATTCTCACTTACTGAGTACTAAAAATGATTGATACATGATACATTGCACGCTGTGTTATGCTCCTCAGATGCTATAGCATGTTTGGGAACACACTGAGAATAGAATAGTCTACAATTGGGACGGGAAATTTTAATTAGTACTGTTTGGTTAGGCATTTGGAAGCTTGGATCCATGTTATGAATGTGAAAAATGGAGAATATTCAAAGTAGTTTCTGCTTGGATATAGATCATAGATCCATGTTGAATTTGATCCGATGAAAACCAAACATATACTTCTTAGTTTCTGAAAATCATATAAAAATGTAACCAAATAATGATAGTATGTAGCTCCTTAACTGCTTGTGCTATACAAAAATTGCATTACTAGAGGAAAGGGAACGACTTGAACAATCATGGAAACAAGATCAACTTTTAAGGAACGTGCCAACAGTTCGTGCGGAGCTTCTTGAGGCAGAATATGATGATTCTGAAGATGGACAAGATACAAATACACAGGACTAGTCATTCCTCTCTCTTACTGTTGTCAAGTTTTTCAGATGGACTCAATTTCAGACTTTGCTCTCTACAGTTTGTATGTTTATTATTTTATATCTCTAATCTTATCTAAGTACCCCATTGTCTGCATTTTAATCCGTTATTGTTCTTTTTGGATTTGTACGATGGATAATAGAAAGAAAAGTTGACCAAGGTGATCTATGTTCTCAGAATTTTGTGTTGAAAGACGGTATAGTTGTGGTTTTGAGTATGATAGTGGCATAAAAAAGGTGATTTGAAGCTACACAGATTCTCAACTCAACTGCTGTATATCTTTATCTGAAGTACAAAGTCAACTAACTTTTGGCATGTATATTGTAAAGGTAGAGGCATTATTTATGCAATTTCTACACCACGAAGAGCCTAAGCACTTATTTGGTGGCTAAACATTAATTCTAAGCATTACTTTTATCCAATTCTTATCATATTATAGATAGTAATCCTTTTCTAAGACAAGAGTCCCTTGAAAACCTTCTCATCCTTCTCTTTAATTCATAGATTAATTATATATATGGACAAGAAAACCATATCAATAATGATAAACTTTTCTAAGATAAAATGAAAAAGGATAAATAAATTATAGATAGGATTTTAGGTGCCAGCATAGTTGGATTTTTTTCCCCTCTTGTTCTGATATATGTTTTTATTTTTCTAAAAAAGGGAGAAAATCATCTTTCCATTTTTTTTTTTAATTTGGTTTGCAATAAATTTCTACCTGCATATAATGATAATAATATATATATATAGAGAGAGGTAAAAATGCTTTTATTTCTCAATATGAAAACACACTTGATAGATAAAAATGCTTTTATTTCTCAAGAAAAAAGATTGTAGGCAGAAAAATAACAATGACTAAATTACAATTTTTAAAAATGATGAATGTGAACACCAATTTTATTCTTTATTTTAATTTACATATGTATGAATAATAGAAATTAACATTATTTGATTTTTTTCATATTTTATTTTTCTGTATCAGATGATAATTTTGAAATATTACCCTTTTTACTTTTTTAGATTTTTTTGTTGTAATTTGTTTTTTCCTAATTTAAACAAAAACAAGTTAAAACTCTTTGTAAAAAATAAACTGAATTTTTCTTTTCTTAATTTATTTAAAAAGAAACTGGGTTTTTTTAATTAACTAAAAAGAATTTAAACGCTTTATAGTTTGATTAAAAAGTTTTTTTTAAGAGAAATACCCTAAATAACGGTCTTATTAATGAGTGTTTTAGTTAATAAAAAGTAAATGTTTTTATGACATTTGCATTGTTGAGACAATAAACTAGAGACGTTTAAACATGGATTATATAACTTTTATTTTTAAGGGTTACTAATATCAGTAAGAAAAAGTTATGTAGCATTTTTTAAATGTTGATTAAGAATAGAAATAAAAAGCTACAAGAAAGCATTTACACACTTCAAGTACTTTTTAATATATAATTTTTTAATAATACTAAAAAAACTAACCTTAAATTATTTTTTTTCAGTTACATATGTTGTTAAATACTCTCAATAATCAAAATTAATTGTCTTAAAATTATTTATAATGAAATTTAAAACAAAGGGAGCTACATGTCATTGTTTGAGTTTCGCAATAGTGGTCCAAGTTCAGTGTTTTGGAAATTGAGATATGCATAAATGTTTTATTTCATTAATTAATATATTGTTTGAAGACGTAATCATGGAAGAAAAAAGTGTTTTTTATTTAACACCAAGTCAACCTTTGTCATGATGATTTGACCTACGCTAAAGCTAATTAGCAAAAATAGATACGGAGAAAGATTATTTTATTGATTTATTTATTATTATTATAATAATAATAATTATTATTATTATTAGTATAATAAATAAAATAAAAACACTTTGTTCCACTTTCATTTCATTACTTTGACATGCCATGCCGACACACCCTTCTTAAACGTGACTAATACGTCGTGCATGGTTTAAATTTAATTAATTTTTAAAAATGAGAAATTTTGATGTAAATAAGTATTTCTAATTGAGAAATGATGAATAAAATTTATAAGAGTTAATTTATGGTGTTTAAAAGTTTTCTAAGAATTCATTATTTTTTCTTGAAAAAAATCACTTTCCAACATTTCAAAGTGGGACCACAGCATGTTCATAGGATGCTTCTCACGAAAAGGTAGAAGAAGAAAGGAAACAAACGAGAAGAAGAAATGGATTCAATGTCTATGTGTGAGAATATCAGTAACAGAGTGAGTAGTAAGAAAAATAAATTTCAACGATATAATTTCAGTTAAATTCCCATATCAATAATCTCGATTCTACAAACATAATTTATGATATGAATTAATTTTGTAGGTTAATTTTTGTTTCAAAATATAATTTTTCTAAATTAAATTAGGGGTAAAGCACTTTATACAATCATCACCTTACTTTCTAAGAATCCTACCACTAGATTTTCAGCACAGAGATCACAAATTTCATGTGTTTTTTCTTGTTGCGATGCACGATCCATATCTGTGGCTGGAAAAATGGAAAATTGGGGAAAAAGCATTAGATTGAAGATAGTAACTAGCACTCACGGGGACAATGGTGAGAGGCGGCAGAAACAGTAGGAAGACATGATGAACAAGTCCATAATGTTCCTGCCGCGCGCATACTACTTTTGACCTATCCCCCCAAAACAATCATTACTTTAACCCTTTACAGGATCCCCATGTTTACAAGAGAAGCAACCTCGAAACTCCTTTGAAACCGATGCTACTTTCTCTCTCACAACAATGCATATAAAATTATGCCACCACTTTCTTCTAGTGCTCCATCTACACTCTCATAAGGTCCCCGTATGTGTATTTTTTTAACTTTCATTTCAACTCTCTCTGTGTGTGCGTGCGTGTGTGCGTGCTCTATTTTGGAAATTTAACACACGAAAAGGGATGTCATCCATCGTCTGATCACTATCATGCACTTTTGTTTTGAAAGCCATGCTGTTTATTTGGACCACATGTACATTTTCCCTTGTATACTACTAATAAAGGAGCCGAAGCTACCTTGAAAGAGCTCAAGCTACCATCTATGTTGTTATTATAGTACAGATAAAAGGACACACACATTATTGTGTTGTGCTGTGAAGCAGTGACTATGAAGACTCCTTGTTGTGAGAGAATGGGGTTGAAGAAGGGACCTTGGACTGCTGAAGAAGATCAGATATTGGTTTCTCATATTCAACGATATGGCCATGGGAACTGGCGTGCCCTTCCTAAACAAGCTGGTGAGTTCTTCTAATTACATCAACTTCTGCTTGCTAGTTTGCAACATTTTCTGTGTAAACAAAGGCTGAATGATCTATGGTTGCTTAGGTTTGTTAAGGTGTGGCAAGAGTTGTAGGCTTCGTTGGATAAACTACCTGAGACCAGATATTAAACGAGGGAAATTCAGCAAGGAAGAAGAAGATACCATCCTAAAACTACATGAAATTCTTGGAAATAGGTAATGACAGATGACATTCGCTCTAGTTCTATCTATTTTGTCTTCTCTACGTGCATGATACACCATGAACATTATTTCTTAGTATATATGTATAATGATTTCATGTAAGAGTGTATATGCTAGACAGAATGTGATTGAATTTGACTGTGATAAACCCTTGATGCTTTTAGGTGGTCTGCTATAGCCACAAGCTTACCCGGAAGAACAGACAACGAAATAAAGAATTTTTGGCATACCCATTTGAAGAAGAGGATCCAGAAAAGTGGAGTGCACATTAAGGGAAATGCTCCATCACATATCTTGCAAGAGGCACAAGCAAATAGTTCATCAAGTTCAAGTGCTGCCTCCAGTGTCTATGGAATCAATCCTCCTGTTGTAGGTACAGGATTTTACGGTGCAGTCTCCTCATCAGATATTTTTGGAGAAACTGTGGACAATCATAGCTCTTGTCAGCTAAGTGAAGAAATGGAATTCTGGTACAATATATTCATCAAATCAGGGCAAACATCATGAGGCAATGAAAATCTAGGATGTTATTATGTTGCATGATGTATAGTTTTATTGCCTCACTCCTTTGTACTTTAGTAACCCTTTTTTTTTTTCAATTTATAGATGTCAAGTCAACCTTTGGTTTCAGTTTAATTGGTGTGTACAAAACTTAAAATCCATTTTGGCCGGTGCAAAGTGGAAGATGAAACCTGAAGAATGGATAATTTTTTAATAAAAACTAGGGAAGGGTTGGTAAGTAACAAAGCAAATTTACTTTCTGACTCGTTTTTTTGTGACTATGAAGCAAGGGCAAAATTACTCTTCAAGTTTAAACTTCCAACATGTCCTTCTTACGAAACATTGCAGTCACAGTTATTACTGTTTTATTTATTTATTTATTTACAAGGGTTAAACATAGCTCTGATATCTGAAATTTATATTAATTTAATAGAATTTATTTGTGTAGTTTTGAACATAGTGAAAAATTAGATATATGGATAATTTCCTTATATCTAAATTACATATAGATAATATATATATATATATATATATATATATATATATATATAATTAAGATTCATACAAATAAATATGGTAAATACATATAGTATTACTAATAATATTTAAAATATATAAAATAGGTAACATTCTCCTCAAGTTCATATATATAAATCATATGTATCAAATTTGTTACAAATCATTAATTATAGGTCCCATAAAAATTTAGTGAAAATATTTGCTAACAGTTCACTTGAATTAAGAAACATGATATTAATGTCTCTAGATACAATATTTTATCGAATAAAATGACACTCAACTTAAATATGTTTGATCATTTAATAAAAGATAAGATTAGAACTAATATAAAGAACGACTTCTTTGTCACATATAAGTGTCATTTAAGTGATAACTCTAAATTGTAATTCTTTAAGTAATTATTTTAAGTTAAACAAGTTCATAAGTAACTAAAGTCATAACTCTATATTTTGTTTCTGCACTAGATTTTGCTACAATATTTTGTTTCTTACTCTTCCAAGAGATCAAGTTACCTCCAATAGAAACACAGTATCCGGAAGTAGATCTTCTATCAAAAGGAGATCATGCCCAGTCAACATCTGAATAATAAACAACTTTAGTCTGGTTATTGTGATCATATAATAAACTTTTTTCAGGAGATTCTTTAATGTACTTTAATATACGAATGACTGCACTGCATATGAGAAATTAAGAAATCAACTTACCACATTAACTGCAAAGAAAATGTCAGGACAAATAGTAGTAAGATAGTTTAATTTTCCAACTAATCTTTTGTACTTCTCAGAATCTGAGATGTTTCCCTGATTAGGTAGGAGTTTAGTATTGGGATTCATGGATGTGTCAACAGATTTTGAGTTCATCAATCCAGTTTCTTTTAAAATATCCAATGCATACTTTCTTTGAGATATAACAATGTCATTATTAGACTGTGTTACCTCAATCCCCAAGAAATATCTAAGTTTACCAATATCTTTGGTCTGAAAGTGATGACAAAGGTGTTATTTCATCTGGGAAATGTCATTGTGATCATCAACATATATTATTAAATAGATACACCAAACACTTAAATGACGGTAGAATATTGAATGATCTGCGAGTTATACCAAACTGCTGAACAACACTGCTAAATTTTCTAAACCAGGCCCTAGGAGATTTGTGAAGACGACATACCAATCCAAAAGACTCCCTTTGAGCAACAAAGCCTCGAGGTTGCCCTATATAAATTTTTTCCTACAAATCTCCGTTAAGAAAAACATTTTTGACATCCAATTGGTAAAGAGGTCATTATTGAAGAGCAGTCATGACTATGAATAAGCGATCAGAAGTGAAAATAATCTATGATAACTCAAATGAGAAGAGAGATTACAAGTAGAATGTATATATTTATGGAGGACAATTGGAAGGTCAAACTCGGTTGTCGGAACCGGACGAGACAAACGAGTCGGTAGTAGATGTGAGTCATTTCACTACAAAAAAAATGTTTATTATCTACGGATAAAATCCGTAGGTAATGTCACTTTACCTAAACAAAATATTTTTATTTATTACAACCCCTTCCCTTATTTTTTATTATTACCTAGGACCCCCCTCCCCTTTATATTATATTTTTATTATATTTTCGAACTTTGAATTATTGTTAGATTAAAGGAATTGTCATTGCAGGATTCAAACCCAAGACTCGTCGAGTTGGAGGCCGATACTCCAACTACTAAGCTATTAGGATATTTTGATAATAATTTACAAATAAATTATATTTATATTTATCCGTGTAAATATATAAATATAAAATATATAAATATAAAAATATAAATATAAAATATATTTATATTTTGATATATTTATATATTTATATATTTGTATTTATATATTTGTATTTATATATTTATATTTATATTTATATATTTATATTTATATATTTATATTTATATATTTATATTTATATATTTATATTTATATATTATATATTTATATATTTATGTATTTATATATTTATGTATTTATATATTTATATATTTATCTATTTATATATTTATGTATTTATATATTTATGTATTTATATATTTATGTATTTATGTATTTATGTATTTATGTATTTATGTATTTTATGTATTTATGTATTTATATATTTATATATTTATATATTTATATATTTATATTTATGTATTTATGTATTTATATATTTATATATTTATGTATTTATGTATTTATGTATTTATGTATTTATATATTTATGTATTTATGTATTTATGTATTTATATATTTATATATTTATATATTTATATATTTACACGAATAAATATAAGTATAATTTAGTTGTAAATTATTATTAGAATATCCTAATAGTTTAGTGGTTGGAGTATTAGTTTTCAACTTCAAGGTACTGGGTTCGATTCTTGCTAGTGACTATTCTTTTAGTTTAATATAATTTACCTAGGATAGTAATTCAGTAGGTAATGTAAAATTTACCTACGGATTTTTATCCGTAGGTAATAGGCTTTTTTTTTGTAGTGTTTGGTGGTTGTTGGGATTGTTGTCTTTGATTATAAACTTGAAGTGGTGGTGACGGAGGAGAATCAAAAGGTGGGTTAACAAGAGAATCACATACAATAAGAACATTGACATTAACAAAAAGCGACACACATGGAGAAGAAAAATACTTGAAATAAAAGGAAGACTCATTAAATGTGACATGTTTAGAAATAAAATAACATTTAACAGAAGGAGATAAACACTTATATCCTTTTTGTGATGGAGTAAATTCTAAAAAAACAAATTTGTGTGATTTAGGAGATAACTTATCAAGACCAAGACTAAAATCATGAACAAAACATGTAGAATCAAAACCTTTAAGAGGTAAGAGATGTACGTAGAGGTTCATGAGAAAATAAAAGAGAATGAGGAATTTTTTTATTTAGAATCGAAGATGACATGCAATTGATAAGATAACATGCAATATGAACAACATCACCACAAAAATGTCTAGGAACCTCATCATGAATTAAAAGAGTATGAGTTGTTTTAATAAGATGTATGTTCTTGCGTTCAACCATTCCATTTTGTTGAGGTGTATAAGTACATGAAGTTTGATGAAGAATGCCATGAGAAGCCATAAAATTTTTAAATGATTGAGAAAAGTATTCACAGTCATTATCACTTCGCAAAATTCGAATAAAAATCCCAAATTGAGTTTTAATTTCATTAAAAAGGGACTTGAATATAAAAAACATCTCAAAACGAGTTTTTATTAAAAACAACCAAGTACTTTTAGAATAATTATCAATAAAAGTAATAAAATACTGAAAACCTAAATTAAATTTAACACGACTGAATTTTCAAATATCAAAGGGATGAAACACGTTTTGAAACACTACGAGAAAATAAACTAGGACTATGTTTCCCTAATTGACATGACTCACATAATAAACTAGATAAATTGGACAAACTAGGAACAAGTTGCTGCAATTTGACAAGATTTAGGTGACCTAGCTGAGCATGAAGGAGAGATAGAGACTCCATAATTGTACCAATATGTGTAAAAGGGTGGAGATGATAAAAACCATGAGACTCACATCCAGTGTCAATCATCTGTCTCGAACTCCAGTCCTGTAAACAAACAAAATCTTTTGTATAAGAAATAATACAATCAAGAGAATGAGTTAAACGACCATAATAAGTTAAAGGGAGACTCAGGGACATAAAGAACATTATCAATGGATAAAGATGGAAAAAGTTTAACAGTATCAATATCATGAGGCAAAACCCTAAACCCATTAGTCATTGTAATCGAAGATAAATTATTCGGAGAGGATAAATAAGAAAATAAAGATTTATTCCCACTAATATGATTTATGGCACCTGAGTTAAGAATCCAAAGTCCAATAAAAGGAGATTGAGTTAGGTTTTAAATAACGTGTGGAGACTTTGTTCCCGACGATCTCAATGACACGGTGGTTGGGTAGTCGAGATTAGTAGAACGATGGGGTCGTCGATCTGAACTGTGACTCAGGCGACGACGGTGGCTCCTGCGATAATGACGGTCCGACGACAGTGGCGACGGGGTATGAATGAAACTGACCTTTGCTCTCAGTCACACAGTGGACGTCAATGTTTCGTTTATAAGAACGAAAATATTTTGATCTCATTTCCGTTATAATAATGTCGTTAGATTCAATTCTCATGTCCGAGAGATATTGTCCGTTTTGGAACTCTCAACCCCACGACAAGTGTCAATGTTTAATATAGGAATGAGAGTGTCCTCATTTTATATTTACTGTGATAATATCGTTATAATCAATTCTCATGTATGATATATTATTTGTTTTAAACTTCTAGTCATCTTAATCTTATTCTTAAAAGACGTTTAATGCCTTGATAAATTAAGAAAAATAATGTGTATATATATTTTTATATACTCACAAGTCTTAAATCATTTAGAAGTTGAAACTATTAATAATTTATATACACATTTTTTTTTACATAAAATCTTTTTAAAGACAAACCTAAAATTTAAAACATAATATTCATCAAACGCCTTTATACTTATAAATAATGAATTCCAATATAAATCCACGGAGAGGGCTAAACTTTTTAAGCAATAAAATTAAAAGATTATTGTATTATCCCAATACAAAACAAATTCTATGAAGTCAGGTCTTGCCACAGGAGATGTAAAAAGAGACACATGAGAATCGAAATCTTTCATCTTTTCTTCATAATGTTACAACATTAAAATGGTATTTGTAGCCGTTATTTCAAAATTCATAATTAATAACAATTATTTATTTATTATTATTTTTTTTTTGACACAATGTTAATTGAAAAAAATCTATATTATCAATTATAATGATAAGTTTTTCAATATTATTATTATTGTTAATAATATTGTTGTTGTTATTATTATATAATTGTTACTGTATTGAGTTACATTCTAGTAAAAAATTCGATAAACTTTTAAAAAAATTCTATTAAAAAATTATTATACAAATAACTATTTGAAGCAGTAAGTTTTTTCAAGGTTATTTATTTATTATTGTTATTATTATTATTTTGACACAATGTTAATTGAAAAAAATCTATATGATAAAAAATTCGATAACTTATTATTTGTATAAATCAATCAAAACAAAAAGACTATAATGATAAAAAGCGTTCACGGTGGGACTCGAACCCACAATCTCCCGCTCCGGAGGCGAGCGCCTTATCCATTAGGCCACGCGAACTTGTCTGACTTGTTTATAATTTTTATTATTATTATAAGTTTTATCTTCCAAACTATATTTAAATAAAATCAAACAATTGAAATTAGAAATCAAGAATATAATAATAATAATAGAGAATGGATAAAAAAAACTAAGAAAAAAAGTAATGAAAAAACATAAACAAATAAGAAAATGAGTGATAAGAATGAAAACTAATTACTTTATATAAAAGATTTAATTTTAATAATTCAATTTTGTATACATTATTAATAATAATAATGTTTAATTGGATGAATAAATTAATAATTATTTAATTAGTTTTATTTTAGAATATATTATTTATATCTTTGATTTTTAAGGAAATTATCAATACATCAAAATATAAAAATATAAAAATATATTTAACTTGATAACTTAACTTAAAAGATTAAAGAAATATATTAGATAATACAAAAAAATTTGTAATTTAAATTAAATCAAATTTATTTTGATTTAATTATGTTCGATAAGATTAATCCATCGATGGATTTTATAGAATAATAATTATTTTTAAATTAAAAATTAAAATAATATTATTTTATAAAAAAAATATGTATATATAATCTTATTTAGACTATCACTTATTTAAATTTAATTTAAATTAATACATAAGTTTATTAATCTATTTTATAAAATAATAATTTTTTTTAAATAAAATTAATATGATATTATTTTATTAAAAATATATGTATTATAACTATTTTTAAAAAAGTACATTTATTTTAAAAATAAATATTATAATAAGTATAATATAATTATTTATTACAAAGTCTAATAGTTAAAATTAATTATTATTTTATATTAGTTTTTAATTTTTATTTTAAAATTTTATACATCTTTTTATAATTTATATATTAAATTATAAAATAAATTTAATTTCATTAATGTAATTTAAATTAAAAAAATATTTTTATTATTTATTTTTAAATAAATAATTTTTTTAATTTTTAATGAAATTAAATTTACGTATTAATTCATTTATCTAATATAAAATCATACTATAAATTATGATATTTTTTAAAAATATAAATAAAACTAAGTCATACTTTTATTATTTTACCGGTAGAATAAAGTTATAATAAACTGATAATTTTGACAAGTATATTAAAACATGTAAAAATTGTAAAGAAAAACAATATGCGATCTAGTTATCATTTATATTTTATACTGTTAAGAAATTCAAATTTTAAAGTTCTTATTGATTATAAAAAAAATCTATGACCCATTATATATATATATATATATATATATATATATATATATATATAAATTTGTCTATTTATATTAATTATATTTGAGTATCACCTTTTTTATATTTAATATAAAATGATAATTTTTCTTAAAAAATAGTCAATCTCAACTACCAATTAAAATTTTTAAGGAATTAATATTAACAAATTTACAATTTTTTATACTTAAAAAATATTTTTTATATTCTTTATCACAGTGTTTTTTATAATGGATCACGTATTTCAATCCGCGTTCGGTCTAATCTATTTTAAAAATGAAATTATTTTGAATTTCCTAAAAATAAATAATTGTTTTTCTAACTTTAATAATCATGAAAATAAATAATTTAGAGGAAGCAAGCATGCAAGAATGAAACTTTGAAAGAAGAAATTGAGAAAGATAAAGCAAAACCCTATGAAACTCAAAATCCAAACATAAACGGAGAGATAACACTACACGGTTGCAGTGGCGCTCCCAATGGCTCTGGGAATCTCTAACATACTGCACTGCCCCAAATTGAGTTTCTCCCACAACAATCTCCATCCCAAAATTTCAACCTCTCTCAGGTCGTCATCCAATTCTCTCTTTCTTTCTATCCACTAGTAAGAATCGAGGAAGGAATTGTGTTTTTGTTTCGAATTCACTTGTTTTTCGCATACGATGCGTTTCTTATCTTGTCTTCATGGAGCTCATTTCTAGGGTTAACAAAATGTAATTCAGTGTCGATTTTCAGGTTTTCTCAGGCAGCACCATGGAGTGATAGAAAGATGATCCGTGCTGCTGCATCTGCGGCAGGAAGCTCTAATTCCGATGGTGACTTTAATCCTTATGAGGTAAAGAGTAAAATCTACTTTGTGACTAGTTCATAGTTTTTTTAAATTAGAAGTTGTTCGAATTGTATCTGAGTTTCTGTGACGTGATGTAGGTGCTAGGTGTAAGCCCTATTGAAAAATTTGACATGGTCAAGGCAGCATATGCAAAAAAAAAGAAGGAGGCTGAGATGAAGGGGGATGAAGCAACTGCTTCCAGAGTAGGTCAACATTTTTTCTTCTTTTCCTTTGTTTTTGTGTAAAATGGTTTTCATAACTATTGGCATTCCAACAATATGATATTATGGAACTGTATGCATTGTCATTACTGACATGGTAATTAGTTTCCCAATTTTGAAATGGGCGAGGTTAAATTTTTGTATTCATGTTTGGAAGTTAACAGTATGTATGAGCTATGCGTTTGTATAATATTATTAAGTTTACTTATAATGCTTGTCCTCCAAAGTAAAACCCACATATTGGATACAAGAGGCTGATTATTCCTTTATTTTTTAGGTTCTCCGTGATGTTTATTGATTTTTTATTTTTCTCAACGTTTATGTGCTAATGTGTGGGATATTGTGCGCTCTGAATGTATGATTCAGCTGGAAAAGGCATACGACAAACTCATGATGGCTCAATTGACTAATCGGAAAAAGGGTGTAACTTTTGGATCATTTAAGGTAATGTAGGGGAATGTTTCTTGCTGTGGACACTTAAAATTACACACATAATTTGAAGGCATGATAACAGTGAATACTTCTTGTTTAAGTTCTGTTTAAGGCTGAAGCTATTTTGTTAATTTAGTTGGATGTGTTTAATGCTTTCAATATTCACTAGACTTACTTTGACGAAGTAGCCATAATTTTGTAGACCATCCTTTTTGACTATTTTTCCCTTTTCTAAATGAACTTAGATTTCCTATAACTTATGGTAATGAAGAATTTGGTGGAAATAATGCCATATTATCTTGAACTCTTGATATTTTTCATTATTTTCATTGGGCTGCTCTGGTGAGGAGGTGCGTGGGGGCGTTAGATATAATGAAGTGTCTCCTAGGATTATGATTTATCAATTCCTTTCTTAGAATAATTGATAATTCTACGTATAGTGTATCCACACAAGCATGATTTTTGCTCCAGCTATGCAAATTTTATGCTTAGCATGGTTAGTGGATTTTGTAAAGTTATACAACAATCATGATTTTTTTTCGTATTTACAGTGGGTAGTTAGTAGATACTGAAAAACGCACAACAATCTCCCTAGGAGACACTTTTATGGAAAAAGAAAATGTCATTTATTGTGCCTTATTCCAATTTTTTCCCAAGCATTTTACCCAGGACAAATGCTAGCAACGCAACTCATTTGAAAGCACCATTTACTATTAGCTGAATTAGATTAGAATCACAAAATTTTATGGGTCCTACTTCATATTTAATGAGTTCCACTTATAATTGTAGTTTCCAATAAATGTGAAATGTGAGGAATAATGTGTTAGAGAGTGTAATGCTAGCACTGCCCTTGACCCCAATTTGTCGTCTTTGTTTGCTTCTCCAAATCTTAATCATGTATTAAACTAAACACAGGTTTCAAAGGAGATCAAGTTTGCTGACAAGCAGCCAATTCTACCTTGGGGGCCAAGGTTTTGTGTTGCTTCTTATGATTAGTTTCATTGTAGTTTTGTTGCTATATATTGTTGTTTCTACCATTTGTTTACTAAAATATCTGGTAATTCTTACGTTGATGGACGATTTAATATTTAACTGCTTTAGGTTGACGGCTGACATGTTTCCTGTCCAGTAATATATACCAGGATCACTGTAGGTTGCTTTACCACATGAAAGTTATCCCCCATAGCCTCCTCCTTAAATAAAAATAAAAGGTTTCGCTGAACTCATGTAAATCTAATCTATTTCAAAAGCTCATTTAGAATCTTGACAAAAAAAAATCGTATTTCTTGATAAAATAAGCTTAATCAAACAATCACTTAATCAAACCGTCAAACAAATAGTATTAATTTGGATATTCTTATAATCTTATGTTACAAAAGATGATGCTTAAAATCGAATCTATTTGGATTTGTTTTGTAAATTTTTTTTATGAATACAACAATTTGAAAGGAAAATTTCATTTTTCTCGCATGCATAGATGGATTACATTTATTTCTGGCGTTTTACCTTTTATTCGAATTATTGTTTCCCCCCTAGTCACTATCGCTGTATTGATCGCTACGTGTATCTTTTGATGTTAATTTTGTATGTAATTTCAGGTTTACTAAATCAAGTCAAAATGACACACGCATCAACTTGGCAATATCTGCTGTTTTTGTGAGTTGGATATAAATGGTTATTTTAATTTATTTTTTGGAAGAAGATCAATACTCAAAAACCATATCAATCTTCTGTCTTGTTCCAAATGTAGTATTTAAGCAAAATCATTTATCTGTCTGCAGACAGCATGGATCCTTGTCAAGCGCAGTGCTGAATATAAACCTTTGCAGTTTTTAGCCTTTGCCTTTGTTTATAGGCTTTTTGAGAAGTTAAAAGCCTTTGAATCTCCTGTTACCCGCATATATAATGTGAGTTTACTTCTATGACATCATATTTGTCAAGTTTTAAAATTTTCTGTTTTTGAACATGAATTATCAGTAGAATTGTACAGTTCATGTTACTGTTGGCTACAGGAAGAGGGTGAAGACACAGGAGAAGGATTGCGCATGGGAAAACGACTGCTCCGATCACTGGCTTTGGTTTTTGGATGTGTAGCTATTTCATCTTTGGTATGATGATTCCTTAGATCTTTTGGTGTGATTCATAGATCATTACTTTTGATATTCCAAATTTTTGGCTTTTGTAACAATTAATTAACAAGGGAGCTGATATAATATATGTATATGATTTTTTTTCCTGAAAGAGAAAAGAAGGGAGACATGGCTTAAATCATCTTTTTATCCACTTTCCTATTTTACTTTATGTGAAACCAAATTGTTATTCATCATGGTATGATACATCATTTATGTTCTTTTATAATCTTTATTGAATATTTTTTTAAAGAAAAATAATCTTGGTAGCCAATTTACAGAATTTTGATTTTGTACTCTGTTTGACTTCCACTAGTGCCAAACCAGACAAATATGTCCAAACTAATTCATACCAGGTTGTTGTAGGTTTTTTTTTTCTTTTCTTTTAATTTTATGGAAATTGGGTATTCTATTTATTTGTCACTCAATATTTTTCTTAGTCCAATGTGTCCAAAGTTTTCTTTTTTCTTACTGGCATGTGCATTTCTTTTAATTTTTTAATTCCTAATAAAGATTAATACTTTCTGGTTCTTCTCTTGCAGGCATATACATTTATTTTGAACATAATTGAGTTTGCAGGTGGTTTTATTCCTGCTCTTCTGTACAACAATCAGGTATACTATAAATAAATGAGAGCAGTCCTTCCTGGCATAAAATATATTAAGATTGTCCACTATCGTTGTGAACAATATGATGCATGCCCTGCAGTTTTTATGCCTTTGAAACATTGGAACATTCTTTATGTGAGTTGTCTTGCCAAATGCATTTTATTCCCGATTTAACGAAGTAAAGACATGAATGATCACAATCATGGTTATTGGTTTAAACTATTTCTTGCTTACATCGGTATTATTCTTTAATACATGTGATGTGAAGGGATTTGTGACTATTGAATTGTGAAATACTTGTGAACTACGATAAGGATAGCTAGTTCATTGGCTAAGTGGCTATTTTTCGTAAATAGCATATGAATTTAGAATGTAAAATAATATAAAATTTACGAAGCACAGGTTCAATGTTAGGGAGTTTTCCTCGTGAACAATATAATTGAGGGTATCAACTAATGTTTCATGAATTCATTTTGGTCTATTGCAATTTAACTGCTAGTTGTTCCCTTACAATATAAAATTTCCATGTTATATATTTTTATTGTCAATATGATTAACATCCAATTTCTTCGCATTAGTTTTCCTTCAAAAACCAATTTCATGATAAAATGTGAAATTTTAAAACTAATTTGATCATGTTACTGATTTATGTATTTTTGTACATGGAGGACCAGTGTTGTGTTGCTATCATCTTTGAAAGACCATTTAGACTAAATTTATACACATCATGCACCTTAATCTACGGGTGATGATGGGACTAGTCTTGTTTCTTGTCTGCCATAACAAAACTGTTTCTTCGATGACACATTTTATTATGGCATGAATTGAGCTTTTATTAACTCAGAAAATAAGATACACACACATTTATGACTAGTTTTATTCCATTTTTTTTTATAGCTCAATGCCTTAGTATCCCATTAGTCAGTTTTGTTGCTGCTAAGTTGACAACCGTTGTGGTATCTGCAGGAGTTGATAATCACTACTTCATCGGCAGTCATGCTTTATATCATGGCATCTTATTATAGATAGTGAAGCGTGTCTTGAAGACGAAGAAACCACGCATCTGGTCATCATCCTTTTCTTGCCTTTTTTTTTCTTTTTTTATCTTTTTCCTCCTTCTCTTGCTTTTGTTCCTATTGTGAACTACAGTGTTTAGATCAAATTTTGTCAAAAGACATGTACTTTTCCTTGTTTTGTTATAGTAGGAATTGTGTTAACTTCACTATGCTACTTTTTTCTTTGGGGTGTCCTTTATATTCATTTTGACTTATATTGCCCGTTTTTCTCGTTTACTTATTCTATTGCCAAACAAATAAAATGGTCATTTCGGACTTGGACCCATCATGTAATGTAAGTTACCTTATTTGACCGGAGGATAAATGAGATAACTATACACTTTACGATAAACATGTGATGAGGTTGGAAAAAAAATCATTTGTTATTTTTTATTTTTTTTGCGTTATAAATTTCAAATTTCAGTGCATAGTTTGTAATATTCGAAATGGTGGCTGATCTGATTAGAAGATTGGGTCAGTGGTTTTGTCGATTTTAAGTGGGTCAACCATAATATTGGAGAAACAATATAGTTTAAATTTAATTGAACATCAAATTATTTTGGAATTGTACAATAATAAAATGGAACATTGGTTTGAGTTTTTTTTTAATTAAATAAAAGTAAAATTTTATACTTTTTAAGAGTTTATCTAATTTGTTTTAGATATAAACTATTTTCTGCTTTTATACTTTGTATAATAAAGAAAGATTGGTCTGGTTTGTTTGTACTTATTATTTTAACAAAATAAGTATATTTTTCAATTTTTTTATGTGTTGTTCTCATTTATCCAACTCTGACTTTGATCTGTGAAAAATTATGTTGGATCAGTCTAATATGTATAATTAAATGAGTTTTGTTTTTAAGTTCGGTTAAAACTTATGTCCCTGATAAATAAATTAGTGAAATACAATTATTTTTATTTTCTCAAAATATAATATAATTTTATGATACAGATGGGTCCAAAAGTCTATAGACCGGTCTAATCAGTATACTTAGGTCGGACAAAAACTGGTTAATTCTATTTTTTGGATTAATCCATAAAGTGAGATCCGTATTGACTGTCTCTACAAAGAGAGTTCATAATACTTGGATTTATGGGCAATGTGGACAAGTTTGTGGTAACTCTTTCAACACTTTTGGGCTTCGTTAAGGACACCCTTTCATGGTTAAGTATACCCAAGCTTAACTTTTTTACAATAAATCCCTCAAAAGAAACAGTTGCCTTTCAAGGAGGCTCAAAACACTAACGAGAGAAAGAAGATGTGTGGTTGTGTTGATTTGTATAATAAATATAAATATAAGAGTGATTGTGTTGTGTGAAAGATGGTTGTATTATACAATTAGACTGAACAAATAGGCTATTATTTTTATAAGAAATAGGAAGTTTCATTGGTATTATGATGCAGAGAAAGACAAAAACTAAATAATTTTGTGTACCGCGTTACAAATTTTTAATAGGGGTTGTAATGGGAAAGGCAAAATGGCAAAATGGAGACAGAAGAACACATAATTGGGGGATAAATCCATTGAAACTGCGCTGTCCTCATAATATGAATTGACAATTCAATACCCTATTATATTGATGTAATTTATTTATAACAAATTTTCACGATTAGAAATTATTTTGAAAGACTGAAAGGGTAACGTGAGGGATGAAGTGAAAAAAAAAAAACACACTTGACTAGGCATTGGTTGTTGTCTCTCCGTTTTTTATTTAGAATGAACAAAATGACAATATGATTCTTTTCTTCCTCATATCATCGTTGGAATTGAACTCATTTGTCCCATCCTCCTCAATTCATGTAGCAGCGCAAGCAATTCACAACAAAATTCTTGAAATAAGTGTGTACTACAGATATAGTTGCCTTTATCACACTTAACTTTGGTTACTTGCAATCTTGCTGGAGTACCTAATCTAGGTAATAAATTCCCTTCAACTCACACTTGAATATTCAACTTTATCTGCCACTTATTCTGTACCATACAGAAAGGAAGCATTGACTCCATCGTTCTGACTGGAGTTCCACTTCCCTTGTTTCTCTCATATCTTTTGCTCAATTAAATTGGGAGTAATTAGCTGATCTATCACCACGTGGCTTTTTGTGAATGCGAAACTGGGTCATAATTCTGCTTCAGATATTTTGTTGAACATTCCTTTTCGTTGAACCTAATTGTGAAAAAGAGTATTTTGCTTTTATGAAATTCTGGTCTAACTTGAATAATTCAGTGAATAACTTGAGCATGTAAATGCTCTTTTTTCCACTTTTATTTCTTGAAATTCATGGAGTCTATTTCAAGATCACATGTGGTGTACCATAGGGAACTTAAATATCTAGTAATTATGGAACTTTAATCCAAGAATGGTTGCATAAAAGGTCAATGAAAGCACACATTTGACTAGAGTTGTTGATATGATTGTGGGTTTCTATTTTGTACCAAAAAGCAAATGGTGAGAATGGCTCAAAACATTACCTTTTGCCTTGTTTTGGTGACAGAAAATGGCAGCTAAGATAGTGGACCTTCGGTCAGATACAGTGACAAAGCCAACCGAAGCAATGCGAGGAGCTATGGCAAGTGCTGAGGTTGAAGATGATGTTCTTGACCGTGACCCCTCTTGTTTTCGATTGGAAACAGAGTTAGCAAAGTTGTTGGGAAAGGAAGCTGCACTTTTTGTTCCATCAGGCACTATGGCCAACCTTATATCTGTGCTTGTGCATTGTGACACAAGGGGAAGTGAAGTTATTCTTGGACACGATTCCCACATACACATTTATGAGAATGGAGGCATTGCAATCCTTGGAGGGGTGCATCCAAGAACAGTTAAAAACAATGAAGATGGAACAATGGACATTGATTTAATTGAGGCTGCAATCAGAGACCCAAAGAGAGAGTTAATATATCCAACCACAAGGCTTATTTGCTTGGAAAATACTCATGGAAAGTAAGCGATTATTTTATTCTGTTCAATGTTACAACAATAATAACGAAGTCTTTTGTGAAATCAGCTACATGAATCACAGGATACTATTCAATTAGGTTAAAAATCAAAAGCATTAAGGACATTGATCGGTTGAAATATCCTGTGCATGAGCAGTATCAATGATTGGTGTGTTTTCCTGAATGCAGCTGTGGTGGTAGATGTCTTTCAGTTGAATATACAGACAGAGTAGGAGAGGTTGCTAAAAAGCATGGATTGAAGCTTCACATTGATGGAGCCCGAATATTTAATGCAGCAGTTGTAAGTAAATTTTCTGTTTACTGATGATTAGTTTTGTTCAGAAATTTGAGCAATTTGTTCTTGAAAATAAGTCGAACCAAAATGCAATTTGAGAATGGAATTAAAACCTTTCATCTCATGATGATGACTTGAGTAACTACATAAATGTGCATTTTCTTATTGTTGTATTTTTATTGCAAATTGTGCTTTCAGTTCATTTGATCATCATCCTATGCCTTTTGGTTTACCCTTTGTGTTGTGATGCACTTTCAGGCACTAGGTGTCCCCGTGGATAGGCTTGTTCAAGCAGCTGATTCAGTTTCGGTGTGTTTTTCTTTCTCATTTTTCTTTTTTGACAATATTCATGGAATATTTTGGCTAACTGGATTTCTTTCTTGAGAAGAAGAGAAACTACATTAGTATTATCTCTTGTACATATTTTAGTAGTAATTAATTGACAACAAATTTGATTAGTGAATACTAATCAAACTTTGTTATCTCTAAATCATATTATTCTTGTATGTGTAATAATCTAATAATCAACTTACGATTTAGGTATGTCTATCAAAAGGCCTGGGTGCTCCAGTTGGATCTGTTATTGTTGGTTCCAGTAGCTTTATCAGCAAGGTAATCTTTTGGGGGAGTATAACAATATCTATATTCTACATTGTTTCTGAAAGAACATGATACTAGTACAGTATATATAAACTTTAGGCTAGACGGCTCAGAAAAACATTAGGTGGTGGAATGAGGCAGGTTGGCGTCCTTTGTGCAGCTGCACTTGTTGCTTTACAGGAGAATGTTGAAAAGCTAGAAAATGATCACAAGAAAGCTAAACTTTTGGCTGGTAAATTCCATTCAATTTTAACTTTCCTTACCTGTTTGAAGAATTACAGTTTTATCCACCCTTTAAACTTTTTCCCCCTAAATTGCACTTGCTTACCTTTTTCTTTAAAAACTCCTTCTGTTTTAGATGGATTGAATGGCATTAAAGGACTGAGAGTGGACACATCTTCTGTAGAAACCAACATGGTGAGTATTAGCACAATTGCATGTTGTTTTTCAAACAACTACTTATATGCTCAATTAAGTGTATTGGGGAGTCAAATGCTTTGTGTGGATACTTCATAAGTATCTTAGCTTGAAACAACTGTTATAGTTAATGTTTGATTGATACCATGATGCAGATATATGTTGAAATTGAAGAGGGCTTAGGAACTACAGCATCGAAGCTATGCAAGGACTTGGAAGAGTATGGTATCCTTGTCATGGCAATGGCCTCATCCAGGTCTTATCTTATTTGCACTTACCAGTTTCTTCATCTGCAATTAATTAATTAACTAATAACTATTTTAGCCCATGCTTGTATATTGTGTGTCTCTGTTTAAGTTGTATATTAGAGATAGTCACAACAGTAACAGTATATTATATTAATCTAAAACTAAGAAGAAAATAATAATTTTCTGGTTAATTTGGTGGAAAAAAGCCATGCTTTCTCAATGAGAAGTAGGTTATTAATTAATACAAAATAGGCATTATTGCACTTTATGTAATCATAGGCAATATTCACTTTTTGCAGATTAAGAATTGTGCTCCACCACCAAATATCTGCAAATGACGTGCATTACGCCTTGTCATGCTTTCAGGTGAGCACTAGAATGCCATTATTATTATTATCTGAGACAATTCAAAAATATTTACTCAAAATGTGCATTAGAATTTTCTAAAACGTGTTCTCAACTCTTAGCCTTATTTGATCTGAATAATGTGCTTCATTTGTTCATTTTATGGGCATGCATTTCGCATTGTACGCTGGAAGATGAAAATTGAAAGTCTCTTTTGTTGAATGTTCTAGCAAGCTGTGGATGGAGTACCAAATGAAAATGGCAAATAGTGGACCAAACTGAAATTTGCAATGGGAATAAACATGGGCCCTGTGAAAAGCTTTTAACATGGCATATATGTTGATAATGATGTGAATGTATAATCCAAATTTCTGAGCATGAATTTGCACTGGAAAAACAGTGAACAGTGAAACCTTTATGATACCTTTACACTCTTAATTTCTCGTACATTGAATTTTAAGCATGCAGAGAAATAACAGCAAAAGTAATTGCTTGCTTGTTCCATTACTAAGGTTTCCTAATTTTCAGATAAATAACAGGAAAGGGACTATGACCCAAGAGATTAAGCAACCAAATTCTGTTCTTCTATTTTAGACATCACATTGTTGATTTTTCAACTCCAACAACATTGAATTAATGCATGTCTTTCTCATTGTTTGGTATTGGTTGCACAAAATAAAAGATAAAGAATGGGTGTAAAAGAATAGGAGACAATGATCCTATTCTTCTCTTTCTTTCTCTTAATATGGGAATCGTTTCTCTGAAGTGAATATGGGAAGATCCATTGGTTCCAACTCCTTGCTCTTGTGTCCTTTTCAGGTTTAAACAAGAAGATAAAACAAAAAACCAAAAAACTCTGTCATTTGTCATTTCAAAAAAGCATTGATGTTACGTCTTACATGACTTGTGGGCTCACATGCTTGTCGTTTATATATATACATATATAAAGAGACTTATTATTATCTTTTGAAGAGAAAAAAGAATAAATATAAAATGAATGAAAACGGAAATTATTCAATTAAAAATTAGAAAAATAAAAGAAAATGTGTCTGCGCCATGTACGCACTTGCTGTTCAAATGCAGAACCTGTCTTGTCTTCTTTAATTCTCCACACAACAAATGTACATCGTTGATTTGGTCAATATTGGGAATTATCTTCTGCTATTTTCGTTCACAATGTTTCGTTACGGTAAAATTATAATATATAAATAAGAATAATTTTATTAGATTAATTTCGTGAAGTGGGTTAATATATTTATGAAATCCAAAGTTAATAATTTTTTTATTATAATTATTGAAAATTGGATAAGTAAGATTATAATTAAAATATTCATAATTAATAAATATATTAAATAAAGTAAATTATATATTAAAGAATTAAATTTTGATTAAAAGTCATATTTTAAAATATAAGTCAATAATTTATTTTAAATTTGTTTGTTTTTATAATTTTTTAAAAATAAACTCAAAAATTATTTTTATTTTTCTCATAAAAAAAACATCTGATTTAAACCAAAACTAATTTTATTAATCTGAATAATTAAATCATTCAGACGTTGAAATTTATCAATGAAGTTATCTAGTTTACAAAAAATAATTACACCATCTAAAAATGGTAGCTGATAATTTGCTTTAGAAAACAAAAATAAAATCTATGAACTTCGTGACTCTGTATTGATACCTAAATCCATTAATCCATTTAGTGACTCTACCTCGTTAACTTATATAATTTTAATATTTCTATGGAGTACATTGTGTACTCAATTTAAGCATATTTCATTGATGAATTTTTAACTTTCTTTTTTATTTATAAAATAAATAATTAATTTATTATAAATTCTAAACCTTAATTGAAAGATAATAAATCTATTCTCTTAGAAAAACTTCCTTAACATTTATTATAATAAAAGAATATAAAAAAGGAGAAAAAAAACTTTTTTACATAAATAAAAAATAGCTTATACATATAATTAAAAAATAAAACGTCTAAAAGACTAATTTCAATTATGAATAGATGAGTTTTGATTTTATATTTTTATTATTATTATTATTATTTTCTTCTCTTATTAAAAAAAAACTTATTCAAATAATACTATGACTATTAACTCTATCAAATTAAGTAGGAGTAATTAATTTTGGTCACCCTATAAATATCGTAATTTGTTGGTCTATTAAGCAACAATATGGTGATCAATTAATTGGTGCTAAAGGAATGAAAAAAAAAAGTGTTACTACTAGAAATTGTGTCATTTCTTAATTAAGCTTCACATTAGAAAATACATGTAATTAGAAAACATAAACAAAAATGTTAAGACAGTTCCATTGGCAACCCTATTTGTCTCGGTTTAGTCATTGCTATTGGTGGGAACTTCAACCACTGCCATAAGTTCATAACTACATATATTATTATACCTTTTATTTTTGTTACTATAATTTTTATTTTATACAATTTTAATTTATAACATACCTTTTATGAATTTATAACATAACTACGTAGCATGAAAAGTTAATATAGATTATTGATAAATTAAAAATATTTAATCTTGTTATGCATACAAAATCATCGCATTGATAATAATTATAATGTAGTAAGTTAGATTAATCATATATTATTAGAAAAATTATAAATAAATCACTCATTTCAACTCAAAATTTTGTAGATTTTTTTTATATATATTGTTCATCTTACCATTTCTATAAAACTAAGTTGAAGAGCTGTCAGAAAAAAAATATTAACAGAATATTTTAAATCATTAAAAAAAAAACACTTTCTAAACAACATTTATAAACATTCACGTGTGATTTTCTCCTTCATTTAATATTTTTTTTCCAATTCCAATCACAATATTTTTTTAATATTTCTTTTATTTTTATGTTCACTTCAATTTATCTCAAATATAGAGTCTAGCTGGTTAATCTCATCTAGTACATGTTTGAAAATTTTAAATGTATTTCTATCAAAATACTTTTTTTTTTCATTTTTACCACAAATTTTGAATATACATATATATATATATATATATATATATATATTATAAATAAGAACAAAAGTTAGATATTTATTTGTTATTTTTATAATTTAGTAACTTAAAAAATATTGCTTTTTAATTATTAAATTAAAAAGGTAAAATGAAAAATATTTATTATTTTATTTGAGTCCTACTTTCGACCTTTATCCAAAAGTAGACATTATTAACCACCGGGGATTGCCTTTTGTATAGGCAATTTGTGTACTCTAAGAAGGTGGCACATTTAATTTAAAGATTTTACTAAAAAAAAAATTACATGTTTCTTATTTTTAAATATAAATAAAATTTAACAATTTTATTTGATTTAATAATTTAAAAAAATTGGAAATTTAACTAATGTTATACTTTTTGTTATTATAATTTTCATTTTAAAAATAGATTAAGATATTACCAAAAATGAATGTACTTGATTATTTTTGTTGACCAAAGCTAATTTTGTTTGCTTAGACAAAATTTGGATGTTAACGGTGGAGGTTTTCCCGATTGAGTTTTAATTTAATGAAATTTAAAGACAAGAAAACCAAACTGCCCAGGAAATATTAAGAGAAGCTATTAAATTCCGTAGATCTGCCAAACAACATGTCAACGTGCTTCTTGACTTCTTGTTTATTAATGGGCCACCCCAGGTCTCTGCTTTTTACAAAACAACTAATCTTGTTTTTATGTTCTTTATTAATTTTTTTTTCAAATATTATATCTTTGTACTTAATATAACAAAGAGAAAAATAGAGAGTATAAATATTATGTTTGTTAAATAATAATGAAAAAAAAACTTACGGAGGAAAATATAATTAAGCATTTGGATTTTTCTATCTAATTAACTTCTAGTGAAGACAAAACATAACAATGGTAACAAATCATTAATTTCCTTGTTACGACTCAAAGATGTAATGTTAATTAAAATTGAAATAGAAATGCTATTTAAAAACTTAATAGCGTGTTATTTCAAACATCCTCTTATTCTCTCACCTTAAAGAGTGATGTTTGGTTACATTTTGATGTACAAATAAGCAGCAAAATTTGAATAAAGAAAGTACAAAAATTCATTAGCCAAAAAATTGATACAAAAGAATATCATAAATTGTCCACATAACCGTTTGATTAAGTATTATGTGTAGGTTAGAGACTTTTTAAACTCCCTTGTTAAATAAGTTAACATCAAGTATAAGCTTGCTGATAAAAATTTTATTATCGCATAATTAAGTTTAACACATATACCTAATCTGTGTAAAATATTTTAATATTATAAATGTTTTGATACTTAGAAAAAGTATTTTAATATTATCCGAATATCTTCTTATTCAAAATATTTCAATATTAATTTATTTTAAGATATACTATAATTTTCTCAAAATACCCATTTTATGTTTAATAAATAAAAAAGAAAACATCTCATATATATCGGATAATTAATTATGGTAATACACTTCTATTTATTCTATTTGATAACCATTTTCTTTCACTCACTAACTTAATACATGTTCAACCAAACAAGGAGCTGGAAGTTTTCTTTAATTCAAATATGAACATATATAACTAACTTAAAATAAAATCATTTTAAAAAATAATATTAAAAATAGAAATATATAATTTAATCCTGTAAAATTAATTTATTTAGATTTTCATTAAGCTCATAATCTCGAGAATTTTTCATCGATTTTTTTTTATCAAGTGATAAATTAAAAGAAAAAAAATAAAAGAGACGTAACAGCAGGGAGTGGTGTAATGTCCCATCGAGTGAATGCGGGTGCATGCGGTGCGACGCGGTGTCCTAAAATTTAAAGTCTTTCTTCGGCCTTTGGTCCACTCGGGTCCTCCAAGATTTGGTCTTTACAAAACAAATCCATTCCGCCCAATATTAATGAGTATGAATATCTTTATATTCATATTTTTATTTTAAGTTATTAAAATTATATATATATTTAAATATAATTTTTTTAAATTATAATAGTTAAAAATACATAAATATGAGAAGTAAAAAATATAACATAAATATAAATAATTTTATTTTCACAAAAAATAATTATATATTATTATAAATAAAATATATGATATTTTAAATGGATATTTGTAAATAATAAAAACAAATATTTTAGTAATTGATATAAGTATTTATTTTCGTAGATTTTATTATTTTTCTTTTAAATTTAAGTTATTAAAATAAAGATATTGATATTAGATATTAGAAAGTATTTAAATTTAAATTTAAATTTATAGATTTATGATTTTCATTTAAATTT